CAGGGATCTACATAATCTAAATTTCTTCTCTATATTATAAAAAGCTCATTTCCTCTTCTACCTTCTTCTTCCTTTAATGTTATCTAATCTATAGATTAAAAAGCCTTATTCGCCCCCCCCCCCCCCCCGATCTATAAATTACAACCATCTACAATACCATCCTCTTTCCTTATATTTACAATAATCTTAGGGTTAGTAGGTTAATACTAGCTCATTATAGGGCTCTGCTAACTTATGCAGCAAATAACTAAACATAAACGCAGTGTTAGGCAAATCTAGTAAGTTAGTAGTCTTTACTAGCAGCATAGCCTAAATATTAGAGGATATAAATCTTATGCTATTAAGAAACATTGCCATTAAGTTCCACCCAGCCTGGCTTTTTAATCTACAGCACTAAACTCTTAATAATTTTATTAATAATAAGGGCAGCCTAGGAGTATTTATTAACATTTTATTAGACTGCGCCTTTAAAGAATGCAATATCTGGCTTATGGATGTCAAGCAGAGGCTGTCTTCAGGAGTAAGCCTAGAGCTTAGGGCATTTAAGGTAAAGGCTTTATAGTATATTATACCCTCAGGCTATAAAGACCTTAAGGAGAAAGATCCTAGATCCCTTTTTTCTAAATCGGCCTTTAACTTTATTTAAAAGATAGAGAACCAGCTTCTAAAGATTATATACAGGCATTTATTGCAGGTCAGAGTCTTAGTAATAAAGTAACTAGGTATAGTATGCTGTCTGCCTTTAGGTAAAAGGGTTTCTTAACTTTTTATTAAGGTTAATTGCTGACCTAGTCTATAGGTTAAATATAGCTAAGTTAAAGAGACTATATCTAGTGTTAGGGTTTTATAGGACAGAATAGCATAAATAAAATGCCTTATATTAAATATCTACACTAGCATCTTAATATATTATTAATAAAACTTAAGGTTAAGTTAGGTTAGCTCTTCCTTAATAGAATAAAGGGACTTATTCACCTTATTCTTAATAAGGGATATTATCAGATTAATACATTCTATTGTCGCTTTCCAGTCTTAGGTTCCCACTAAAGATCCCCCTATATAAAATTAATAACCATTAAGGCATTAGCTTTAGACAAGGGGTAGCTTGCTTTATAGTTATATCATTATAGTAGTTATGCAGAAGCACCCTAATAAATACTTCATTAAATAAGCCAGCTTTATCTATTAATAACATAAATGCATAAATAAACTAGTATTCCTCTACTATATTATAGGTATTTACCTCTTCTCTCTTTTACCTTTATACTTCCCTTCTTCATCTAACCTCAGCTACTGCATTATACCCCTTATAGCCTTGCGCCTGCCTGCCCACAGCCCCCCGTTCTTTTTCATATAACCTAACAATGCCTGTTCCTACTTAATACATTAGCATCCTATTCCCTTAGGGCTAGGCTAACCTTTATAGCAAGCTGCTGCTAATAAAAGCAGTGTTTAGCAAGTCTAAAGACATTGCAGTCTTAACAAATAATACAATGCTCCAGCCTAAAGGAGATACAGCCATCCTTAAGAATATTATAATTAAGTATTACCCAACCTAATGGTTTAATCTTTAACATAAGGGTCTTAATAACCTATTTAACAACAAAAGTAAGCTAGAAGTACTTTTTAACTTTCTCTTTAACCCTGCGTTTAAAGAGCATAAGGTCTGGCTTATAGACATTAAGCAAAAGCACATTAAAGCTGCTGGCGCAGGGGCTAAAACATTTACCCTTAGTTCTATGCACTATACAGAGGTCTTTAATTGCAAGGACCTTAAGGCAAGGGATCCTAATTCCCTGTTTATTAGGTCAGCTTTTACATTTATCTAGAAGATTATACATTAACTCCCTGTAAATATTAGACACTAACTTTATTAAATTAGCATTTTAATTATAGAATAACTAAGTAAGGTATAATAATATAGCTGGGTAATACTAGGCCTTAGTATCTGCTGTATTTTAAAGGTAAATAGAGCAGAAGACTAAGTTAATTTTTTAGTTATAATAGTATATAATAAATTTAATAATAGATTTAATTAATATAGTAAACCAGGCAGAAATACTTATAGTATACCCCCCTATTTTAAGCTAGTCTTAAAGTCTATAATCTTTTATATTAGCTATTTATAATATCCAGGCTATACATTCTTAAGGTTGCATTTTATACATGGCATTTTTAAACTATAGGTTATATCTCCAATATAAATATCCCTATCTATAGATTAAAACATTCTGGCTTGTTTATATAGTTAATGTTGGCTTACTAGACGCTAGTTAGTTTAATCTATAGATTTAAACGGCTAGTATAAAAGCTATATAAAATAGGGCGCTTAGCCTAAAATAGAAGATAACCGGATATTAAGGTAGCTTAGGGTAAGGCTGCTTGAGCAAGTAGGGTAACTGAGGGTAAGGCTGCTTGAGGTAGGGCTGCTTGGGCAAGTAGGGTAACTGAGGGTAGGGCTGCTTGGGGTAGGGCTGCTTGGGCAAGTAGGGTAACTGAGGGTAGGGCTGCTTGGGGTAGGGCTGCTTGGGGTAGGGCTGCTTGGGGTAGGTAGGGGTAACTTAGGGTAAGGTAGGATTTTAATCTATATTAAGTTAGCTTATATGTAAATATAGACTAGCTATATGGGGCTTGGTTAATAATCTAGCCAATAAAAATTAATATCTTATTCAACGCAACCTTACCTTTGTATTTCAACGCAACCTTACCCCTGTTTTTTTAGCGCTTATGCATTTTTATAGGGAGTTTCAACGCAATCTTGAAGATTGTGCACTTCCGCTAAGTTAGGGCTATATAAATCTTTAATAAACTCTAGTACAGTTTGTTGCTGCATTAGTAACAGGCACTCTTGTTAGATTACTCCCGTGAGCCATCGTGAGCCTATGCATCATAATCCAACCGTAATCTAAATGGAACGACTTACTATATAAAACCATTCATTACACTTATTAGATATAGCTTAGATAGTCAGTTGTTAATATAGCATTTATATAACAACTAAGATTAGACTCTTATCTAAAGTTATTAGCTATATGACTAAGAACGCTTATAAGATCCCTTGCATCTCTCTGCTAATATAAACCTGACGTTAGAGGTTTATCCCTTGGGAACTAGCTACCCTATACTAGGTATAGGATCAGAACGTTACAAAAAGCATTAGTAAATAAAAAAATAAGTAAATTAATTATAAATAAAATTATTATTTAAGATAAAGAAAAAGAATATAAAATTAATAAAATAACTTATATATAGATAAATAAAAAAATAGAAAAATAAAAATATTTTATAAAATAAAAAGGGTATAATTTATTTAAAGACTTATAGGTTTTTAAAAAAAAATTTAAAAGAAATACTTAAGCAATTCTATAGAAATACTATTAGTTTTTAAAAATAAAAATAGTAATAAATTTAAATTAAATATAAATTAATTAATAATATTAATAAACTAAAATAAACTAGTAAAATTAAATACTATTAAAGCAGCTTAATAAGTAGCCTTTACAGCCTTCTTTTTCTTATACTTAACCTGCTTTAACTCTTTTAAATTATTAATTTTTTATTTAATAGCCCTTTTTATTTTCTTAAACTATTTCTTTTTTTAAATATAAAGCTGCTTAATGCATATACTAGCCTTTAGCTAGGCCTCTTTTGCCTTTTTTAATTTAAAATTAAAAATAATACCTTTAGTTATTATTTTATAAAGCTAAATTATAGAAAAACTAAAAGCCTTATAATTTAATTATTAATAATAAATATATTAAAAATAATGCAGAGAATTTTCTTTAAAAGTAAAATACTTATAACTGTATTTTTTATAATAAAAACAAGCCTTTATTATTAATAGCGCAAGTAAAATAAAATACTTAAGTGTATTATATTATAAAATTTAAAAAAACTTAAAGTACTTATATTTATTATTAATTATTTTATTAGCTAAAAAAAAAAATAAAAAAAAAAACTAATACTTATAAATAATAAAAAATAAAATAAATATAAAAATAAAGTTTTAAAAATAAAACTAATAGAAGGAGAGTATTATATTATAACTTAATATTTATAGTTATAATAACTAGCCTATAAGGTAGGCTAAAAACAAATTAATTATAATTTATTAATTAATTAAAGGTTATTTAATAAAATCTATTATTAAGTATATTAAGTATAACTTAATAAACTTAACTATTAAGTATATTAAAGATATCCAGCTAATTAAATATATAAGTTTATTTTTTTATACTTATTTAAATAACTTAAATAGCCAGTTATTAATATAATTTTATATTTATAAATTAAAAAGCACTTTTAATCTTTATTAATAACTATTATTATAATATTATTACCTATAGGTTTCCTAACCTATCCGCTAATATAAACCTAAAGAACTTATTCTAGGTTTATCCCTTAGGAATCTACCCTATACTAACTATCTAGTATACGGTTCGTCACAGCGAGAACATATAAAGAATGCATCGCTCTAATATTAGATAAATATAAAAAAACTCAGAATATTAATTAATTATTGTACCTTATATAAATGCACCCCAATCCCAAGACAAGCTCTCTTACATACCTTATTAAAGGATAGTCTTTAGAAGTAAAAAGTAAAAAGCTGTAGTTAAGAGTATAATTGAGCGATACAGTACTAGAGTATAGATGTCTGAGCTTGTGGTTTATTACCTTTCTCTAGGTAAGGACTTGTTTCTTTTATAGATAATTACTAGGTATTATTAACAGTTACTATTTTTAAAAATTGGTTTACTTAACAGCAGTTGGCAAGTCTAAGCTACCGTAGGATGCGTTACTATTGCCGCTCTAATGTACGTGCATGGGGTAATGTAGTATTTAATACTCCAAATATACTTGGTTACTTGCTTCTGTTACTGCCCTACACAGTCTTTTAACCGAAGACGGAAGCTAACACAGCTGCGGCTTTTTTTTACTACTTTATATATATATAAAATTAAAATAATATTTTTATTAACATATTATATTTAGCTAAGTTACTTGTATTTATTAATTTGTTCCTCGGCCCACTCCCAATACTGTTTGCTAAGGACAGTATCGAGGAGATCCTTGCGAGCCGGCTCAACCTTTCCAAAAGGCGACACTGCGGAATAAGCGGTGTGGTTAGCTAGTAGGCGCTTTTGGATTTAAGGATAAATATTTACCCCAACAACCGTTATCCTTCTCCGTGACAGTAGGAGAGTGGCTTGCGAACAGTTGAGTGTAGGCGCCGTTTTTTGGTGCGTGGGAGATGATTTTCTAAACAGCGGTTTCAATGTAAATGCTCCGGCATCTCCAATGAGCGTCAGCTTACAAACACGGCAAGCTGCATCCTTGGCATATTCTGCTGCAGGTTGGTCACGAAGTTACCAGGGTTGAGGGCCTGTGAACAAGCGTCAATGTCTAATGTCTAACTAAAGGAATGAGGGACCAGTGCGGAATGGGATGACAAACAATGCTGATGATGCCTTCGCCAATAGTTCTGCGGGCATACTCGACAGCGTGCAAGACGTTTCCGGCCTTGCTGCGCGAGTACTTTGACCAAATACCCTCTTCATGATAGTCCATATTCGTGAAGAGGAACGGGGCGAGGTTGTTTACACCAATCTGGAGCTCGTAGCCTTGTACAGTCTTGGACCCCTGGGGGGGAACCATTACGCCGGCGTTGTTGTAGAGGACATCCAGGCGGCTTTCCTGTGCGAGGAATTCACTGGCCGAAGCTTTAATGGTTGTCAGATCGTCGAGGACGAGTGACAGGAAGATCATATTGCCGGTTGAGCTGTCGATAGGCTGCCTTGATATCCCTCATGACGTCGTTGGTCTTGGATCGGGAGCGGGCGGCCATGTAGATTTTGCCATTCTTCTGATAGAGGATTGAAGCAATCTCCTTGCTTAGACCACCCGAGGCGCCGGGAATGAGAAAGACCTAGTATATAGATGTTAGCACACTCAGCAACTTGCAGTGGTAGTAGTATATGGAGCAAGGGATTGTCTTACCTTGCCTGATTGGTCGGGAAGGTTCTTCTCTGTTAGGGTTGGCTTGTTGGGGAAAATGGTGCTCCAGCGGACACTCATGATGGGTAGTTTTGATGTTGCAACGTCAAAATTTCGAGGTGAACGAAAAGGGATATTTGAATAGGTATTCTAAGCCGCGATTAGATACTGGGTGACGACCGTGTTGACCATCACTTATATATCGGCCGACTTTGGTTGGTGTCGCTTCAGGAGTTAGTGAGTAACCGCATAAGGAGGCTATCATTTGCGCTCAATAAATATTTAACCCTGCTATCAAACTAACTTGCCAATATTGTGGTTGCGGTAAAGCGATGCGGCATCAGTTGTCCTGGAAATGCGGCTGAAGCGGCCGCACCCCCTTCTCTATATTGGTGGCGGGATGTACCCTGGCTCTTTTGGCGGTCGGGGCCAAAATATCGTAAACCGGATCCATTCTATACGGCCACGCGAAAAATAACAAGGATATAAAGCCATGAATGTTATTCATAGCGTCTCTGATACAGTTAATATTTATAATGCTACTTGGTATTTCCACGTTACGATCCTAAGACCTCAACTCTAAGCCATCCTCTCTTCTCCAGACACCCCAGTCGTGAAGAGCCACCACCAAATGACTAGGGGATCGCCAATTCTATTACAATACCGTCCGCGTCTCTACCCTTGCAGAGACGTCGTGTATCATCAGCAATTCCCGGTACGTGCTACCAAGCCGCCACCTGGAATTCAGAGTGTCGAGAAACAGGTCTAAATTAGCGGCAGCTGTGGCGTAAACGTTCTTTCCCGCTTTCCCCGAGAAGCCAGTGGAATGTCGCGGCACCTGCGTAGTTAGAATCCATGATGAAGGGGCTCATATACCCTAGTGAACTCGTCTCAGTCATGTCCACTTCGGCTCGAAGCATGGGCAACATACCGAGACTTAAAGTGTGCAACTCTTCGCTCGCCAACTCGATGACCTGCATTGATTGTCTTTGAAGCTCCAGCTCCTCCTGTGTCTTTTCAACTTGGCTTTCAATATACCCGGGCTCTGCGCTAATCTTTTCCGGGCATGTAAAGCGATCAAGAGCGACGAATAGCGCTGAACGAACAATACACCGAGGAGCAAGAAGGCAGAAACTTTTGTCGAGACTGAGAGCAGTACTTTCGTTGTCCACGACGGCCCCAAAACCTGTGAGCTCGTGGGTAAGAGAAATGATTTCTGCAATGCGAGATGTATTTATGATTGATTTATCGCGTGCGTATCCCTATTGCGCGTCCGAGGTATATCGAGGCTTGGCATAGTCGTGCAAAGCCCGATTGCTCAACCTGGTAGGGTGTACTAGTCGAATGGCCAAGAGCCTTGCTGACTTCACCGCAGTCCTAGCTAACCTGTCAGTTGCTATGAAAGACCGTGCCATTGGAGTGAATTTTAGGAATAAAGTAAGCGCCGTCATAACTTACCCATGCTTCATCATCAACAGGCAATCTACACTCAGGTTGAGGATCCGGCATGAGGCAACGTCTTCTGCCACCCATCGCCACGAGCTTGTCCAGGATGTAGATGCTCCACCACACTCTCCTCCTCTCTTCGGCCTCTGTCCACGTCGTCTACACCCAAGAGTACGGTTAGCAAAAGAAAAAAAAAATTATTTACTCCCTTGCTTTTTAAATGACACAGACGATCAGGCCAGTGGTGACACTTACAGCTTGGCCCAACATAAGGTAATCACGGGGCGTGAGGTCCAAGAGATCGGAGTAGCGCACGCACGAACCTATAATCATCCAAGCTGCTGGATAGATTGCATGGCCATACTCGTACAAGGCTATTAGGACCATGGCTTGAAGACAAAGTAACGAGACGCTACCATTACTCTCGAGGCGGGAAAGGAAGTTCTTCGCTGTGGTGTACAAGGCGCAGTCGGCGATGCCAGCAGCCGGTGCGATGACGAGTTTCATTGCGAGGAATAGCATAGCAAGGTCAGGACCTGCTTTTTGCACTGGAAAGCCCATATCCATCCTCTTCTTAGATCTCATAGGACTTTAACATCTTTGCTAGAAAAACAAGGGTTATCTCAGCCGGCAAAAGTATGAAACATTAAGCAATAGAAGCATTAATTTAAAACTTAGGAAGTATTAATAGGATTTTATAATAGATAAATCTTTTATAAGCAGCTGGTTCTATTACAGTAATTGCTATAATTGTAATTATTAGCTTAACCTTTTGCCCTGTTTGGCTTAATAGTATAACAGATTGTTACAAAAGACTTCGACTTTGCTGTTTTAATAGGCAATTTAACGAGTCTTCTAATTTCTAGTCTATTACGCCTAAAGATAATAATCTATAGGCGCAGTCTCGCCATCAGACAATAAACAGTCCTTCCTTCAACCCAGTCATTGTCTACCGTAAATGGAATAAAGCTCTTCCAGATGTAAGGATACACGTGTAGAGAAGCACATCTATAGTATAAGGATCGTTTCTAACTCGTTCGCCTCTGCTGAAATCCATCCTTCAAGTATTCGTCGCTGTTCTACCTCATAATTTCCTCGGATCAGTCGATCACCTTCTGCAGTTATTGGCCCTTCTGCGTAACCAACTCTGGTAAAACCGAGAGTACCAGAGTGAGCAGTCAGCTGATGCTTTGCTGGCTTGATGAGCAAGAAAAATGGTTGTCGGACTGCAATACAGGAAGAGTCGACTGGAGCGAATATTTCCTGAGTCCAATACAAGGGCATGGCCCAGATATCCGTCCCATCTTCCGCACTGATTGGTTCTCCCGACTGCGACCTTGATATAAGGTAGCTTTCCGAGTCCCATGTTACCGTCAAGGGGAAGTGAACTCCACATTCGTACGCAGATAAGAAAGCAATGCCCGACGGCCCAACCCGGGACTGTTTGTTTTTGACCAAGCGCAAGAGACGAACTCGAAGGAGGGCCCATCCCCTTGTGACCATTCCGAATGGGTGCTGCTGTGAATAGAGGTCCACGCCAGCGTCCACGAAGCGTGCAAGCTGGCCCCGGTTATGGCGCCATGACCCATATCCAACGACTCCATGGACAGAGGCCCAAGACCACGATGGCCCGCAATAGTGCTGCGGCCGCGTCCCCGTCGGAGAGCTATGAGGGCGGGCCCAGCCCAAGCCATATATAAAATCATCTCGCCACAGACCCGCCAGATAGCCAGTGTTGGACGTACAACAATCCTCTGGAGGCGTAGAGAGACTCAAGAGCTGGCTAGCCATGCCAGCCAGCGCTGGAAGTTTATCCGTCTCCACGGTAAGCTTCCGTTGAGAGAACTGCTTTACGATCTTACGCCAGTCATTCACCTCGGGCTTTGACCGTCCCCTTCGCCCGCTGGCCGCCAAGCGGTAGTCTGTATAGTCCAGATCGCCCACTGAGCAATGGTCTTCGGACAGAAAAGACTGTGTGCACTCGAAAAAGATCTGGGAGGTCCCGAAGTGAAGCGTTCGGATCGATAGGTACCGTTCTTGCAGCGTCCAACCGCGCGTGGTGATCGGCTCGCCCTCTAGCTCCATTCCGTGCTCCGGGTAGGCTACCTGCCTAATCGGGAGAGGAAAGGCGAAGACTTCACCCGATACGCCGTCCATTTCCACCGGTAGGGGGAGGTAGGTTCGCAAACGTTCCGATAGGAAGCCTTCCGCGCTGTCCTGAGCCCGGCTGGCTGCTATCGTGAGGGTGGCATTTCCATATACTTCGATCATTCTGTCGGAGTGGGCGATCCAATCCTGGTAGTCATCCTGTACGATGCAGAGGCTATCCACCCAGATAAAGCGAATTCCAAGCTGGCGGGACACCCAGATCGCATCTTGGAATGTTTGCGGAAGGTCTTGCGTGCCCAGCCCAACTCGAAACTCCTTGATGGTGTCAGTACGGAGAGTTTTTTGTTTTGTCGACCCCCAGCAGTAGCTGAGAGCCACGTACGCGTGAGTCTCGGTGAAAGAGTCGCACAGTACGATTTCCTGGCCATCACGTCTGATCTCCAGCAGCCTCGTAGGCATTGCACTGCCCTGCGCGTGGCCATGGTTCTCGATGCAGTGACTGATCCACTGCTTGACCACTGCCAGAGTTGAGGGGTCTTTTGGCAGTGGCGAAATGGTTCGCCCCTTGACCATGGGAGCTAGAAGACTGTCTGCAGCCGTAAGAAACTGCGCAACACAGAATGGCTGGATTATCTCGGGGACCTTACCGCTGCCCACTGCAAAGCCTAGCCCGCCAATAACTTCGTACAAATTCCACTTTCTTTTTTCGTTCGAAGAATTGAGCAATAGTACCTGAATCCCATCGCGCTTAATTCTGCCGCAGAGAAAAATCCCCTCTTTCTCTCTGTCCGAAGACCAGCCCATTTCCTCGGATTTCTTGTGCCTGGCCGTCGCTACGTCCATGAAGCCTTTGATGACTCGGCATAGATCACAGTTCTCGGCAGCCGTGCTTAGCCCCACAGTAGTTGTTTGATGAGGTGTGAGGTCAGGCTTCGTATTGTCGTCCCTGTGGATGCTGTAAAAAAGAAAATTATTTGCACCTCTCGAGGGACCATATTTGAAATTCGAATGTGCCACTGCGGCAAAGTCGATAGAGCTACAAATACTGCAGAGCATTTTCTAAAGCCCAAATAGATGTATTTAATATTTCCTTGAATGGTTCTTTCCCTGATGACAAGAATAAGATCTTGGATGACTTGTCGATTTGTAGTTATCTGTTGATGACACTTGAAGAGTTAAGCCCACGTAATGTAGCGCAGCACTAGGCGCTAAGGCAGCATTCCCCAGCTATTGAAGCAGGGCTTTGCGATAGTAATAATATTTATTTGCTGCAACTAAATATACCTATAATATATATTAAAACTACACGCCTGACTTTTCCCTATTTGTTTATTCTGCTGTAAGTTATAGTATAGCTTAATAAAAAGCAAACCCCTTTTAGGGCTAGCAGGGGGTATAGCTTAATAAAAAGCACTACCCCTATATAATTTAATAAAGCTTATTAACTATTATATATAAAAAGTAAAATTAAATTTTAATATAACTAGTAACTTTAATTATTTACTTATTTATTACTATTATACTATAAGCAGAATAAAATAAAAATTACTGCATGAATGCAAAGTCTGCTTAAGTTAGTACATTGTAGCAGAGTTTATTTAGTTTTGTCTGATTGGACCAGATGGCACGGACGGCAGAGGAGCCAGACTAGTGCAGTAGCGACTGATGTGGATCTGGTCCAGCTTGCAACTTGAATGTCTTAGTTTCTACTAGAGGGCGGGGAAGGGAATCAGGTTTGGGCTCCATACCTTAAACGTCTCTCAGAATATAGCTTGTAATAAACCGCATGCAAGGATGGGTCGTGACAGAGCATTTGGCCTTTTTTTGTAACATTATTTAACTATCTCGCGAGCGATTCGACAATGTTGAAAGGGCTTTCTTACTCTTTACTAGACTATTCTGCAGGGTTTTGAAGCATCCAAACCATCTCCTTAACATTTCAAAGGTGAAGAGTCGTTCCTACCTCAATCTGATCTCTATACTGTCTATACGTCTCTTTCCACTATGTCACGCACCTCATTCAACGACATTCCGCTTCCCATAGCCCGCATCATTTGTGAGAACCTTGCGACGTCTCATAGGCCAAGCCTATACGCATTTGCACTAGTTAACAAGTCGTGCTACAATGCTGCATTGGCGCTGCTCTTCTGCCGCATTGTTCTACGGGTGACCGAGGGAAGTCGCCCGGAGAGGTCTGTTCAACAGCTTCGCCAGGTTCTTGAGCGAACAAATGGTTTTCGGTTCGTCCGTCATGTCGTTTTGGGCGGATTTGGCCGCTGGGAGGAAGAACACGACCAGCTAGTGGAGAATGATATGCAGAGTGATGCTTGCAGATACCCATTTGGGAATACGGCAAATGAAGATGAGGAGAATGTAGAGCTAATCAACATTGCAAGAGTTGAGGCTCAATGGCAAAGCAGCTGGTATGTAGATAATAACGTGTGGGATCTGCTCGCAGACTTTATCCCTGATTTACCTGGCCTCTCGGATGTGATTTTCGACTGTTCAACTCAATATCTGCCCCGTCTACTCCGTGTTTTACACCAACACCATCCTCAGTGCAGACTACATCTGGGCTCCTTCGATATATACCGTCCCGACGGGAGCTTAACGCCCGCTGAGCAAGTCGAACTCATCACATCACCACTCTTGCACACAATCTATCTTCGAGATCGTTCACAGGAGGGTTATGGGCCGGATGGCGCTCCAACATACGGCGCGGACGCCGTGCGACGTATTATTGCCGGGCTGGCGCCGAATTTGAAGAAAGTAGCTGTACTAAATACACATGCGGGCTGGTCACCAGCACTCGCGGAGGCTCTGGCACAAGAGCGACCGGCATGGCTGGGTTTCGCACTCCCAGATAACGAGACAACCAAGCGAACCAAGGGCTCACTAGATTACCTGCAACTCGTCAGCTTTGAGCCTCTCAACGATATTCGTGAGTGGATGTCGTGTATCGACGATTCTACATTGCGCGTATTAAAACTTGAGCGACTCGTTAGCGAAAATGCCCTTAAATATCTTGCCACAGAATGTCGCTTTCCCAAGTTGGAAACCTTGGTCCTGAACATGGTGACCACTAACGTATCGTCTCCTCTGCCTAGAAGCCTATGGAGTGCTACGGGCAACTTCCTTCTCACTTTACCTCCTTTACTTGCATTAGGTCTTCCAGGAACAACGAACAGTACGCTTTTACGGCCAGTTTTTGAGCACCATGGCGCATCGCTGCGGACGCTGTGGCTTTCTGGTGAGACGGCTTCGCCCAAACTCATCAAGCACCTAGTTCAAAGTTGTCCCTCTATTTGCAAGCTGGGACTTCAAATACAGCGGTCCAAGGGCGATGCCACAGAGGTTACTACATATGCTACGCTCGGATCGCTACCAAAGCTGCAGGATTTGTCCCTACCCTGGACTGCTCTGATACTCGCGTCTTGGCTGAGCAAGAAGGTGATGACGATCCCGATGCTAAGTTAGAATCGCCCAACGACCCATCATTTGACGAGTTTGACCAGCAGATGCTGTTGGTACAGCTTGACTATTCCCGCTATCCGCGTAGGGGCCACGTACGTGACGCATTTATTAACTGTGCTGTCGATGGAGACCTCGCACATTCCATCTTCACTGCTGTTTCGTTAGGAAAAGACAAGGGTGCAAGTTCTCTGCTGCTAAGCAGACTGAAGATTAGCGTTACGGGAGGATGCAATTTGGAACGAACCGAAGTGATTACATCCTGTCTATTGTGGTCAACGAGCTATCACGTTCATGGATCGTTGAACGCAACCCCAGAGAAGTTAGAGATGGAGCACGGGAGTTAACAGTCTATGAGTGCACGAGCAAAACTCAGCAGCAACACCCATTGCGAAGTGACGACCTTGATCCAGAGGTATATAAAATTTTTCAAAGGATTTGGTTGACGAATGGTAGGGATGGTGAAAGCTGGCGAAAACAGTGGCATAGTTTACCCCTTTTGAGTGATATATCCTTGGGAGCGGGCCGCGTAGAAAATAGTTATTGTTAGTTTGATATTATTTTTAAAAACTGTTATTGGTGATTAGTTAGACTAAACCTCGGCCGTATATATAGATATAGATACTTTCTGTAACGCCTTTATAAGTGGCTATCCAAGTGATAATTAAGCAATTAATATTTTGAACTTATTATAAGGATGCCTAACAAGTGCTCACTGGGATTGCTAGGCGCATTTTGGTAAGAAAGAAATATATCTCAAGGAGTCTACACTCTTGGAAATCTCGCAATTATAAGGTTAATAAAAATCCTTTGTTTTGCCTATTATATATATTCTGCGTGCGCATGGGAATAGAATAAGAGTAGATGGAAAACTACTATATGATCCAATTTACAAGAGGATAAAAACAAAGGTAAACACAATAAAAAAAACTACCTTAAATATAAACTTAATTTTTAAAAACAATATTCTAGAACTTATATAAATAAATTATAAAACTATATATATATTAATATTAGCTTTAACTTTTATAATAAAACTATTTTTTATAAAAATCTGCTACATTAAAGTTTCTAACTAGAAAGTATAAAATATAAAAACCTTAGGAGGGTAGCAAAGTTATAGTAACCTATACTATCTAAAAAACTAAATTACAAAAAAAAAAAAAAAAAAATTTTCTTATAAACATAAACTTTAAAGCAGTGCCTAGTATTTATAGACCTAGACATGCTGTAAACTAACCTAGTAACAAGTTCAGGCTCCTTTTTAATACTTTCTCTTGGGAACCTATGCAATTATTTATAATATATCTGCTGGCAAGATATAAAAGGGCTTTGCTAATAACTTCTAGCCTTGTATGCACCTCTAAAATACAAGAAAAACAAGCATGTGATTTTACTAGAATAATAGAAACCGTTTGACCCCACTTTTTGCAAACACATGGCATTAATATTGAAAAAAAAAAGCAAAGAATCTGCTAGACGCTCGAGATACCGAGGTAACTTGACAACATCACCTGACTGTACTTAATAGGCAGTAATACTGCGCAATGGTGACCTGCTTTTCAGGCGTGGCTCATGCTAATAACTCCTGACCACCGCTTAACTTATTGCCAACGCTATAAGGAAGGCCAGGGCAGATGTGAATTTGGTTGATCATTTTCCTTGCGTAATATTCGACCGTTGTAACTTCCATTTCTCTCCTATTATATTTTATTTTCACTGAGATCCATTGTTACCACTCGGTGACACCAACCAACTACTCTCTGCCTGCCAATTGCTAAAGAGAGTTGCCTTTAATTGTCAAAATGCGGCTCGCTGCTTTGTTGAGAGCATCACTTGCCATGGCGATCGGCAAGCATTCTATGGCTGTACTTGCACAAGTAGGTGAGACTTGGTATGAGAAACACCCTGGCATGTCACGCATCACCCGTGTCAACCAAGACACGAATCAGATCCTAGATGAATTTGGCCGGACTCGGTTCTTCCATGGCACCAACGTCGTGATGAAGGAGGCACCATGGTATCGACCAATGGACTGGGTACCTGGTGTCTCCTCATTCGGCGAGCGGGACGTGCAAAATTTGAAAGATCTCGGTCTCAATGTTGTACGGCTTGGCCATCACTGGGCTGGCGCTGAACCCGTGCGCGGAAACTACAATCAGACATTTTTGGACATTATGAAGAAGCAGACCAAGATGGCTGAGGATCAGGGCATCTACATCTTGGTGGACGTGCACCAGGATGTCTTGGCTCGTCAGTTGTGTGGTCACGGCGTTCCTGATGTAAGCGCACTCGCGATCACATACTCCTATGTCCTATACTGATGGAATGATAATAGTGGTTTGTTAAGCAGGGCTGGGTGTCTAATATGAAAGGATTTCCTGTTCCCTTGAAGATGAAAGCGTTTCCCGTTGATGATAAGGGTTTCCCGAGCCCATCCTCTATTTGCAATAGTGTCGACTGGAGTCTGAGCTATACGTCTATAGCCGTAGCCAATGCATTTGGTAGGCTTTATAACAACTATGATGGGCTAGGAGACGCCTTCGCAGCATACTGGAAGAAGCTAGCGTCTGAGTATGTCGATACAGCTAATGTAGTTGGATACAATTTGCTAAATGAGCCGTGGGTTGGCGATATGTGGTCAGATCCGACTCTTCTTGTTCCTGGAATAGCAGATCATAAAGTCATGGAAGCGCTTTGGAATCGTGCAAGCAAGCAAATTCGCAGCGTGGATAAGGAAAAGCTTATTTGGTTTGAGGGTGCAACGCTAGACATCCTCTCCGGCTTTGAAGATGCCCCCCTGGGAGATGGTTCTAAGTCCGTGCACTCGTTTCACTACTACAATCCGCCACAACTAGGTTCAATCTCTGATACCCTTGGCAACCGCCGTAAAGACAGCGAGCGTTTGAAAACGGCTGGAGTGCTAACTGAACTCACCTTCTGGATGGGCGACGACAAGCAGATGAAAGATCTAACGGACGCGATGTTGGCGACGGACGCAAACATGGTTTCTTGGATGGGATGGGCATATGAAAACCTGTACAATGGCACATCCGGTCAGCCCTATCCTGAGTTAGCAAAACACTACAGCCGCGCATATCCTGCCGCCATCGCAGGCAAGCCAAAGATGTTTAGCTTCGATGAAAGCTCGGGCACTTTCAAACTTAAATTCATATCTAATCCCGAAATCGACGCTCCCACCGAGATTATTCTACCGTCTCCTTCTTTCCCAAATGGTTATGAAGTGCAGATCTTGCCGGAAGAAAGCTTCATCCAGTATACACGAGATGCGCGTACATTGGCTTTGTTTACGAACGAGAATATTAAAAACGCCACTGAAGTATCAGTTATAGTCTCGCGTAAATAGTTACTTTTATCAACTCTGCTATGTTGCTTTTATTTCTTCTATAAGATAGAAGCCACTTTGCGGAGGACTTGCCTCATAGAAGAAATCACGTCTCGTGTCAAAATGAACCTTTAAGCTGGTTGTCAATCTCCCCATTCCCGTACTTAGAAGTATGAGAACAAATCTCCCTGCTACTGGCCGCTCCAAAATTCGACGTCCTTTTCCGTGGTAGACCTTTTGCCAACCTTTTCATGTTTGAACTAGTCAACCCAAAACCTTTCCGAGTTTCCTGGTTCACCTTCGTCTTTTACTGTTTTTAATTAACGAAGAATGAATCATGAAGTATATGTGCCATCTTTCTTCTTGTGTCCCTTGTGGTTCCCCTAGTCTATGACGCAAATGCGGGAGACATTTGCGGGCCATGTTATGTTCCCTTTCAATGTAACATCAGCTTAGTGTTTAGCAACTATGTACTCTAGGAGAGCGAACCGCCTAATATATGATTAATCATGCTTAGTGCGCATATTGCTATTATAGGTCAAATAAAACAACTCTACTAGAGTTGATCAGACCGTTACCATTGTAGGATTGATGTACTAAAGACAAAGAGCAAGAATAAAAGACAGCCAAGCAACAGTGAGAACGCCGTCAGTTTGGTTGAAGAGCCGAAAGACTCTTGATGGTCTAGGGCTTCCCTGAGGAATGTAGAATGTATGTATTGCACGAGGGTGTCGGCATAGGAGAGATGTGGGATGTGGATATGTGTAACTAGCTTACTTAGTGGACGTTGATAAAAAAAAACAAGTAAATTAGATACACAAAGCCTCATCTGGGCAATAAGGACTGTAGGAACCGCCGGACCAAGACCATCGCTCGCTTACCCAGTCTAGTACTGAGTGGGCAGATACCAAATATGTACTAAAATATAAATGAAACTGTACTAGAGTTAAATTACTCTATACTCGTAAGCCAAAAGGAGAACGAAAAATCTCGTTTCGCAGAAAAAAGCAGAGGAACTAGATAGGCGGTAGTATACATACTTCCGTAAGTTTTAATATAATATAAACCTATTGTAAGTCATATAACTTTTTACTATTTAAACAACTAAAATTCTAAACTTTCCATATCAGTCATCTGATCTTTGTTAGTAGGAGCGGTTAGTGGTTTGCAAAGAGCATCGTAAACGTGCTTTCCAAACTTAGTAAACGCCTCCGCTAGGCCACCTGCTTGGATCAAGTTCTTCTCTATGCCACTTAGCTTGAATAGAAACCTCTCTCCGCCACAATATACAACTTCCTTATTCATATCCACTACAACCTCTTCACCGGATTGTGCCAGTTGGAAGAACTTTTCGTTTTGGATGATGATTCCAGGAAGTCCTAGATTCGGTTGATTGCGCGCGTAAATGAATGCAAACGATTGCGCAATGACACACTGGACGCCTGTACCTTGAAGAGCAGTGACCGCCTGCTCTCTTGAGGAGCCGCAGCCAAAACCTCTTCCAGCAACCACGATATTTTGGCCAGATTGAACTTGCTCGCGGAACTCTGGCATGAAGAATTCCATGCAGTGCGTGCCTAGCTGCTTCATATCTTTGCCCGTAGCCAGGAATTTGGAAGGAATGATCTACTTCAGTCAGCAAGTGCGATTACTCCGTTCCTGTGATAGAGCGTAGGCTTACAGCATCGGTATCGACGAAATCTCCCAGACGCAGCACACGACCTTTGATAGCCTCGGTCTTCACACTCTGGAGTCCAGAATGCGGGAGGCTCACAGCTTCTTGGACTACCTGCGTTTCTTCCTTATTGCTGCTTTGAGAATATGGCTCTGAATACTGTAGCTGACTTTGCGTTTGCCCATCAGGGGCAATCTCGAAGGGAATATAACCTAAATAACCCCTTAACTTTTCCATATCGATATCTTCTAGGAAGCTATGTGGGTCAATTATCTTCATAGAAAAGGAAGACGCAGCCACTGTAGCCGCTGACGCCAGATTTGCAATGGATCCTAACTCGGCATTAATCTTCGTCACAATACCACTTCAAGAGACTCCAAGAGCATATTACCTGGACCCATTCGGTTTTTGAAGTTCCTGTTCTGACTTGACAGCCATACTTCTCCTGAAGCCGCCTGGTCCATGCCCTGACCCACGCACATACTACATCCGGGGACACCGACCTTGAACCCGGCATCTCTGTAGGCATCCAATAAACCCAGCTCGGCCAGTTTGTGTCTAATTGGCCTCGATCCCGGCACAACGACTCGTCTACCTTTAGGTACGGGAACTAATCCGCGACGTAGGCCGACCTGTAGCACCATGGCGCCTATAATCAAATCTTCTTCCGCTGTAGTGCAGGCTCCAATGAAGGTTCCGTCGAGTTCGAGGCCGACTGTCTCGTGAACTGGAACAACATTGTCTGGTGAGGGATATAGAGCAACGGATGATTTCACATCGCTGAGATCGATTTCAAAAGTCTCAGCATACTGGGCATCCTCATCAGCTTTGAAAAACACTGCGCCTTCGCGATATTTCCTCGTCGGTCGCCGGCTTATAAAGTCCAAAGTTTGCTGATCCGGTTCAAAAAGACCGCTTACTGCGCCGAACTCCTATGTCATGATCAGCGCACTCTTTCCACCGTGCGACAAGATAGAGGGTTTTTCTATACCGTGCACATATTCGCAATCGCGAATCTGGCGTCGCATGATAGGTGTACCAAACCAGGACCTGTGAACTCCACAACGCGATTCGCTGCAATAGTGTTGCGCTTAAACTTGCCCAAGATATGCAAGATCGTGTCTTTACCCCCGATGCATTGCGGAGGCTTACCAACTATCTTGATCCGGACAGTCCCAGGGACTGTGAGCCACGTCTGTCCAGTGATAAGTGGAATGCACACATCTGCGCCGCCCATGCCAATCGCGAGAGCAGATGCAGCGCCTGCAGAACAAGTATGACTATCGGCACCAATACAGAGCATACCTGGCATCACTCTCGATCGGAAAAACTCTGTGTGCATTATTGTATACTATTGATCAATTAGTCAGACTTAAGAACATAGTGTGATAACGCATCTGAGGAGGCATACATTGAATCCTTGAAAGTTCTCCATCTTGAATTCATCCCGCGCCCGCTCGCTGTTTTTCATCAACGCCCGAACGGCAGTATGATCATATAGCTCTGGCTCAACCCGATGGTCACCTGCAAGCCAGAAACGGTCGCTGCGGAAGATACCTGGCCGGCCTACAGCATCATATTGCCGCGCCATGCCCTAAATGTCGTCAGTTTCAATTGTGGGGAGCGATATACAAAACTAACCATCCAAGACAGTTCGCTCGCCAACACCCAGTCAATATCGACTTGCATCACATCACCTGATTGCACCCATCCTTTGCGACTAACATCGTGCATCGCTAATATTTTTTCAGTTACTGTCATTCCCCTCCGACCAGAGGGGCGATATGATAGTGGCATTGGTGCATCCTGAGCTCGTTCGGCGCATTTCATCGCCTCGATGTAGGCCGAGAGGAGAAAAATAACTTGTTTCTCTTCCAACTCAGGCAGTTGCAAGCTGTACTCGTCTGCCAGTCCATATCCACCGAATTCGGGGGAGATGGTTGCCTGCCGAGCAGCTTCGGCAAGCGCAGTTGCCAGACGCGGCTCGTTCACATCATCCAGCGCATTCCCCAAAATGCGTAGAAATTGGATGAGGTTTCGTGTTCCCGTTTCACCTACTGGCTCCCGTATTTCTATAATGAGGTTTCTTTTTTCCGTTACCAGATGTGCTGCTTTCGTCCATAATTGAGTGTCGGTCCTGCCATTGACCGTCACTACCTTCATTGCTGGTGACTCCGTAGCCATCTTATTGACGTAGTGACTTTCTGCTAAGAAGAAAATGATATGGTTACGATTTGCACATGGTTTGGCATACTCATTTGTACTATGCAACGAATATTTATCATATCTACACAAGGCGTTAGGTACTTCGCGAATTAGCTCTTGTTGCCGAACCGGCGCCGACCATTCCGATGAAAGCTGAAGCTTCAGAGCTAATACCACTAATGAACATCTTGGCCGAGTTCGCCGACTTTTAGGTCGTTAACAATATCGACAACTCGTGATATTCCTAAAGGAAATTTGCCGAGTCGGTACCGATTGAAATCAATCGACTGGGTAGCAGAGCGAGATACTTCTTAACGTAATGTAACTGAAGGGTTATACATATATATGCATATATACCCATTTGTCCTGGCTAAGGTTTGAGCACCTTCAATAGTCCAGCCACCCATTCGTACATTGAAATCATTCAGCTTAGCATGGAATTCAACAAACATATCGCCCTTGCGGCCTGTGAAGCGCCACTCCGAACATCCACGAAGTTGAGAAAGATGCTTGCCGATGAGTCCAAGGTCCCACTCGCATGCCCTGGAGTATACGACGGCCTCAGCACCCGAATCGCATTGTCTTGCGAGTTTCCTGTGCTCTACCTCACTGGTGCAGGTATATCTGCCAGTCGCACCGGCATGGCAGACCTCGGTCTTACGACAATGACTGAAATGGCCCAAACGGCTGCCCTGGTGTGCAATCTAAACCCCGATGTGCCAGTGATTGTTGACGCAGATACCGGCTATGGAGGAACGCTAAATGTGTCGCGCACTGTCAAAGAATATATTCGGGCGGGCGTTGCTGCTTTCCACCTTGAAGATCAGGTGGTGAATAAGAAATGCGGCCATCTTGAGGGAAAGGAAGTCGTTGCATTGGATGAATATATCAGTCGCATTCGTGCAGCTGTGAAGACCCGTGAGCAGCTGGGATCCGATATCGTCGTCATCGCTAGGACGGATGCCCTGGCTGTGACTGGCTTCGATGATGCCCTCACCAGGTTGAAAGCAGCAGTGGCAGCTGGTGCTGATGTAGCTTTCATGGAAGCAATCAAGTCTAAGGATGAAGCAAGAAAGCTATGCGAAATTTTCAATCCGATGGGTGTTCCAGTTATGTATGGTATGGTTCAAGGTTCGCAGGCGGCGCGCATTAGCGTTAGCGAAGCCAAGCAAATGGGGCTTAGTATCATCGTATACGCGGGCATGTGTCTGGCGCCAACAATGCGGGCGGTAAAGCAGGCTCTGATGGCATTCAAGGAGAATGGGGACTGTGAGTTTTATGATGATGGGAAGTCGTCACCTAAGGAGTTTTTTAAGACCTTTGGTTTAGAGGACTTGCAGAGATTTGACACCCAAGTCAAGAGGGAAACTGCAAAAGTTCTCAAGGATAGCGCCGAGTCAGTATAGCTCGCCAGAACAGAATAATGTTGTGTGTGGAACGGGGACATATGCGTGTAATTGATTTCTTTAGGAAACAGCGATACATGACGTATCTAAAGATTTATTTCTAGCAGGCCAATGTTGCGTAATGTCGTATAGCCGTGACATAGCGCATTAAGTATAATATCCTCTAGGCTGATAACCCTTGGCGACCATGGCTTCCATACTGCATCACTAAGTGTTTCTTGGATAAATCAAAGAGTATTGATGCCGAAGCAAATGGCGCCCTCGGGGGCTTAAAGGCTGCTCTAGACACTCTTAGTCCCTCCAGAGGCCCTATCGTAGTCTACCTAGACAACCTAGCTGCTGCAGGTTGCCTCCAAGGCACACATTCAGACTCCTCGCAGGATGTCTTCCTCGAACTCCAAGCTCTTACCGAAACGCGCGGAGCGATAGAGATCCGCTGGGTCCCCGGCCACACGAATATACCAGGCAAGGAGGAGGCAGACGCCCTAGCCGAAGAGGGATGCTCCATGCTCCCTTCCCGAACCCGATGATGCCCTTCCAACGCTGGCTCACCTACGCCGGACTGCGAAACGGTTCCAAGGGACGCATTCAAGTCCTGGTGGGAAAACGCTGCGCCCGACTACTACAAGGCACTTAACCTTGACTGTTTTACCAGCTGCCCAAAAGAGCTCTTGCTCCCTCGGCCAAAGCTTCACCACCTGCTCGCGGCGAGAACTTACCATAGAGGCTTTGCCGATTATCACGGGCGCTTCAACCACGATAACGCGCGATTGATCTGCTCGTGCGGCCGACGAAAAGAGCCACATCACCTCTTCTACTGTCGGAAGGTACTATCACGGCATCGGATAAGGCTGGCACCCTCACCGACTGCGATAATTCACCGAGCAATAGGCAGAGACTTCGACCTGTTCATCAAGATAGCGGAGGCAAGCACGTTCTTTAAGCGCATTTGCCTCCGCTATTGAGCACGAAGCACTTGCCTCGTTCTAATCTTTTCACCTGTCTTTTATTTGTATTATCACCCTCCTTAACTTTCTCTTTTTTCTTTTATCAAGTGCAGTCAGCATAACAGCGCTCGAACGCCCCAAGCCGGTCGCTCCTGTTTTTAGCCTTTCAGATTGCGGCTCATAAGAAAATCTTCTCTTGAGGACATATAAAACTGTAGCAACAGCTACCACGCCTGCCCATCCGCTGACGGATATCAAGCTTGACTTGGAGCGCCTTCGAGCCATTGAAATGGTGGATGGTGATTTGTTTATGGAATAGAGATCTAGAGGTTCTCGCGTAGCTATAAGCATGCGTCAGTGATAACTAAGGTCAGGCACACTTTCGCGGCCTTACCATCTACCCGGAACCTGATTCTATCTTGTAATTTAACTATTAGCTTAATACATCTTGCGCCCTAAAAGGGTCTATAATAGTATATTGCCTGTAGACGAAAAACGCAAGAACTATCTCGAACGTTATAATTTCATGGGCCTGCGGGCTCATGAGTTAATACCCTCACAGCATCACGACCTCATGATATAATAGCGAGACAATATAGAGATCTGATGCAATTGTATTTTAACGAGATAACTGCCTTGCTCTAACCTATCTGTAATAGACTTATAAAATTGTACTGTTATAGTAGCTCTTGCCCCGCAACAAGGTATAAAGCTACCTGGTGAATACACAATAACAACTTAGCGCCTTAATATTAATATTTACTGCCTATCAGCCTTATTAATATTCTTCTACTGCTACTTTTCCCCGGCATTTACTCTTTGCTATAGGCTTTAATACACTCCTCTGATTCCTTCCTCTAGGACCCTAATAATTCTCGAGAATTCGGATATATATATGACCTTTCCCTTAACTAAGCCTAAAAGTCTCTGAATTAGGCTTCGTATCGGAAATTCATATTCTCTCTGTCTGTGAGATCCATAAATCCTGTTTGAGCAGCTTCGGTCTCTACAACATGGCGAATGGCGTCTCTCTTTCTGTTCAGTCTCAAGAGGTACCATCGAAAGGCACCGAACAAGAGAAAGACAAGAGACATCATAGATATAACAATCTTAAATGTTGTAGGATAATGGATCTTCTTTTCTGGTCCAAATACCAGAAGCGGAGCCACGCCGTTCGAAACACAGTAGGTCGCCCAGACGAGTCCGGCTGTAACAGCCTTCTTGGTATAGCCAGCCGTATTAGCAGCCATAAGAGTTAGCACCATTACTAGTGCGTTTGCGAAAACTGTAAGAATAAAGAATCCCCAGAGGGGTACGGCACGATTCTCCCAATTAGACTTCCATATCATAATACAGCCAGCAATAACAGGGAGACAAGTCAGCATGCCAAGCAAAGTGCGAGTGTTCTTAATAAATGTTGCTATCAAGCCGCTTCCTAGTACCCAAATGAAGAGCGTCACGCCGGCAGCGCCAAGGAGAAGGGTTGACCTGAACGAAGTGTACTGGAAAGAATTTAGCGACTTTACATTCTAGTTTCACATAAACAAGCTACTTACACCAAACGATTGAACAATAATGGAGCCGAAACCGGTGGCGGCACCATTGGTAAGACTAGCAGTAAAGACAATAGTGATATAGAAGTATGTTTTAGGGTCTGTAAAGACCTCTCGAACCTGCTCGGGCTTTACTGTCTTATTTTCGATGCCGATCTGGTCAGCCCGTAGTCTCTCTACCGCGACAATCTTCTGCCTTTCCGACAAGAAGATGGCGTTTACGGGGCTATCGGGTAAGAGAAACCAAAGAGCGATAGCCCAAAGAGAGGTTATAGAACCGATAATAATAAATTGATATTTCCAAGGACGTAAACTCCCGGAGATATGGCCGATAGCGTAAAGGAGCAAGTTTCCGACAAGCACGGCTATACCAGAGGCAGAGTACCAGACAGCATACCTTAGTGGCACTTCACTTCGCTTATACCACATAACTGTAATAAGAGAGAAAGCTGGGGAGATACTAGCTTCGGTGAAGCCAAGGAAAAATCGCTGGACGTAGAGTCCCTGGTAAGACCGAACGGCTGCGGTGCAGATTGTGACTCCGCCCCACAAGAACATCTAAAGGCCAAGGATGTCAGCATCTTCGTCCGATTTTGTATTTATATAGTAACATACAGTGACGGAGACATATTTCCCAATGGGGAACCTCTGGCATAGATATACACCAGGAAATACTATAGTTACGCAAGTTGGTTATTTGTGTTTAATAAGTTTCGTACGGTTTTGATTGTGGGAAACTTACACCCGGCCAAAAAACCCCAGAAGAAAATGAGAGAAGCATATGAGTAGCGCTTGAGATCAATTGCAGATTCGCCGTGGAGAGTTTCACTGTTATACGTTACGCTGAGTTAGTGAAATTGTTATATGTGGAAGTTGTGAAGAATGGGGATGTTATAACATTTGAAATAGATCCAGATCTTCAATAATACCAAAAATGGCAGCACCGGTCAAACATGACTTGTCCATGTATTGTAAAGCAAATGTGACAAACATGAGTGGAATGAGAAAGAAGTCGATAAGGCGCAGTGTCTTGCGTTCCTCCCGAAGCGTAAACTCTGTAACCAACTTGGTGTTTACCAACTGGAGAGCTATGTCCCGAGATCCAGTAAATTTGACCGGTTCCTCGGGACCATGTCCACATGTTCCATCAATCACTATCGTTGCCTGCTCTCCTTGCTTTTCTGGACTGTTGTGGTCGGCCATGACTACCAATGTGAAGATAGCGACTGTACACAAGGACAAATTGTAATATATGAGTAGAAGCAGAGTCGGGTAACGATTTCAACTCTCAGATATTGAACACGATTGAACAAAGAGGATGGAATTGGTATTTTTTTAAGTAATCTGATGACCTTAACCCTCTTTTCTGTTCCCCCTTGCCTGTTGACCAGGATATGGTGGTCCAAGTCCAACCAATCGTACTATACACTAAGCTCGGCGCCACTCGGCCAACATGCATATCTCCACACCATTTTGATCAGTCAATATCCACTGCAATGCGGGGGAACACAGGTTCCCCAGAATCCAAATTCCGAGGAATCACGGCTTTAACAATTTCCGATTTCGGTACCAGCGAGACGAGCTCAGACAAATTGTAATCGGTAGCTAAATTCCAATTTTAAGCATGACAAGCCCGTAATCAGCGGTGCCGAGTCGGCAAAGCGGATGATGATTAGATGTTTTCCAGCCGCTCAATGGAGAGAACTGGGATACATGTTTGTATTGAACTTCAAAGCAATCATGTCATCATCCTATCATGGGTTGATTCGACTAAGAGAATGTCCCTTTGTAGTGAATATCCTCACCGTGGATCATGCTTGAACCAGCACCAAGCGATGCCCAGTCGCACCCTTAGTGTCGTGGATTCTATGACACTCATGGAATGTGAATATCAAAAACCCGAGGTTGTTCGAGAGCCTAGGTAAGTTCCACAGACTACTTTCAGCTCAGAGCCGTTTAGGACTTTTGTTCCTCTAGCCCTTCAAGTCCCTCAAGGCATATGCCACATCCCACACGCGACATCGGTATCGGGATGCTACAAGAGCTCAGTCGCATAGAACATAAGACTGATAGCTCATTGACATGCGTTTAATAGATTGTGATGCCGAATTCCCAAGGTTAGCCGCCTGATTCCCCTACCTCCCCTTCCAAAGCGATGATTGAGTCTAGGTATTTGCAAATGGAGCCATAAGATTGTCAATGATAATTCAGGGGAACATTGAATCGGCTAGCTTCGTAAATTGAGGGTACCATATTTGGGCATTCCAGGACTGCATTTTCTTGATTGAACTCGATCGAGCCCCCGAAATCTTGACCGATATTCATAGGGAAGCTGAAAAAGGAAAGGTCTTCGCATGCAAACAAATCTCGTCCCAAACTTAGCAGAGCTTGACGAAATTAAAACATTGAACGTACCTTCTGTTGAAGAGACTTCCTGTAACTCTTTGGCAGAATGAGCACAAGAATCATTTTCCCCTTGTAATTGCTCTTTCCACCACAAGAAGCAATCAAATACTATGCTCATTGACGAACGCGATTGAACGCCCAACTTCAGTCCATCAACGTCGCCTTCTATACGCGAAATCAATCGTTGACAACCCCACAGCTGCATGAGTACCATAGCAGCGCGAGAACTAATGCCAATATGTCGTAGGGTTGGGTCGCGAAAGGCCGCAATAGCTGTAAAGTACGCCTTTCGGCCTCGATCAACGTCAACATGGTCAGCCAAGTGGCTTCGTGAGATCTTGAGAATGATGCATGCGGCGAGGATCATCGTCATAGAAGCGTAGTCTGTGCGGGACGCGCTGCACTTGTAAATCGACGTGGTGCTATTGATAACTAGCGCGGCTAAGTTATAAAGGTTAACGAAGCTAGGATGATCGATAGCTTGATTGCCGAGTATAGTGAGAAATAGAAAGGCATTGACATGCAACCGACAATATTGTAAATGAAGCAACCCTGAGATACGTTAGCTAATAGCGTGGGGATTCCTGGGGTCATCCATGTTGTCAAATAAAGTTAGCAGGAGGTCACTAGTTACACCTACTACGTTCGCGAAAGCTGCGTCCAATGCCAAAGTTCTCCAGCTCCAAGTCGTATGTTTTGATCAAGTCGCGTAGAGGGTCAGTTTCTGGCGGCCTTGAGAGGTAAAATGGATCAGATCCTAAGGAAGCCTGCCGCACTAGGGCTGTCATAGCCCGACCTTGAAGATCTGCCAAGTCGTGATAGAATTGGAGCTCTACTGACAGTCGACAGCTTCCCTTTCTGCCAGCTTTGGCAAAATCTGTTCCTACAGAGGGCGGCAAGCCAAGAGATTCACTGGTCCTAGTTTCCGCATACCAGTGAGTATTTTGACAGCTTCTGACACTCAATGTCTTAATGCAGGCGTAAATGAATGAGTGGCTTACGCTTGACATATAATACAGGTAAATGACCATAAACGGGCGCGCAAGGATAATTGCTTTGGATTCAAAACTGTTCCACCTAATGCGGACTCTTGACCCGCATCTGGGCAATGCAAGCCAAGCTTCACAGCTAGATGGAGAGCGGCACCGGAAGCAACGTATGCAATGTTTTCTCTCATAAGTTTAAGCGGCGGAGCCCAAGAACAGAGGATAAGGATGCCTTGCAGTGTGTGGATAGGCGCTAACGATGAAGCCAGGAACTCGAACCCCATTTTCTTAACAACAGGCCCTAGAACCTCGATCATGACTGGATCTTGTGAATAGAGGCGGGCTCCCGTGGTGACAATGACCCAAAATAGAAATGAAGATTGGTCGTAGCATTGATTCGGAGCCGTCTGGGGGTCTATAATCGGTATGTTGGGATGATAATGGGAGAAATATCTAAGACACGAGAATGTCAGTATTCGTTGTAATTAGAAACCATGCAATTTTAATTCGCCTCACAGCTTGAAACACTCATCTATGCACATTGCGTCATACTCGCGACCGTCTACACTGCGTGGCAGTGTAGATGTCTGCATTGATGGGATTGTTTGGGAACCAAGGGTGTTGGGCATTGCCAGCAAGTCGTTCGTGAACTCTTGGCCATCAGTAGGTGTCAGGGAGGACTGTCGTTGTTTCACGCTTAGATCAACCTCCTGGGGCTGTATTACGTTGTACATTGATGCGGATGACTGATTCGGTGACAAATTAAGCACCTCGCGCTGCATAAGATGCTCTTTCAAGATGTCCAGCTCACGCTGTAACGACGCCTTCCTAAGGAAGCTTCAGTCGAAATTCTCAACCATACGGGTATCTATTGCATGACTTACGTCTTTCGGTTCCGCTTGGTTGGTGGCAGTTTAACACATTGAAGGCTCATTCTCTGACATCGTAAACATTTGCTATTCTGTCCGAACTGCGTGAGTACGCATCGAATCTACCACGGCGTTAGTCATGCATGAACAACCAACGTCAATTGATGGCAGGTGGTTTCCTGCTTGGTGAGTCTCTCTGAACTTTTTGCTCCCGACATCCTTGGCATGCCTGTGTCCGTGCGCTACCAGATACCATTGGTAATAATCAGGTCGTCGTAAGTTTTGTGAAGATGAAGTGCGATTCGAGGCTTGGTGGATATGGACATATGGTGTGAAGTTGTGCGTGGATCATTCGAAATCGACTTCTGCACAGAGCTGAAACTGTATTCCTACTGGGTTGTAGCCGCTATTTAACCACAGCCATGCCTGGTGAGCAGCGGGGTGTGGCTAGAAGCCGACACGTCTGGTACGAGATGCCCCACTTCGCCATAAGTTAAATCAAGACTAGCTACCCTCAAAGCTCTACTTTATAGAATCTGGTCTCCAGAATCTGGTCTCCATAGGTAAACTATCTTTATCATACAAAACGGGTATGATCAAGATAATCCTATGCTTTAAAAAAGCTACTCTACCGTGCCTATATATAACTTTCAATGTTAGTAAGTAATAAGAGTTATAAGTATTAGAAGTTATAATACTCTTACCTCCATCAGATCAAAGAATTGAACTTAGACATGTGTGCGTGTGGCAAGGAACAAGAGACAGTCGCACACTTTCTCTTTAGATGCGGCAAATGGACAAGTTACCGGCAAAATATGCTTCGATGCATGGACACAAGAAGAGGAAATTTGTCATTATACTTGGGAGGTAAGTCAGCGAAATGGAAGCCAAACATGGCTGCGGTACATGCTACTGTGCGCTTTGTGATGGCCACCGGTGGTCGTCTCGACAACTAACCCCCCCACCTTCTCATTCACTCGACACCAAAATCCACCTCATGTCTTTTGAGCTGGCGCCGCTTCAGCTGCCGTAGATAGGATGCTGAACACTTGGAGGAAGGGCCCCAAGCTAGCCGGTAATTTAGAATACATAATCACATGAGCAACCGTCCCAAGGACACTTCGTAGAATGCTGAATGGTCAAGCCATTTCTCCCAAACGTCCCTGAAAAGGACCTCCGGGAGGGCTACACCCCACTAACCTACCTACTAGGACCTAGGGGATACAAAGGCTTTTAGAAACTAGTGGAGGACAACAGCCCATACGGCACATCCCCCCAAACCTAAATTGAGAACCTCCCTATTTTCCCTTTGTCTAATTGAAGTGTAGCGAACGCAGGCTCTGAACATGCGGCTCCTACCATCCTTTTTGCCTAGATGAGGCCATTTATGTAAGTAGCTATATAGTGGACGTTAATAATAAAACAAACAAACAAACAAACAAAACATGAGCAACCGTAGTATGATAAGAGAAGGGCAGCTAGAGCAGGAAACGGATGGCATTGGTACAAGGGGCTATGGGTTCGCCAACGACCGAAAGTGCTCCTGATAGAGTTTCCCCCTGTTTACGACAATGCCAGCAGCGGCGACGAAGGAAAGGCCGCAGACCTACCGGAACCAGACACTCCGACTGCTGAGAAGGTCGCTCGCTGTACGTCGAGCCGTGTCCGATCTGAGTTTGCCTCTCGTTATGATTAACCTTTGGGATACTAAGGCTGATTATGATATATGTTATTAGCTACTATTCCCGCTGTTGAGTCGTACCCTTCGACATTATTCAAGCGCCCCAATCAGCATATCATCGAGTGGACCTGGAAGAAGTTCATTCTGGAGTCTCTGGCTAATTGTTCGTTCAACGGTTAACCCGATCCTTCCGCAACTGGCTACGGTCTGAAAGATATTTGGAGTACTTTAGAAGTGCAACGCAAGGGTGTGTTTTAGCGTGGAGGATTGTTGTCACTCTCCGAAATACTTGTCTAAAATTTGCTAGGCCTAAAGCTTGCTCGATCTCGTTCAAATCTACGTACACAACTCTCCAATGCACTTATCTAGACATCCTATAATCTACGACACAACAATTAATATAATGTAGTGTGATCTAGTGTTCTCGGATACTAATATAGAGTAGATATGGCCTAAGTAGTTATCTTCGTATAGCATAACGCAACTAGGACGCGCTTATTAAGGAACAATATATTTTATGTTGTATGACGACACGTAATAAAAATAATAACTAAATTGCGGTAAATTCCGAACTGTAGTATGGTGCCCCAGCCCCCGAGTTCGACGCTAACGAGAGCTACTGGCACACTCTAGATGCAAGCCACAGGTTCTCCAGTGCTGGCGGCTACTGAATGCGAATGCAAGCTGCACAACCTAGGCCTAGCTACTACTACGCAAGCTATAGAATTAACCCAACCCTGATATCCTCCAGCTCGTACGTATCTTGGAATCCGTAAACTGATGTGTAGACGAATTTCGCCGCCCAGCATGAGGTCTATCAGAACTAGCTAGACATACCCATCCAACTCGCGAGATATGGAGACATGGTTTTCTTATTTATATGAGAATTTATGCTCTTCTCCTATTCTTTCTTCCTGCTTACTTCCAGGCCAGGTCAGGGACGTAGCGGCAGTAAACTGACGCACGGTGGACTATGCTTCCAATTTTGTCATGAGTAAGACGAAAAAGCCGTCTAAATTTGTCAGATATATCCCTATAGGATGGGTTTCAATTTTTAAGTCTGTGGAAAGCCTATATCTTCTAAAATCGGATGCTATCGCCCAGTATGCCGTGGAGGAGAAGCGCGCTATTATTTGACAGTGGATTGGTTTCCCTGACCACAGACTTTTTGAGCCCTTGACGACGTTAATTCTCCGGGGGTACAGCATATGCCATTTTTGGCGAAGAGACGGAGAAGTCTGCGTTCCAGCGCCTCATCGCCTTTTTTGTGGTGTTAGAAAGCAGCTCCAAGGTCACCAGCGCATCGCTTCGGAGAAACTTGGCTTGGCGGACATCTCCGACGCCGCTAGTCTATGCTTGGGATTTGTGCAGATCACCGATCGGGAACTTATGGCCAAACACAGCCGTACAACAGAGCGGTATTCATGAGTCGTCCAGCATTGAAATCTTAATTATGCTTGTAGCGAGAGGGCTCCCACTGAAATTAGGGACAGTAACACCTCCAGGTAGCTGATAAACACTAGGATTAAACCACACATATTGGGTGCTATGAGACGGTATTAACCTGCACGTGTATAATAATTTATCGAATTGATACTGAGACGACAAATACATACTATATTTAAACTAATTGTCTACAATCCTAAGTACCGGGATTAAAATGACTATCATATTTACATACCTGTGAATTCTTCCAAAGAAAGATGCCCCACCAGAATATTCTCGCTACCCATAGATACAATTAGCAATATGTATACAGAAGATGCGAGAACGATGAAAAGTCGGCGAAGGCTAGCAAGTCCCACACGATAATAGAAAGTACAAATTATAAGAGAATAAAAATACGAGGCTGCCAGGGTGGTTGCATGAATCGTAATTTAGACAAGCGTTTGACGCAGGGGGATTTATAATTATAGATTTGCCACCATACCCGTTCACTTCCCATTCACGCTCGTGGTTATACCTATCAGACAGCTAGGATAGAGTTGCATACTAACAACTGGTTCTAGTAGGTGGCATGAGCTATAGAATATACCCTGGCTAGATTTAAACTCACTACCTTGTGCAATAAAGGTATACAAAACTTGCAAAACACTTTCAGGGGCTGATTAAGTATCAAAAATTTCTGGCATATTCCTAATAGTATTTTTGGCCCCATAGAATAGTGGCTTAGCGGTTGGCAGTCCTCGCATGCCTTCCGGGGTTGGGTGGGTACTATTGCGAGACAATTAGTTGAAATCCGGCTGGGGAACCGTAGGATCTAGGACGGGTCCTCGGCTGCTGCCCGAGGCTGACACGAACCTGGTATGTTACCCTGTATGGTAACAAAGAACCTAGTCTCATAGTCAAAACCCGAAATCCAAGACCTTTTCCTGTTACACTAAGTAACACAGCCCGGTGTTACCGGAAAATTGGCACCGCTCGCGGCAAAGGCTTACGCCAATACAGAAATCTAACTGTGAACAACTAGATAACTTCAAATTATAAAGTGCATTTCTCCCCTGGATAGAGGTATAATACCATAGTTTTTCTTCCTAGGAGCTATACTTTACGCAACGGTTCTTCCGTTTAAGTGGAATATATTTAAGAGTAGCTATAGCTCAAGCTTGTTATCCAGGTAATATGTAAGCACTAGATAGAATACCGGCAAATATGTCTGAAACTGAAACAGAGAATTATGGAGATGGATGAAGTCTTCTAAGTTGCAGGTAGATATTGAATACGTAAAATATAAGCAGTAGATTATTTACAGTAACACACGGGATAGTTAAGTGCCAACGGGCTTTATACTATGCCTAATGTTGTCCTTATTAACCCCCAATAGCATAAATGTCTCTTCACTGAAATAGAGCATTATGGGGCTGAATGCAATAGAGAATACATGAAGTATGTTGTGTTGTATTCTTACAATGGATAGTAGAATGTAAGCAGTAGACTGTTCTTAGTTAGTCTGGCATTAGATACTGCAAAAGCTTGGGCATTTCCTGTGTTGTCCTTGGAACTTTTGTACTATTATCAACATTTTGCAAATCGCAGTTCCTGAATTTATAATGATTCTTCCAACTATAAATAATTTACTATTTCCCTATCATGTTATTTCTCTACTTAACAAGCAACAACAATCCTCTTCAATATATTTAACTACCTTCTATCAAGGACAGAAAACTTGCAAACCGTTATTCAATTCGTTTCGTAAGTGTCTATTGTATTAAATATAATCAGTGCAAGCTATGTTCTAATTCATCAAAGACAGCCAAAATGCAGTTCTCAAATCTCATTGCTATTATCTTTGCCACTGGCGTTGTTGGCCTGCCATCACTTGACGCAACTGGCAGCCAGCTTTCTAAGCGTACCTGTTGGGAACTTAAGGGCGAGAAACTCAAAATATGCCAAGAGGCGTGTGAGTTAGCTTGCGTAAGTAATATAAAACTGCTCATGTGCCGCCATTAAATAATATGCTTGGCTTTTACGTGGCTTACAAAACCATAGGATGCTGTTACCGGCGCACTTGCAAAATCACTTTGCAAGAAAGCTTGTGATGTCGGACCGCTAAAGGTCCGTAGCATCGACACGGCTACTACCGGTCGTTTGACAGTCGAGGACATTGATACTGCAACGCCTGGCGACCTGGTGAAAGTGGCGAATGTTATCTCTCCGGAGGTCATGACTGCTCAGGATAGCATCGGCACCGACGCCTGTATTGCCGCTTGTGAAGTTTTGTGTAATTCTACGGTTCTTGCACTTGCACAAAAGAAATGCCTTGAACACTGTGTAAGTAATTCCATCTTATTAGCGACTTGTACCACTCGGCACCGGTATTGTTAGCGATGATTCAACTAGAAATTTATTTAACCTATTGCAACAGAAGCCAAAGTGTCATTAAATCATTACAACCCAACTCTTAGAGTCGCCGCTATGCAAGGTATAACAGCCCAACAACTCTAATATTTGCATATACCTAAATACTATAGATTGAAAGGCTAATAATAACAGGGTTACCATTGTATATATAGTCCACTTCCAGAGGACACAACTGAGATTGTGGGCTACTTGGAATGGCTTACTATATACAATCGTTTATTGTTTTCGTCGTAGATAGCTTAGTTAGTTAAACATTATATAACAAACAATACAATTCGTTTCTCATATTATAGTTATAAGCCACGTAACTAAGATAAGCTTATTAAACTTTCAACGCATGTCTGAAAAGAACTTCAACCTCGGCCTTATTGTTGAAGAGCTTTATAACAATAGCCCTGGATTTGCTAGTGGGGCAATGCTTTAATAATAGCCAATCGCCCGAGACATTATTAATCATTTTCTATGCATGGATAATTTGTTAAATATTTTCTGCGCTCTAAACACTTGTCCGTTGGCATTATTCTAAAAGAAGGATCAAACCTGCAATGATATTCAACCCGAGTAACCAGATGCTAGCGTATGCTCTAACCCTCTGTACCAGGTTTGAAAACAGGATTCAACCCACCAATATCAAATTGTCGAAGCATATACCTCAATATAAGCAAAGCCTTCTAAGCTTCTATTTTTCCAAGACGATCATAGCTGAGCGCTTTTGGCACTGAGTCCGATTGAATCCTAGTGATTAACCAACCCCGCCTATTTAACTTCTTTTTTACATTATTACATTGCAGGCAAGAAAATCACGCATGCCACTATCTGCTTCAGTTAGTGTCAGTTATGTAAACACTCGGTCTATGTTGCATTTGCATTCGTCTCCATTGAATAAAAAAGAAACCACTCCTGGCCATTGAAGCATCTTGGATCATTCTTCGAGCTTGTCTTCTCTCCAGTCATTCTAAGCTAACCATCGGTGTGGCAATGGCCTAGGATTGGTACACTTCAATAATCGCTTCAAAATTCGCCTCCGATTACTTTCTAGCTATTTGAAGTCCACACTCGTCAGTAGCGATGAGGGAGTATCCCTTTGAAGCAGCTAAGGCATATCGCAGGTATCCATTTGCGATTCTAGCCAATTAGACGACACGAAATTGGCGGTACTTTTACTTACGCTTTAATTTGCTTAAAACACAAGTACCGCTTAACTTACATAGTACATGCATATATCATTCAAGCAAAGAAAAAACAGCAACCTTAAGCTATAATATAAAGGGAAATATACTTTATTTATATAGAATGTTTTTTTACATATATATAGCTATAGACATTATAGTATATAAATTTTTTCTTATATGCTTTATTGCTTTTTGTGGTATTACTACTATAAATCCTTTTTTTAGTTTATAGGGTAGTTTATAGGGCAAGTAAGTCGCGGTCGCGCACCAAGAGCCAATGTGGGGCAGATACATGCAATGTGCCTTAGCTGCTTCAAAGGGATAGCAGAATAGAGAACGGTACCACAGCCGTGTGGCAAGTGAAAAGCTTGGAATACTTACATCATCAATTAATAATCCTACTGATCAAACATAGTCCTCAGCCTAGCTGCGTAACCCAAGGCATGGCGAAGACCAGCGGTCAGCTGCAAAAAGCGTCTACTATTACCCATTTCGACAATTTTCAAGATAGGAAGGTATTTCCGATAAATTTCAGCGCTAAAATTACAAGGGTAAGTTTGTGTTGAAGCATGTGCTAGTTCTAATTGGCTTCAAATGAACCCCAATATCCCACATAGCTGGGTAAACGGCTATTTTTCGGCATTAAATCCAAACCAGCCGCTCCAATCATCAGTAGATTGGAAAGGTCCCGGCCTACTCGCGAGTTGAATTGGATATTTTCGCGTCTGGGACGAAGGAGTTTAGCCAAAGGACCCGATGAGGTGACTTCAAAGATCAAGAACAGCGAATAACAGGCTCGCATAATAGCTGATGCGTCTGGTAGCTACTTGAACCAAGGACTTCTGCTTCCAGAGACACACCTACTCAGATTTGCAGAGGGGAGCTTGGAAGAATGGAATGAGAGAACTTGAACATCTAGAACATGTACCTGGAGTGACCGATACTTGTAGTAAAGAGCCCCAAGCGCAAGCTCTATCTGCCATATAATTTCTTCATGAGAGATTAGGAAGCCTTTGGCTACCCTTCGCTCAGATAGCCACATGCCACAATACGAATTTGTGTAGCTGAGATTTTATGTTTCCACCAATATAAATAACAGTCGATAAACTATGATATACCCTATTCTTACTGAGGGTATGCTCTACAGCGATTTGGGTTGATGGATGTGAAGACAGTGGTAGGGGTGGCGGTTACCGAAGATGCATACAAAATGGATTAGAGAAGAGATTAAGAAAACATATACACTCACTGAATTTCACTACAATCTTACCGCTCTAAATAATGTCACACTTTCATGTCTATCTAGTTATACAGTAATCCCGTTTATACCAATATCCAAACCCTACTCCTTACAATTTCTCGCCTAGGTCTACATTACAATTCCTAGCCATATCCTTTATGTTGTTCAAATTAGAACTGAGGTAACACCAGCAAGACGTAAAATTGCCATGATTCCTAGCTGGAAAGGTTATACCGGTATATGGAGTGGGTCTGGTACAGTTTCTCGGTATCCTGAGCTGGGAAAACTGGCAATACGTGGGGATTGATTAAGATCTGAACAGCACTTCTTTACGTCAACCTGTCTAGATAAAGAAGCAAAATGTTGAGGAAGATATTACTCAATCTGTATTTACTCTTCTAGGAGTTGAATTCTAGCTGATTATTTAATAATTAGTATAGCCACAGTCTACCTCTTATTGTGTTAAGTGTTTATCCGAAATGCTCGCTCTGTTGTAGGCAGGGTCAATGTCAATCGCACGACGCACCGAGTCAATAGTGGAGTTCCGCGGGCTGATTGGCTATAACGGGCCGACTGGATCTTTACAATTCCTAAAACTACTATTCTTTGCCATTTTCTCGACTCCACAGCAGAAACTAGTTTTCTTTGGTATCTTGGGAGTTCCAGTAACGTGATGGAGCACCTCGCCAACCAAGAGTGTCAAAAGGCAGAGTGGGTTTCGGGGGTGGAAATGAGAAGATTATTTGTGTGTACTCACCTCCACTTACGCCGAGGTTCTCGATAAGTTCACACTGTCGTTACTCACTACTCAGGCAACTGGACAGTAGATGCCTCTCGGAGTTTTCCCGAGTTCTAATGCATGATTTACTGCGGGTCTAAACACTGGGGTGCGGGGCCCCGCGTCTGTTACTGTGAAAGAGGAAAGTCTCCTGGGTTGCTAAGATATAGATTGGGTTAACGGGGCTTGGGGCAGCACTTGCCTCCCGGTCAACATTATCGATGAGAAATTCTCAAACTATCTCATGACTTAACGATGGATTATAAGTAGGGGCATCTGGCATCGACATGAGACTAGCTTTTCAGAGCAGCTCTAAACTTCGCGGACAGCTCAATAACAAACAATGCCCAGCACTTTTGATCTACTTGTGTCAAGTCTGTTGACTGCTGCTGTGGTCAATTGCCAGCAATATGACCCGCCTCCTCGAACCTCGGATGCTTTCACTTACGTCCAGCCACGTAACACGACTATTCTTGGGCCTTACGGACACTCCCCTCCTGTTCTTCCATCACGTAAGTGTCTGACCAGTGTCTGAACTACGCACAACTTTCTAATCATATAATAGCCAATGCTACTGGACTTGGTGGCTGGGATGAAGCTTTCGCCGAAGCTCGACGCTTTGTCGCTCAGTTGACTCTTGAAGAAAAGGCTGATATGGTCACTGGGCAGCCCGGCCCTTGTGTTGGGAATATTGTGGCCATCCCACGACTCGGCTTCAAAGGTCTCTGTTTACAAGACGGCCCTTTGGCCATCCGTGTTGCCGACTATGCAAGCGTCTTCTCCGCTGGCGTGACAGCTGCGTCAACCTGGGACAGAAACATTTTGTATGAGCGCGGTTTCGCAATGGGACAAGAGTTCAAAGCTAAAGGGGCCCATGTCGCTCTCGCGCCTGTTGCTGGTCCCCTTGGGCGTTCAGCCTACGGGGGTAGAAACTGGGAGGGCTTCGCAGCAGACCCGTATCTAACTGGCGTCGCGATGGAGCGAACGATCCAAGGTCTGCAAGATGCAGGCGTTCAGGCTACTGCGAAGCATTACATTGGCAATGAGCAAGAGACCCAGCGTAACCCAAGCTATAACTATAGTGGTCCGGTCCTCGAAATAGACCAAGAAGCTATTTCCTCTAATATTGATGACCGAACTATGCATGAGCTTTATCATTGGCCATTTGCTAACGCTGTTCGCGCCAGGGTTGCTTCCGTCATGTGCTCCTACCAGCGCCTTAACGGCTCCTACGCCTGTCAGAACTCTAAGTCTCTCAATGGTCTCCTCAAAGATGAGCTTGGTTTCCAGGGATATGTTATGTCAGACTGGGGCGGCACTCATTCCGGCGTCGCGTCTATCGAGAGTGGTCTTGATATGGATATGCCGGGGGGGATTGGCCCATATGGCCTTTACCGCCAGGAAGGGTCCTTTTTCGGAGGAAACCTCACTTCTGCTGTTAACAATAAAACTGTTGATGAAACTCGCGTGGATGATATGATAGTGCGAATCATGACTCCTTATTACTGGCTCCACCAAGACAAAGTTTATCCATCGGTCGACCCTTCAACCGTCCAGCTGAATACCTTTTCGCCAAGGTCTACATGGCTTCGCGAGTTTAACATTACCGGAGAGGCTAGTCGTGATGTTCGTGGCAATCATGGCGAGCTAATCCGCAAACAGGCTGCAGAGGCTACTGTTCTACTCAAAAACAAAGGCAATGCGCTGCCTTTGAAGGCGCCGAAGTCAATCGCCGTGTTTGGTAACGATGCTGGAGAAGACACTATGGGTGCCTACAACGGAGACAATTTCGAGTTTGGAACACTTGCTGCAGGTGGTGGCTCAGGAACTGGACGCTTCACGTACTTGATATCACCTCTGGCAGCCCTCAGTTCTCGTGCTAGACAGGATAATGCCCTGGTCCAGTTTTGGCTGAACAACACACTTATCGTCGATTCAAATGTCACCGATCTTTGGATCCCCACCCCTCCTGAAGTTTGTCTGGTCTTCCTCAAATCATGGGCAACGGAGGGTTCAGACCGTGAACATCTTTCGGTGGACTATAATGGAGAGGATGTTGTAAATTCGGTCGCTAAAGCCTGCAATAATACTGTTGTTATCACTCATTCTTCTGGCATTAACGAATTGCCCTTCGCTAACCACCCCAATGTCACTGCCATCCTTGCGGCACATTACCCTGGGGAAGAATCTGGCAACTCAATTGTTGATATTCTTTACGGTAATGTTAATCCATCGGGGAAGCTACCATACACGATTGCCAAAAGTGGCCGCGATTATAATGCCTTACCAACAACTAAAGTAACCACCGCAGGTTCGTACGACTGGCAGTCATGGTTCAATGAGAAACTTGAAATCGACTACCGCTACTTCGATGCTCAAAATATATCAGTCCTTTATGAGTTTGGTTACGGCCTCTCTTACTCAACCTTCAGTCTCTCCGACATCAAAGTCGAAGCTCTGGTCAAGTCTGTTTCATCGGCACCTGAAGATCTACCAATTCAGCCAGGGGGGAATCCTGCTCTTTGGGAAAGCATCTACAATGTGTCTGTATTGGTGACCAATACAGGTAATATGGAAGGTGCGACAGTCCCACAGCTTTATGTGACATTCCCAGACAGTGTCCTCGGGACCCCACCCAAGCAGCTTCGAGGCTTTGACAAGGTTTTTCTAGCTCCCGGAAAATCGACCAATGTGAACTTTGAGCTGATGCGGAGAGACCTCAGTTATTGGAGTGTGGTATCCCAGAAGTGGTTGATTCCCGAGGGCGAGTTTGTTATTTCTGTAGGATTCAGTTCCAGAGACTTAAAGAAGGTTATTAGCATTAAACCTTTAACAGATTAATAAAGCATATATAGTGGGTTTTGCAGGTTATTAAGTAACACGCGGGAATAGCTAGTATATAAATATATATTTATATTCTAAATAAATTGTTATATTATAAATTTATTTATATATATATTTTTATAATGTAAATAAATTTAATATAGAATATTGGATTTTATATATATCAAGCTTAATAATAAATTTATAAATCATTGCTCTATTAATAGTATCTAGGCCCGATAACTCGATCAAGTATTATATCCCCTCCCCCTTTGCTATTAATATTAACAAGCTCGACCTTAACCAAGCCCATAACACCTTGACTAAATACAACCTCTTGCCTGGTCGATTACGCAAAAGATCCGCAGTTAAGCGGATATGCATAACCCGTGAAATCGTCCGTGTTGCTTGAATTCGATGGGAACTCAACAGTAAATCCGAAAGCTGACGGCCCCATTCCATTCCCTACGACGTTGCGGACCGGATAGTACAGGCCCTCCGTCAGAGCGACATCCTGGCAAATAAACTGGCCTAAGTTGGGCTGGTCTTTGGTCGTGAGGAACGGTGTTGCGCTGGCCGGAGCCGTGCCATCCAGGCAGTTGAGGGCATTGCCGTGGCCGAAGAACAAATCGCTTTCGTCGTCGGCTGACGTGCAGAAAGTGTAGGAACCGGTCTCGGGCGCGCGGAAGAGACCCTCGTAAACCAGAGTAAAGTTATTGGCGTCCACCGTCACGCCGCCGTTAGTGCTGCGGGTCCACCCGACGTAGTATGCCTGGGTAGGATCAGCGTAGGGGTAGATCACAGGGAAGACGCTTGGGCGATCGTTTTCCGGGTAGAAGGTCAAATTGGTGAGGGAGGAATCCAGGGGATTAAGACCCTCGGTGATATAGTAGGAAGGAGGGAGAATGCCGGTACCCCAGATGTAAGCGAACTCGCCGGCCACGTTCTCATAGTAGTCAATGTTGAAGCCGGCCGGGCCGCAGACGGGATTGGCCACGCACGGGCCGCCAGGGACGAGGGTAACGGTGGCAGTAGCAGTGCTAGTTGTTGTAGTGGGCGTCGTGACTGTCTTCGTGACCGTCGTAGGGGTGGTCACATATACCGTGCTTGTCAGCACCGACGTGGTGCTGGACAGGGATGTCAATGAGACAGCAACGCTCACTGTCATATCCACAGTCGAAGTCGAGGTTGCGGCGGGGAGCGTGATGGATTGCGTAGTGGCCACAGCCGTGATGCAGGCGCAGGCCGAAGAGTAGTCCTCGCGGCTGGGACAGTTGGAGGCAATCGGGAACAGGGCTGAAGTCGACGAGGAGAGGGATGATGTAGAAGATGAGGAGAGGGATGATGTCGACGTCGAGGAGAGGGGTGATGTGCTGGACTGCCTGGGCCGGCAGCCGCGCCCTTTTTCGTTTCTTCGCCTCATAGGCGAGGTTGTAGAGGGACCGTCAGTCACTACGGTTGTCGTCGTAGTCTCCACGACGGTAGGGGAGTAGACGGTCTCCGTCTGCGTCTGAGACGCCTGCGATGGCACCGTCACGGTCTGCAAAACGGTGGACACGTCGGTGGTGGGCGAGACGATGATATCAGTATATGAGACTGAAGCAGTATCGGTGGTAAAGACGACGTCACCGGTTGGTGTTCTTGGATGGGAAATATATGTTAGTAACTAGGCACCTCCCTGAACCACAACTTCCTGCTTCTGAAGATAGGCATGCCAACCCCAACAGGACTTACATAGTTGTCACCACTGGCGATCCAAACATTGACACGCAGGCTGAAAACTGAGCTAGCGGGTTGTTGTCAACAATGCCGGCGACCTGTTGCAGGCACGCGTTGGCCGTGCAGGCAAGAGCGTGGGCAGCCATGGTTGCTTTCGATAAGTAGAATTTCAAACGAGTGTAGCGGGTAAGAAAAATCCCATACAAAACCAAAAAAGAAGGGCGTGTTGATGAGAAACGAGGGAGCAAAGATAGAAGCGTAGGAGAGAAGTCATATATATATCAACTCCAATGTTGACACTATATCTGGCGTTTATGGCAAGTCTAGACCCGCTCAGCTGCGGGAAGAGAGCAAGCTAAGCCCGCTTGAAAAGCAGAGGGAATGAATTTCACCAGGGTTCGCTGCAGTGGCAAATAACGTTCGAGCTTCAGATACTCCACCATAAATAGGTTCTAGACTCCCGTTTTTATTGATTTTTATGTGGAGTCAGATTGACAACCTCCGAATCCTTTAGAAAGGAAATGGCAGTACACTCAGCGAATAAAAAGCCAATTAGATCCACGATGCAATTTATATCATGCTACATAATTAAGGAAGTCGCGTGTTGTTGACTGTAAAATAAATCCCAGCTATATAACCATCTCGCAACCCTTACAATACTGAAATCTTATGGTCTGAATCGTTTAGGCCAGAAAAGTGGAACCTACTGATTTTCATGGACCTCCAGCTGAATAAATCCATAAATCCGCTAAACCCCTGACTATTGAATGAGGCGCCGCGCTACTTTGACCTCAGCTGGGCTTGGCAGATAGTCTAGTACGTTGCAGAAATTAGAATCTACAAGGGGGCATGGCAAAATTATTAAATATAGCAAAAGATACCTAGTAAGCTAACGGCAAGTCACTGCCGTAGCGTATAGAAGTGTAACAATCCGTTATATCGTTAAGCCAAACAGGGTAAAATATTAGGCCAATAATCCCGATTGTAGCAGTTACTGTAACGGAACCAGCTGCTTATAAAGGATTCAATTGTTCCAAGGGACCAGGTTGTAACACTTTTGGCGTATTTTCTTTGCAACTCCTGCTTGTATATGCCTTATACCTCAACTTTATTAACTAACTGCCTAAGTACTGCACGGACAGCATAAGCGAGAATTCCAGCGCCTTAGAACCTTGAAAATATATCCCATATAACAGCGCATATCTCCTGGAAATGTTTGTTGTTTTGCATAAAAAAATCATGAATTCTTCAAATACCCAATCCTTGATAGGGATATTCCTCTACAAGACTTGAGCTTGCTAGCAGGGGAATGCAAATTCAGCGCTGATGCCGCTGATACGATTGAATATCGGCTGCGACATGTCTACACTTGGATAGAAAAGTATGAGTTGTACAATAATGACGACCCGGTCCGACCCACCAAGGACGAGATAATGGTTGTCAAAGTAAGCATGTCTATTTACAACTGGAGAGAGACTCGCAGTTGGTCATCCGGCTTTGAGAGTGTCTCCTACAGAACTCTTCTCAGAATTTATGCCATTTGTGGTCAACAACGAATTGAGATCACACTTCGGCGCTTTAACGCGGGAGGGCAGGTCCCCATCACCATTAAGATCGTGAGGATGGTGACTACACCGTAACGTATACTTCCCCTGGATTCTGCCGTGAGTGTAAACCGGATGATATCAGCCCACACGATGGTTTCTGGAAAGATCACGCAAAGGAGAGCGATAACTAGTCTAGAGCCAACACTTGGCCGTCTACGGCCTCTCATCATCACTTTTGACAGGACCAAGGCATGGGTGTGAATCTTTGAAAAATATTTGCGTCAAAGAGTTTTCTAGACAAGTCAGACCGCCATTTGCGACTTTAGGCCATGTTTGGGGTACAAGGCCATTTTTACACCTAACCACCGATATCTTACCGGCTTTTCTCCAAGTCGGATGTCTCCAAAATAAATTGCCCCTCATTATAAGTAACTCTATAGTTGTTTGTAAAAACTTAGGAATTGATTACATCTTGGTGGACAGCTTTTGCATTCTTTGAGATGTTGGGTTTGACAATATCCAGATTATTGACAAGATGGACTTCATCTATCTCGAGAGCGTCTTAACAATCGTCGCAATAACAGGGATGAACGCTCATTCCGGTATCCCCTATGTCCACCAGAATACTCGTTTTCTCTGGTAGCGAGTCTTAAAGGTGATGGGAGTGCAAGTTGTGAACTCTGTCAACCACAATCAGTTTCGAATGCAGGCTAGATTCCAAGAACCAGAGTGGATATGAAGCACACCATGGCTAAGGCGAGCCCGGCCGTTCCAAGAAGCTCTTATCTCCTGCGGAGCGCTTTTCTTCACTCCAGAGCAGGTGTATCGGAACTGTCACGAACGGAGCAAGTTGTATTAAAAAAGGACGAATATGTGAGGAGATTACGCTTGGATAACGGATTCAGGCCACTGGAATATAAGAATATCGTCATCACGTTCTTAATTGGAAGGCTTACTTTTGAAGCTGATGTTGGTTGTGCATATTTGGGGACTCAAAATTACTTGGATAAAATATGGCGTGGTCATAGATTCTACTGGGGGCTACATCATGGTGGCTTTGGATTGTTTCTGATGCGGGAGTGGGTTTTCATAACAGATAGGCGAAAACGAGAGGGGACTCATCCAATGAGACTGACAGATAGATCTATTGCGCGTGTTCCTTTCCAAAATGGGCCATGGGCGGGATGAACCGAAGATTAGCTGCCTATTACCTCATTTAGGGATGATCCAAACGCCCACTTCCCTTATTCTTTGTGTTAGATTCAGCCAATACCCTCCTTATGGTTCAAAACGGATCACGCTGGTTGAGGATACCCAAACCTCTTGTAGACTTATTGGCAGCGGGCTGGGAATAGCATTAAAATAGACATGCAAGTGCCAAAAGTTAATATTTTCCCGGAATTATACTCAAGTTTATTACTTCGACAATGTGCTTTAATCTTCTACAAGGAAACAGTAAAGGTCAAGCATGATTCACTGTCTTGGTTTATACTATGTATAGAGTCAATGGCTAAAGGGCCGCGCCTGGTGGAAGCAGGTAAACTATTCCATCCTTAGTATTTGGGCTGTAGCAGCATAACATAGGCCTAATAACTATTGAGGGTAAGCAGGCGCTTCTGTTTTAGTAATCGAAAGAAGAAGAAAATACACAAAAAAATATCTTCAGATTTATGCCAGTCGTTTTTATTATTCAATGTGTTTATTCTTCATCCCAAATCATATATATACCACCCTAATACTTTATGTATATCGTGAGTTTATATACAGGTACCTGGTATTGGCCTTTTACCAACCCAAAATGTATATACTTAAAAAAGCATCTCCCAACTAAGAAATGAATTCCCGACTGATTACCTCAATCATATTGTACCTCGATTTAGCGTTTGAACTTTTGCTTCTCATTGTCTAAAGGTATTACTGAATTAGTTGTTAACAACACCACAGCTGCTAGGGTTACTATCACAGGTACAACGTGACGGCGCACTGACCCAACCGGTCAGTCGGCTATTATAGCGTAATTTATTAGCGTCCATAATTTCTGATTCAAATAGTATAAGAAGCATGGGATATAGGCTTACTTTGCGATGTCAGAGGCGTAGCAATGTGTGGCAATATTACTCTGAAGATTTCCAGTTGAAGAGACGGATCCAGAGTTGTAGATACGAGCGCCGCGATAGAAGTCGGAGACATCGCCGTGGCCAGACTCGTTGATACAGTTGGCCAAGCCGTCGCCGGACGAGGTACCGGCGGTTCCCTCTCGAATCATCTGGTAGATAGTGGCAGATGGGCAAGGCTTCTGCACAGTGTGGTTGTCGTTGCAGCTGCCCACACCATTATGATCTTCGCGACTGTCAGTGTTTCTTTGTTCCAGACATTTAAACGTATCTAAGAGGCTGCGATACTAACCCTGCATCAAACCTGGGTTTCTAACACCACCAGTGGTTGTATTGACACGGACACAGCCGTGAGATTCCTGCATCAAAATGGCGAGCACAAAACGGTGATCGACACCGGTTGCCGCTGAAGTCATTTGTATACCGTCCCAGATAGCTCCCTATTTGATTCCATATCGGGTGAGTAACACACCTGTGGTAAGATTGATTGAGGAGAAACCTACCACTTCAGGGCCATCAGTATTAGGAATACGACTATCCTGATTGCCACAAGCAGCGAACATCTGCGGCTTATAGTTATTGAACATATTCTCAAAAGAAACCCAGCGGCTCTTGTCGGGCCAGCCAGCAGAAGTGCTTCCGCTGCCAAGGTACAGCGTGTAGCTATCGACGCCATCACCAACACCGTCCTGAATGTTGGAGTTGTCAAATCTGGCAATGTTGCTGTTGCTGACCTTCTCGCCAGTCACACGGGCAGCTAGCTTGACATTGGCAGCAGAGGGAACATCAGGACTGGTGCGAGATGGCATCCAGTTTCCTTGGGGGACAGAGAAGTCCACGGTGTCAGGAACGGGTTCAGTAGGCGCCTTGATGATGGAGGGAGGGAAGGCAGCAACCATGGCCGCACCGGCAAGGAGGGAGACAGAAAACTTCAATCTTTTAGTTAGCGCTTGCTTTGGGATACAAGGGAGCTATTACCTTCAACATGGTGACTGAACGGATGGTATGCTGAGCAGATAGAGACTGAGATTCTCTTATTGAGGCTGAATGGAATTCCCTAAGAATCAGGATCTCAGCTCTTTTTATACATATTTGCGATATTCTAGATTCTTCAAGACTCGTAAGCAATTAATGTGGTTATTATTTTGAACTTCCTATTTCATCTACAAGTTTCTAAGCCACACAACTACTAGACTTACGTTGGCCTAATTTCCATTTTTGCTGATTTTATATTAACTCTTATAATATCAGGTGCTAGTTCAGGGTTATGTTGCTTACTGTTTACAGTCTAATTGACAGGGGAGTGCAGAGAGAAAGCCATTGTTAGAGCCCAGATTTCACAGGATTTATCCCTGTTATTTACTAATTAAGATTTAAAATGCTTACAGTTTTCGCGCTACGGCTAATAGTTAACGCCGAAGCCAAGGCAATAGCACAAGTGCTGTAGGTTATCTCGACACTTTAATTTGTCATGCCGTTGGTCAGATGTCTCACGATTCTTTCACCTGGGTCGATACGCCCACAGGTCTAGTAAAATCCAGCCTGAACTTTGCGGTTAATACAGTAAGCGTGACAGACATCGACCGAAGCATAGCTATAGTGGTATTATGGAAATACCAACTGGAAATAAAATGGGCATACAGAAATATTGGTCAGGGGCAATCTTTCGTCCAAGTTCGGATGGGTTGGTCTACGCATCCAAGCCAGTAAGCAGACTGCACCTGTCCAAGCCGAAAATGGCTCTATCAGTATCACCGCAAAAGATTTCCGGCATTATTACAGACTGCTTGGCCTCATGGTAACACCAGTAGTTAAAAAAAGCTGAAGTTGGCAACCTTCCTGTTCAGGTAACAGCTGATGATACGTATTTGGAAATGCTAGTAGGGGTATCGGCCCTTTCCACCAATCTTTTCCACCAATGCTATGTAGTAGAAGAATAGCAGCTGCTGTTTCTATATGGCATGCTAAATATAATAAAATTCCAGAATTGGCAATTTGCTGTTACTTGATTGGTGATAGGATATATAATCATCTAAGCTTATTAACAACTGAAACCTCTAGTCAACAGGCAATTTTATCTTGAAGCTAGTTAATAGTAATGAAAAGGGTCTCTGTGCTCTATCTCAATTGTATTATAAATGCTGTAATAACAACTACCTATCTAAGTTATCTTAATGAGTATAGTGAGGTGAACATGTGTTCCCACTCGTTAGGTTTCACATCCCGCAACTGAGCACTGACAGTAGGTGGTACAATAGATGGACTGAGCTAGATGGTGATGCTTGTGCCGGTAACTCGTCTATAATGTTCGATCGCTAGCTGCTCCGGGATACCCATAGTCTTGTCCACGTAGTTTTACTACCTCGAAGACTGCTGTTCAAGCTCTTGTTAAACACAGTCAACTTCATCCGTGGTTGGCCAGTGGTGCTCGCTGAAAGCCAAATTTTACTGCACGCTAAATTTTACCAAACGTTGGATGACGCTGCGTCCGCCAACTTGCACCTAGACTCCGGATCCCTTCTATCACCATATCTCCCAGGCTCTGCCGTGCAGCCGTTTGAACGGGGACAGAAGTTCTGAGATGATCCATCAGCGGAAGCACAGAACTCCAGATCGCCGTAGAAGCACATCCTCCCAATTTCCAGTTCGTAAAACAGGCGCTCTTCGAACATTGTCTTTATAGCAATATAATAAACTTCTTGTTTGATGATTTTGGTTGCGGCAGTCGTAATCCCATGGGTGTCGGCGACGCCTCCTTGGCAGAGGAAGGCTATGATATCATCTGCCAAGATGATCACAATACGCAATACGCAATACGCAGGCGTCCTGTCATTCACCGCGGAGTGTTATAATTCTACCTTCATACAGGAGGAAGAAGATTATATGGTGGGTTGAGTCTTGTGGGATCGCGCAGTAGGGAAGCCGCAGCAGCAATGGCGTCTTGTTTCGCCATACCCTCCCGTGCTTGGGACTGGCGGGCCCCACGACTGGAATACAGATACAAAATCTAACCCGAAGCTTAAAAACATTTGTACAGCCCCAAATATAGGTTAGTATCAGGCGTATGCATAAATTCCGTACATACCCACATGCCATCTGATATTGTCTCTCACCCAATAGTAGAATGTTCCTACAGCAATCTCGAACTATCTCAATCATCATCTCCCCCCTTTCACCACCGCCCATCTCAATCTCGCCCTTGCACCTCAGCTCAGATATTCCAACTACTCCTCTCGATGCTACCCTGGAATGGCGCCAAGTCGTTCATGGACTGCCCTCGCCAGCCGCAACTGTCTATCTTGGACCACTTTTGGATATTAGCACCGTTTAGCTATGGCGGCTCGTCTTCTAAGTCAAGTCCGTTTTCCATTCGGTGGGTGTAGTGTTGGTCATACCCAGCACGCTGTATGACATCGTGAGAGGCATTTCCGATTGCCTAGCACGCTTGATCTGCATGTATGCGTGATGAACCACTGACTGCGCCTCTCGTACCATTTGCTAAACGGCTATGAGGTGATCACTCATAGTGGCTCTAGTTGGAAGGATTGTGCGCTCTACGTCACCGTAGTACTCATGAAATTCCGATTCGATGTCAATAAGGACAAATTCAGCTTCCTGCAGCGTTCGTCCAGTCTCACCGCCATGTGGTAGCGCCGGCTGATCACCAAACAGCACCAGCACCAAAAGCCATAACCTACTCCAGCACGCATGAATAATGCTTGGGAGGCGTCGATAACTTCATCTGGATGCACTTTTGCAGGGACTTAGGCGTGAACGAGTGGATCTCTTTCAGCAGAGCGATTTCGTCAATCAACTTGATGGATCAGAGACTCTGGTCTCTGACATAGGCAATACTTTAATTCCTACCTCGTACAGACCGGCTGCAATCATGACCCGCACATGCTCATCAATCATAACTTTCTTGTAGCCCGTGGCTCGAGCGAGTGTTTCATACGGCGACTCTTCTTCGATCCAGGTAATTGTTGTTTTGTTGTCAAAAACCATGTCGAGCTTTGCAATAAAGCACTAGCGTTGTAAACTGGCCATTTCTGTGAATGATCAGAAAGGAGCGCTCTGAGAAGTGAAAGCTTAAAGTAATTTTGGCATAATGAGATGTTGGAGCAGCAGATGGTTTGGCAATAACAGCATTGACCCCGGCGGCGTCCGGTTCGAGTGCTAGTGCCTTCTGACGCGCAACAAATTAGGCCGTTGAATCGGCGCGATGGATAGCAGAAAGAGATGCGGCTCGAGGTGATTTCAAGAACAAACTTCCATCGACGGCGTCAAACTAGACTCTGAATTGCGGAAATGGTACATCAGAACTACACATATTAGGGCCAGCAAGATGCAAGGCTGTCCAATCGGCAACAAACCCTTCCAGACGATGCTGTTACTTGTTGATCGGAGTTATATACCCTCCTTTTAACTTCAATCTCCTGCGACGAGAGCAGATATCGCTTCTCTACATCGCTTCCAACTGGTATCCTGGTGTGTCCCCTGGGGTTTAACTTCGGAGTGATTCGTCATGTAGGTAGGTATGCTAGTTCCAAATCAGAGGGCGGTGTAACCAGAAGCCAGTCGTTGTCCACACAGCCAATTACGTACAGTTGGATTTGAAAGATGTAGTAGGGATGGAATCAGAGATTGTGGAAGTAAACTTTACTATACTTCATAGGACGTACAAGTATACAACTTGGTGGAACTAAAAGTATGTCAATAGAATCCGTTTAATTTAACCTGACTAGAGGAGAGCCTTTTCTTTCTAACTGTATTTATGTAAAAAGGAAAGAAAGGAAAAGAAAAGAAATAGATTGAAAAACATAGGACTGGATGATAAAACTAGTTGCTGTCCTTGTCCAATTGCTCTAATACCTGGCTTCTGTATCTGTGGTCTTGATTGGAGTTTGGTAAAATCTCAGCTATAACCATAATCCGGCATCTCATGTCAGATGTAATTGGTATGCACTACTGCATTAACAATATATCAAGCTTTAACAAATCCTTATTTAATTCTAAATTTAATAGGTTATTATTATAGATACATTGATTCCATCTGCGAGTAAGTGCAGCCCTGATGCTATTAATCAAGAAGACAATACTTCTGGCCACGCTTTATTGCTTTATCGGACGAATCTCTTCTATCCAAGTCCTGACCAGGGTACTATGGCCAGTCAATTCGCCTGACCTTACAGTCACCATCATCCGCCTGGCTAAGGCTAAAGAGACCTACCACCTTTAAAGGCGCTCGGACTATGAGTTCATCTAGATCAAACTAGGCCCCAATAGCGAGATGTCTAGTTATGTAGGACATAGAAGCTCTTAGAGAAATAGCTGTTCTGACCAATGCCATACAAAGTGTCCACCGACAGTTGGGAGAACAAGGGACGGAGTGGGTCGACTCGAACCCATGAAGGCCACACGTTAAACGTTTGGTGGGCCATTGCTGTTGGAATACAGATGGCACCTTCAACAACACCGGGTTTTGTGCCTGCTGTGCAAATGTCTTCAGCTGTTCCACTCCTCTTTCTGAGAAAGAAAGAAATGAGACTGAATATCATTTGAAGCAATTTCATCAACTTACAGGAGAAATCGTTAGCAATGCCCGCAGGTATGCAGAATATGGCGCCAATTGGCTTCTTCGGCCACTCCATGTCATAATGTATCTCTCTAACCTTGCGCATGAAACATACTTTTATCGCCCCTTCGAACTTTTGAGTTTTTTTTCATCATATTTTTCCGGGCATCGTCTTCACCATTTCCATATCGACTCTGCTGAAAGAACGTTTTAAATGATTGCACTTACAGGCTCGTATATTAGCACTAGTGATTGATCCATGGACCGTGCCTTTACCACTTACCCGAGCTTTTCTCATCTAGCCACTTAGTGCTGTGAATTATACATTTGCATAAAGTCATATAAAGCTTTGGAAATTTAATCTGTAGATCAGGGTCATGATTGTAAAGCTTCATCTTTTGTTTGACAGTGTCTGCCTGGCTGGAGAGGCTGTCAAAGAGTGATAAGATGTCTTCTCTCATCATCTTCTTCTTCACAGCTGTCTACCATTCCGTCATGGCCATTAGTATTACATGGCACCTATAGAGGTTCTGATATGATCAGAATGTAACCTCGTCGTCCTAGATTGATATAAGGCTTGTTATAAAGACAGTACTTACGTTGTAAGTGTCAGGCACCCTGATGAGAGTGATGAGTACACTCCACTCGGTATGGCCTCGAGCAAAGATTCCACGCAGCAGCTGGATATTAATAATAAATGCATATTCGTTTTAATTTATATACCTCCCTATAATAGGGTGAGCGATCTGCAGCGGAATGTTTATCGGACCGGAAGATTTCCGAGATAACAGGGGCAATGATAGCAGTGGAGACACAGCGGTGGAGCAGGGATAATAGCGTCGTCGATCACTTGCGGCAGATGCACTTGTGTTACATGGGTATTCTGGTGGCCGCGCAATCTAGTACTATAGTATATCAGATCCCTAGTTATAGGGTGTATGGCTGTATCAAGTGCCTTGCAAAAGAACAGAGAAACAGAGACCGCAACATGACTATGCACATACTAATAAAAATACGAGCATTACATCGAAGGGGGCTCTCTTTTTCTTTTACGTATATAATTCTGGTCTGCGTGTGCTAATGATATTCTTATTTGTTATCTTGTCACAGACCGCGAGCTATATACCTGTCGCCTTCGCTCTGTCGTATATGATAGGGTCAATGGCACCGTTACCATCGGCAATTCCGCTGTTCCCTGCGGCATTATCATCCTTGCTATCGCTACAAAATTACCTAAGAAAGCCATTGCTATATTTGGTTATAACTAAGGCTGCATCGGGAGTCTTGTAGCTCATACTGCTGGAAATACACCCTTTCTCTTGTCATTCTGCTTTGCAATTATTAAACCCCAACTTCTGGAGAATTAGTAGCGGCAGTGTTAGCATTCTTCAATTGGCATTGAGCTACGACACCTGCATTGACAATGACTGTCTAGGTCAGTGGCAAGTTCAATATTCGGATTGGGGGAGTTCTGTTATGTAGTACTCGGCCTCGCTACATTTATCATCTTGGGGTTGATGTGGCCATTGTGATGTATATCCAATTCCAATTATGTGGTGAGACTGTACACGGAGTAGCCAAGAACTGGATACTCCGCGCTCGGCGCAAAGATGGACCTCAGCGAGCGTCTAGTAGGATCCCTGTCCATTGTTATCTTGACTTCTGTCACATACGTGCTCCACCTTCCTTCTCTAGATCTATTTATGCTTATTTATAAAAAAGACAAGCCTTAAAGCCAGTAGGATGAGGATGACACACAACCCTACGGTTCCCGTTTCGATGTACATTCTATTCGTGCAATTCTAATTTATAATCAAGACTAATATGGGATCAAGCCTTTTTGTGTTCATCTACTCTTCGATCTTGGCCTTCCTTTCAGTCCTTGCAGCCCGCCACCGTTGCCCCCAAAACCAGTTCACTGCAGCCAATGGTGTCATTGTCACGGTGATTAATGCTAATCCCAGGAAAGCCCACGCGGGTCCGAGATTGGTAATCATAGTCTCGACAAATGCAACCCCAACGGCGCCGAGTCCGCACCGTACCAGGTTGTTAATGGCCGTACTGCTAGCGCCCTTGCCGGGACACAAGTCCGACACGAGCGTCTGGTTGAGCGCGAAGATAGCGTTGCTCATCGCGGCGATTAGGAACTGCAAAACTAGTGGCACCACGATCCACCCGGGCTTGGAAGTTAGAGTCGGGTCCGCGAGTGAGAAACCATACGCGGCTGTGGATACCGAAAAGAGGCTTGCGATCCACGGGAGGTTCCGTAGGCGCGTTTGCTCTATCGGAAAATCGGCCGGGATGTTTTTAGTCGGGAGCTTGTGCGAGGGAGGTAGGTTATGCGCGATTTTGTAGGCCACTTCAGCTGCTTTATAGTCGCGGGTCATGAGTTTGCCAACCATGGCAGAGCCGACGATAGTGCCGCAACCTGTGGGAGAAGTATCGATTAGCCAAGGTTTGAGCGGCAGAATGATCATGGATGGAGGGATGTACCGTTGGGTAGGAAAGCTAGGCCAAGGAGAAGCTCATTAAGGCCAAAGCGGGACTTGAAAAGCCCCGTAGTACTAGATGTCACCATACTCCAAATGGCATATACCACGCCCCCAAACAGCAAGTTCAGGACGATATCCTTCTCTACCAGAAGCTTTAGGGGCTCGATGAACGTTATGACGGTCACTTTCTTTCGCTGGACTGCTTCATCAGGGTCCTGCATATATGGTGGCTCCACGGTGAACCTCGCAACAAGTGGCTTGTAAATACCCGTGAGCCGCAGGGAGCCGTTTCCAGCGATGCTTCGCAGGGTCTCAGGCAGAAACAAAATCACCATTATAATGACTAATGAGGAAAGTATCACGAGGAAGATGAAGATAGACCGGAAGCCGAAGGTATTTGCCAAGACGCCACCTAGAACAGGACCAATAGCGATACTGAAGTTACGGACTGTTAAGTGAACTCCGAGTAAGTTTTATATACTGGATCTATAAAGTTGCAGAGGGCAGGGCTGTGCTTACTGGCCTGATAGAAACTTATGAAAGCTCCTCTTTCAGATGGGGGAGAGATATCTTGAATAACGCCATTTCCTTTTAATTATTGCATCAATAATAGTACTTAGAAAAGGCAAATATGTCACAGAGAACCTACCAATACTTACAGTCGAGGCGCTACCTGCCGCCTGCAAACCTCTGAAGATGAGAAGAATAGTGAAATTTGGAGAAAGGCTGAGGACAATGTTGGAAATGATATAGACCGTGAAGGAAGCGATGTAAATAGGCCGCCGTCCCACTGTGTCCGACAATGAACCCCAAAGCAGTGGCGATACGCCCTGAATTACTAGGTACGACGTGATGGTCAGGGAAACGGCGTCGATGCTAACATTGAGATCCTGCTCTCCTGTCAGCGATGTCCAAAAACTACACACAGTTGACTTACCTTTGCAATTGCGTCTAGTGATGGGAAGTAGATATTCGACGACAAGCCCGAGAACAAGCCTGCAACTCCGATGACGCCTACAAGGAACTTTTTCAGGCCCTTCGGGAATACGTGATACGGCTGTTCCAGTTCAGTATATGGAACGGTCGCCATTTCCTCAGCTTGCGCCGCCGGAGCTACTGCATCCAAAGAAGCACACAGGACACCAGCCGGGTTTGTAGCGTGCAGACTGCTTCTGGCCCCACTCAAATCAGTAACAGTCACCTGGTGGGAGGTACCTGTCGCAGGTTTGCAACTGTTCTGCTTGTGCATGTTGATTTTTGGTGAATCTGATATATATGAAGGTCCTGCTCTGGGTGGGCTCGACGGAATCCCGGAGTGCGAGGCTGTCTGGTGTTTAAAAAGGAGTGCAAGAGTCTATTAGGCAGAATTACGGATGGTACAGCTTTAAGCCAAAACAAAGAACCGCCTTCTGTGCTCAAATTGTTTATCATAACGTTGTATTAATGCATACGCCGATCCGTAGGGTTATCTTGAATCAACAGGGTGCCAAATGTAATGCCAAGCAATGAAACACTGACATGCTCTAATGTAAGATTGATGATGACTTTCAAGGCCTTGAAAGTGAAATGTACACAATACCGATGTTACTCCATAATGCAACGGCCTGTGCTATGACACTCTCGTACCGTCTCTGGGGCTTAGACTCCCCGTATCACCAACTATCTTGAATAATCCCGATATCTTTGTAAACTGAGACATATTCCTTGCCGGTGGAGGCTTTAGATAAGCAGAGTACCATTTTGCGCATCAGAACCAAGGCGAAGACAAAGTGGGCGCGTCTTGGCAGCCCCTGATGGTGGTTCAGGCTCTAACAGGGGCTACCTTACTGGCATAAGATCGACCAAGACGGAGACTTTTAAAGCTTTACAATTATGGAAAGTTTAGGCTACTATATTTCCACATTACTCTATAAAGAGCGTAGGCGACGAACAAGGCCGGCAGTAGCTACAATAACAGCTAGCCTAGGCATATCCTCCTTACCTACTTGAGCAAGAGCATTAGCGTCGGTAATTTTATCTCTGGCGATGCTGGTAGGACAAAGCAGTGCTATAGCATTGACTACAACAGTTACTACACCGTCACCGAGGAATATTGTTACAATGTTCAGAACCGTGAGCGCGAGTCTAGTAACTGTGACAGTTACTACAACACCAGCACCGACCTTCGCAATCCCTAGCCTTGGAATGTCAGCAGTTGATACTCAGGCGCCGAAGTGGAATATCACCAAGTCAAGCGAAGCTTCCACCACAGCCACCGTCTTTGCTCAGAGAAGAACTACAACAATATCAGGGCCAAGCGGTGTTTTCATTGGTATAGTAGGAGCAGTAGGTACGACTTCCTTGAGAATATAACCAATTGGCAAAAGGTTTTTGTTAACTTGGATTATTAGCTGGGCTGTCAATTCTAGGTGTAATAGTAATTGTTATATTACATAGAAAAAGAAAGGAAAAAGAAGTGCAAGTATAAAACTACTTCCTTTAATAGCCTGATAAACTAGGCCAAGCCCGAGCTGGGTTCCCAACGTGGTTGTTATAAGTGTAGTTAAACCTAGTTATAAATATATACAATAGGTGATACTAGCCACATTGCAACAACGACATCCAGCGCCCCTAACGTCAAAAACTACTACACAAATCCCCGAACAGCTGAGAACCCTTACAGCAAAGGATCATGGGTATGTATGTCGCCACACTTCGATAGCAAGTCGCAAAGAGTTTATAGCTGTTTATCAATTGAGAAATCTTTAAGAAGACAGCTGGAGGTTATTATATATACAGCAAACTCTCTTTTGTACATTAGCATGTATCAGCAACTGAAATTCTGTTTGCATTCGGTCGCCCATAACAACTCAGCGACCTTCTTGTGCCACTTATCTATCAGAATCTCCGTCTGTCCATTGCCCGTTGTAACCTGTAATGGTAACCCACTATATTTATTCTTGGAGTCAGATTCCGCGCAGTGCTTAGCGAGCAAGAACTTCACAATCTCCACGAGCCCGTTGCACGCATCTCTATGCAGGGCAATTGGGGAAATACTGCCCTTCATATCGTGCTAGCGAATGGCCTTATAGAAGTTGCAAAGACTGTTTTGCAAACGATTCAGGGCGCATCTACCGTTAGCGTATCGAAAAGTCCACTTGAACTATCAGACTTAGATTTTCAGAATCATGACCTCGAGACACCCCTCATGATGCTGCTAAGGAAGGAAACGTTGATAACGTAAGAGACCCATCTGAACTCCACTCGAAGATTGATATAGTATCTGATAAGAATGGTAGGATACATTATGCAACAGTACTCTAAGCTGCCGTTACAGGCGGTAGGCTTGCTACGATCAGATTGATCTTAGGCAGCAAGCCTGACGTCACAATCTTCTCTGGAAAATGGGGAATGCCGCTCCACCGCGAAGTAGTGTGGAAAGATATACGGCGTACAAAATATCTTTCTTCAAAATTATGCTCCTAGCCTTAGTATAAACACAATCGATAAGGAGGGGAGGTTACGAATGCATCTAGCCGTAGGATATGAGAATTGGATGATTCCTTATTTCAATGATTTCCGTAGCAATAGATGACAGCCCACGAAAAGGACCATCGGGGACGATATATGGCGCATCTATGCGCAGGATGTGATAGATATATTGATGGCTGGCTGCATGCAACGTTGGGTTAAAGAAGTGGACTGGACTTGTCTGGGCTCGGAGCTCCGCACGAATAATTTTCCTATCCAAGTCCAAGGCTCCAACAGCACAACCTATTCCTCCTCTCTCTCAGGCGCCCCATAGGTGTACGGGATGGTACACACACGGGATAGCTGCTTAGTCAACAACGCCTACTATAACAGGCACTGTAATTTCTTCTAGCTGCCCCTATAGCTATCTTTCTGGGCTGCTACTTTATCTCTTAATATACAAGCTTTTGCCTGCCTTTTATGGCCTTTTTTATGGCATTTACCACAGGTAGGTATTGCTAGCAGCTCTTTTTCTAGCTGGTCTTCCAGCTCCTTTTTTAGCTGGTCTTCTAGTTTTTTTTTGGTTAGTCTTCCGGCGGCTGGTCTTCTGGCGGCTGGTCTTCTGGCTGTTGCAGCTGCTTTGCTGGTTTAGTTAGATGGTTGTAAGAAAAGCGAGATTCTGATCGATGTTCTAGAGCCCAAAGTTCGGCCCAGCTTTCTTTGAGGCTGATTGAAAATTGGCAGCCTTTGCGAAATTGATTACAGGCGTAAATAATTTTTAAACGGCCGGTTTTTCCAAATGAAGACCTTCGAATAATCCACTTATAACCACCAGATGCAGCATAAATAGCTAAATCAAGCTCTAGTTTTTCTTTTAATCAATAAATATGCTCAGGAGGAAGAGAGATTGCTGCATCTATAGTAGTAAGAGAAGCAGTTGTTGTACTCATTATAGCGTATAAAGTAGGTTAGGGTTAATGAAGATGGTAGCCAGTATAGCTAGAAGAAATTACAGTGCCTGTTATAGTAGGCGTTGTTGACTAAGCAGCTATCCCGTGTGTGTACCATTCCGTACACCTATGGGGCGCCTCTCTCTCATTAGCGCTGACAAAAGCAGCCCACGCTTAGACTTGCCGCGAGAGCTGCTTGTTAAATCGCTACCGTCAAGCCTGGCGGCGTTCCCGCTGCTGTTGCCACGCGATGGGGAATCATCTAGACAGGTTTACAGAAATTGAATCCTGCCAAGAATTTCTGCATCACACTTGCCGTTGGTCAAATAGTCAGCGGCTCGTCTGGAACTCCCGCTAACTCTGACGGCACTTGTAAGGCCAAATTTGTCGTCAGTGGGGATTCCTGCGCATCCACGGCGACAAAGTGCGGGCTTAAGGCGGCAGACTTTACCACGACTGCACAGCGATGACGAGACCTTTTATTCGACTATGGTGGTCGGCCAGCCAGTTTGCTGCGTTCATGCAATATTGTTTGATATTAAACCCCCCCCCCCCCCCTCCCCCCCCAGGGCTGCAGCGATATCATAGTCCTCAACCACAAGGGCGTGATTGGCGAATCTTATGACAAATCCCAAGATTTGCTCAATCATCTCAAGGTGCTGCGGGTCATTGGCTCCCTGGACTCTCAGCTCAACATTGCAGATGTGGCTGATGCAGCTGCTCTGCCAGTCTTGACGATGGCCTGTGCCGTGGCAGGCAGGGGAGGGTTGTCAAGCAGGCGGATAGAATTGCAAACCAAGGGCGAGAGTAGGTGATTGCCAACTTTTTCGGCGCCATTCTCTTCTTCATCCCCTCTGTAGCAGAAGCCGTGGATAGTAGTATAGCTGCTATCCGCTCTGCCTTGTCGCTCGCTACTGAAGGCAAACTTTCTTCACCACCTAGGCCTATGTATTCCACAATATGCGAGTGCATCATCAGTGATTTATAACGATAGAAGCTGTTATAATATAAAATAGCTGTCTTAACTTTTCATCCAAAGACAAAAATAAAGAGGGTTATTTAGTATTTTAAGAAGAAGAAATTACGTTATTTATAGTTAGCACATAAATAATTAAAATATTATAAAAATACAACATAAATTATGCAAATAAAAAAGAAAAAAGAGTATAATCAACATACACTATAATGTAATAAAAAGTATTATATAATAAAAATAAATACTATATTATAATAAAGAGCAGTATACTGTAGCGAATTGACATATTATACCGGATAAACGCTATATTATATTAGATAAACGATCTATTGTAATAAATAAGCACTGTATTTCAGCAGATAACTGCAGTAACTGGGGCAATACAGTAGAAAGCACTGTATTATAGTAGAAAGTTTAAGAACATTCAACGAAATCAACCTGCTTGGATACCGGGTAGGCTTAAGCTAGAATATACTACTGTTATTTGTTCTGGCTTAAAATAACATCTGCTGCCTTTTCGCCAACCATGTAAGTCGATACTGCAGTAAATGTCCCTGGAATTCTCGGGTAAACAGACGCATCTACTACTCTCAGCCCCTTGACACCTCGCACACGGAAGCTTGAATCTAAAACTGCCATGGGGTCACCGTCTGCCCCAATAGGACACGTTGAAGAAGCATGATGGCCCCATGCAGTATCCTTGGCATACATCTCAACATCGGCAGTAGACTGAATATTTGCTCCTGGCAGAATCTCATCCACCTGGACAAGCTGTCTTTTGAAAGCGTCACGCGCAACGCCAATAGCTTCACGGATGGCCATTAAATCAGCTGCATAGTTGCCGCTTCCGGTATCGAAGTAGTTGTAGACAATTTCAGGAGTATCTAGAGGGTCAGCGGATAGCAGCTTGACATGCCCAGCGTTATTGCGTGGATGACCCTTAAGTATGGCCCAGGTGAAGAGGTCGTGTTCAGAAGTAATGTTATAACTGTATCCGGGGAAATAGCCGCGAAAGTTGACGGGTCCGCCGAAGAGGAAGGCATCGTATTCACTTGCCTCTGAAGATCTCATCAACATGGCTGCTGCGAAACCATTTGAAACGTAGGTTCCTCGATCGCCAAGGATAGGATGCTGCCAGCGGTCGAGGCACGGATCGGTGTCAGAAAATGTACAGCCCTCAAGGAACGTCCAGTTAGATGGGACACGGCCCTGGACAGCAACTTCATAGTGGTCTTGGAGATTGGTTCCTACGCCAGGCAGATCCTTGACAACCTTGATACCGAACTTCTTGAGTTCGTCCGCTGGGCCCACACCGCTGAGCTTCAGAATTTGGGGAGAGTTATACGTCCCACCCGCGACAATAACTTCCTTGGAGGCAGTAACTGAACCAGGGGTGCCTTTAGTAGAAGACTTTGATCGTGGACTGGCTTTGTAAAGGTACGCTCCGTCAAGGAACTCAACGCCCGTAGCGCGAGGTTCATCACCCAATTCATCAAAGACGACTTTGGTTACATGGCAGTTCATCCTCACATCAAGAGGATACTTCTTACTACCGTCCCAGTTCTTGGCATCCCGAACGGCAACCACAAACTCTCGCGAACCGTATCTCTGTCCATTACCAGCAGAAAGCGGAATCTGGAAATACCCACCGTCCTTATCCCGACTTTCTGAGTCTTCGTTGGCATCACCAAGGAGGACATTAAGTAAATTTGGCAGCAACTTGGTGTAATTTCCTAGCGCAAAACTACCTCCAGTAATCATACTGAGCAACTTGGGATCCTCAAGAGGAATCGTAAGCGGTGCGCGATCTGTGTCCAACCACCCACTGTAGCCATGACCCTTGGCAAGAGGCAGCAGGTACTTGTTATTTTCCATCCTGACGAAGTACTTTCGCATATTATCGGGGGACCAAGAATCGTCACCAGTCAGTGAAGCAATGAATTGGAAGTCCGAGCGATGCGGGTAGATCGCCACAAGTGCATTGTGGGCAGTACATCCACCTAGTGTTCCAGTACGAGGATACAGTGTTCCAAGCATCTTTGAACCAAGAGGGGGATCCAACCCGGTGTATATCTGTCCATCTGGCGTCTCATACGAAGTCTTGTAGTCGCGCGCTTGTCGAGCATCATCTGCATAGTGTCGCACGAAAAAGTTCCAAGCAAGTTTCTCATCTTCTGATGATTTTGCAGAGTACGCAGGCACAGTGTAGTTTGGGTTGTTCCCCTGGTCGTCGCCGGCTTCAATGAGAAGCGTTTTGTGCCCGGCCAGGGCCAGTCGCGCGGCTAGTGGACCGCCACCGGCCCCGGAACCAACGACGACGTATTCATAGCCGGTGAGAGTAACGGCATTGGCAACAGATGTCAGGAAGGTGAAGCCTAGGAAGGCAGCTTGCCATAAGGGATGCATCATAGTCTTTTCGTTTTCAACCCGAGGATGGAAGCCTGACCTCGATCCCGTCCACAAAACGGCAAACGACAAATACATATAGATGGACTGAAGACTTTCTGGCTGATATGCCGCTTAAAATTAAGCCTCTCCCTAGTAAACAAGATCTGTTATTGCTGGTTCAGCCGAGGTGGTGTCTAATATCGCTGTAAATCTAGCATCGGCCTAAACGAACAGTTGTGGGTCTGCAAATTACAAGTTCTCCAACAAACGCAGGGAGTAATACTTAGCCTAGCTCATTCGAGAGAAATGCAAGCCAAAAGTTCGTCTTCCAACAGTGGATCTAATATTCGGGTTCTTTGGAAATAGGATGGCCAAGTGTCTTAGCAGCTATTATTACCAATGACGTATCCTCGCCTGTCTTGTCGAGCTGTGCCCGCCAGTATTTCAAGCATTCACACCTACTATTATTTCGCTCGCTCCTCCGCTCATAAGGACGAGCGGATGACAAGTTTGCGAATCCTCCTAAATAAAAGCGTCAATCATTCACAAACTTCTGTTGCCATTCTTTCCCAGTCCCCATCCTAGGCAAGGATGGCAATCATCAGCTGTGTACATAACATCTCAAGGGCAGCTTGGTCTGACGCCTATACCCCGCTTTTGCTGATCGGCAGCCACCACTGCTGTTTTTGGGCGGCCTGTGAAGATGCGATCTTCATGAATAATTCATGTCGTTGCTAGGAGCATTACACAGCCATGTGGGTTTCAATTTAAAAGTCGGGGATGTGATGGTTCCAAGTACTAGTAGTATGTACTTCGGCTGTGCCAGGGGAGGACTTGTCGGATAATTATGTAGTATAAGTCCAGCTGTAATAACGTCGACCGTGATAGATGAGGGTAGTCGGCATCATGGCAATTACTATATATTTCGGACTTGATTCCGAATTCTTGTTGAGACTCTAGGGTGTTGAACCGTAACAGCTCGCTATTAAATAACTCTCTAAGGCATCCGCACAGCGTCTCTCTACCTCAGTACATGACCTCAGTCCCGTTCGGGAGCGTATAGCCTACCATGATAAAGTCCCGCACTATAGCTGTCCCGTTAGCTAGTAGCGCCGTCTGAGCCGGCGTGCATGTTTCCATAATGTCCCACGTATAGCATAGTGGCTCTGAAGGCCTCGGTACTATGTTTTTAATGCTGAAGCTGCTGTTTGGCCCTACGGTAGAGTACTTAGCCCCGGGGAGAACCTGGCCCGTCGCGATGTCTAGGCCAGCCATAGCACGGGAAAAGATACGGTACGCTGTCTCGGGCTGGTAGTATGGGACTGGAAGGAAGAGATTATGTTAGCCACTGCGGTATATAGTATGGGTGAGGTGGGAAAAAAAGAGGGATTAGGCATACCCTGGTGCCCTGCATCAAAGACCCGCGAGAACGAAAGGTTCCCGTGCTGGCGCACTACGCCACCTATATAGCTGTCATTGGTGCTGATACTGGCATAGCCAGCGGATCGGAAACTTGCGGATGACGATGATTGAATAGCTAGGCTAATTTGTTCACCACCGAACCCTAAAAGAGAGAAGGAGTCTGTCAGCGTAACGCTTCTTCAAAGTCAGTAATAGTGAACTAGAATAAACGGACAGTTACACTGATAGTCCCTATCGCCATAGACAAGCGCGACCCTAATACCACTATCAAGCAGTCCTCCCAGGAGCTCGAGGTTGTGCCCCCGGATGAAATCGCCTGTCTGTAGAAAAACCTGGGCCACAGCAGACGAGAGGCCTGTGAAGTTAAGCGGCACACCAAGCGCGAGCTGTGTCTCGCGCGAGTTTAGATAACCTGCCGCAAACTTGGGCGGAAACGAGTCTGGCGCTAACTGAGTGAAGTCAAATTGGTCATGCTGCAGCAAGGCTATCTATTAGCGATTTGCGTTTCCAAGAGCGTGCGCGCTTTGTCATATAATATAGATGTATTCTTACCCCTTTAGAGTTAAAGGGCTGCAATATGGGCCCAAAACAGAACTTGTATGCTGTCTCGCAAGCTTGGTTAACTCTCTTATTGTTTCCCCAACCCTCCGGGTCCAGCTCATTAGCCAGGCATCGACAAGCGTCGGTTAAGTAGAGACACTGGGGCACAGCAGCCAAGGCATCCTGGTACTCAGTGTTGTTAATGACCTGCAAACCGTAGGTATTGTTATATGCGAAGACAGGGTATAGCGGCGTCTGGACACTGTTATCAATACAAGCGTTTACCAAGCCGATAACATCGATATGCAAAGGGATAGCGGCTGTCATCGAGGCATTCTCAGTAGCAATGACATCATTCTGAGTGGTGATATAGCCAGCTAGGGTCGGGACGTAGTGACCGCCATATGACTCTCCCCAGAGGCTTAGATGGTTGTCTTTTAACTTGTATTCGGGGAACCTGCCGCTACATGTTAGACCCTACCTATGATTGTGGCATAGAATACAAGTAATAGGCGGGAAGCGGGTTTCTCACTCTTGTATCCAGGTCTGCAAAAAATACCAGCTCGTTCTCGCCGCGGTGAAGCTTGTATTGGCTGTCAGGGCAACGCTCTGAGATGCAAATGTCCCTGGAACGGCAGTTATCGTATCTTGAGATAGATCTGCAAGAGAGAGGTTCTTGGGGGTAACAGCGAATGGCGACTTCGGCTCGTTAATAGTACCGTTAATAAGCGAGTCATACGAGAAGCCAACCTGGACAGGCTGGTCTAGATATAGCATATTAGCGTCATTATTCCATGACCATGGGTTCAGCACTGTCCCCCTCGAGTCCGCGAGGACAGAGCATGGCCCGTTTTCCCCTAATGCCGCTACAACTGATGGAGAACCCGGGCCACCCTGCAGCCAAAGGGAGAGTGGCGCATTCTCAGGATCGTCACGAGCCTCAAAGAACCAGAAAAAGGAGTGGATAGGGTAGCCCTGGCCCGGGATGAGATTAGGAGGAAGGTTGACATATCCACTAAAGGCTTTAACGTCTGGGGTTGTCTCGCAGATTTGGGTCTGTTGAGGATCGGATATTAGCAACATTATATATGGGATACCTTGGGTGATGGAGGCTTGCCTGCTTATAGGAGATAGAGACGCCAGGGAATAAGGTGCTCGGGATGGTTGTAAAGCCCTCGGGAGTCGGTGGAAGCAATGCAGCTAATGCAAGTGGTGATAGAAGAAACAGCCAACGGCCGGATGCTATATCACGATGCATAATGTATAAAAAAAGCAATTCCGATATTCAAGAGAAAGTAAGTGGCAGAGTATAGAAGAAAGTGAATTGAATACTGTACATCTCAAGAGGAGAACCACGCGTTATAAAAGAAATTCTCTTGGTAGCGGTTTATCCTATCCTGAAGAAAGCTATTCAGGCAGCGTCTATAAGATTCCTAGATAGGGGGCGGCTATGTAGACAACATCTATAGGAAAGGAAGCACTACGAAACTTGTGCGGTATGCCCAGCCAAGGCTGAAAAATAAGCAGGACACCGTTTAAGCTATGTGTATAACTTAAGCTGGACATCTAGCATGAGTGTTACTCTTGCTTGAATGCCCCACTATCACTGACTTAATACCTACCAAGGCAACTACTGCAGGGAAGCTTATTTCCAATTAGTACCACTACATACCAGATAGGCCTACGGAATACATAGGCATCAATCAATTCGGATTTGCCCCACTATCTATAATTCCCCACTTTCCCCAAGGTAGCACTTGCAGCCGGAGCAGACATAGCGCTTACTAGCCTTGGATAAGGGGTATAACCAAGTGTGTCTGCTAAAGTCTCGGTTCTTGCAATTAAAAGTCTTGTCCAACCCTCTAAAAAGTTGACGAGGCTTAATTTTACCATAGGAACATCACAAGCCTCATACGGTGGTTCGGACACGCCCCACTTGTTTGGTTGACTCTGTCTCCCTCATTCAGCCATCGAGATGCCCAGAAAGGGGTCGCAGAAGGTCAAGACAGGATGTTTAACATGCAAGTACGTCTACCTACATATGCTCAGGAAGCAAGATTATAACACGAGCCATTAATTAATGATCTCAAACAAGGATACGAAAGATCAAATGCGACGAGGCCAAACCTCATTGTCTGAGGTGCACGAGTACACAGAGAATTTGTGATGGCTATGCACCTGAGGCTTACCGGACTCACTCTTGGGATGAGCTTCTAAGTTCAAGTGCTATTATCCCTGCTCCAAGTAATGGTCGCAGCAATCGGGAAGGCAGAGCCATTGACTTTTTTCTCCATGTGGCCGCCCCCAACCTATCGAATTACCCTGATAAGGAATTCTGGACACGCCTCGTTCCAATGGCTTGCCAGCAAGAGCCTGCCGTTCGTCATGCAGCCATCGCTATCAGCTCCATCTACGAGCAGCTCAGGGACGGTCGATCGGATGCTCTCGACTACCCCGGCGGCCGATTCGCCCTCAGCCACTACCACCAGGCCCTGTCACACCTCACCCGCAAGTCAAACAGTGAGTTCACGATGCTGTTCCTCTGTATTCTCTTCGTGTGCATAGAGACCCTGCAGAAGAATGTACCCGCCGCCATCGAACATTGCAGGCATGGTATAACAATTTTGAACAATGCAACGATGACGCCCTGGGTCCGGGAGAAACTTACGCCTATGTTTGTCCGATTGAGTATCTTTCCCTTTTTTTTCGGCAGCACGGTCACTACGTTTCCTTCCCTAAGCGACCTGGTGACTGGTGCCACAGCTCCATATACTACGCTCGAAGAAAGCCTGTCTGCTTTAGAGCTCCTCCAGGCACGGTCTGTCCGGTTCATACGCTCCAGCGACACGTACAGGCAAGGAATCATGTACAGGGTGGAATTTCCAAACAATCTCCATCAAGAGCAGTCCGCAATTCTTGCAGCGCTGGGCCAATGGCTTCATGACTTTTCAATCTTTAGAGAAGCGTACCCGCCTACTTCCCACGACGCCAAAGCCCCGTACTTAGGAACACTGATCAAAGGCCTTGTCTGCAAAATATGGGTGGGAGGCGTGCTTGACAAAACTGAAATGGGTTATGATAATCAACTGGCCTCCTTCAAGGCAGTCGTCGATGCCGCGGAAAAAATTATCTCATTGCTCCCACCAGCGCAAACCCTGTACTCTAAGTCTAAGTTTACATTCGGGATGGGTTATATGCCACCCTTATATCTGGTAGTGATCAAGTGCCGAAACTTGAACATTCGACGTGCAGCCCTCAAGGCCATGGTCAGCCTCGCAACATGCCAAGAAAATTTATGGGATCTCTCGGTAATGTCTGCTACCGGCCGGCGCGTCATCGAATTGGAGCATGGTATCAACCTTGAGACATTCGATAGAGAAGATCTGCCAGATGCACACGTGTTTGTCCCTCCTGATGAGATGCGCATCCGCGATTCGATTATCACGAAATCGAGAGAAACGCAAATTGATGCATCCAAGCAGAGCACGCGATACATGCTGGTTTCCTTCCTATTCGCGACTTTGGCAGGATTCAGCTTCGTGGATGAGTGGCTTCCAATCGGCCCAGTGCCCACTTCCTCGACATAGTCTCATATACGTTCGCTGGCTTTCCTTGAGGCATAGACTTATGGGCGACACAATATGTATATGGTGCTTGAGGGTGGCGTGTTCACTTACAATATGACTTATGATGAGGAGCGCTGACTGGTTGGTTTTTTTTTTTTTTTTTTTGTTTGGTAGATTCTGGAAACTTGGAGTTAAACCTTTCATATTGAGGAAGTCCAGCGCTAGATAAGAGAGACCTCGAACTATACGAATAACACCCAGTTGATAGAGATGGCGTTCTGAAGATATGATATAATATAGATAGCAACTCCTAAGAGATTTTTTTTTTTTTTTTTTTTTTTTTGATGCTAATCGACTTGAATAACCGGACAGTTTGCATGAGAAGATTGGGAAGCCGGCGGTATCTGGGCTCTATCAGGTCCCTCGGGGCCGATAGAGCGTAACTTGCATGACCCGAGCGCAAGATCTGACAATATGCATATTTTCGACTTAGGCATAGCCGAGTGTACGGATCAGTTCAAGGTCCCCACAATTCATACCTATTAGCTTAGGTATTTACGATGGCGAGTATTGAGCACTTAATTATCATTATGAACAACCCAAAGATAAGATATCATTATAGGCGAGCTTGAAATTCCGAAGTCAACCGACATTTGACAAAAACCCCTTTATTTGTGGCGCGGTTTAAGAAGAAATCTTCCGTCGCTGAAAGCTGTTGTGTTTTGAACAGGGGTTCTGATTCTCGCAATCACTAGTACCGTAGCTAAATGTTTCTTTTAAACCGAGCCAAGCTACTTATTCCATTTGTCCTTTCTCCGAGGCCTTATGTATATTGCTTTGGCAAGGGGTGATACATATACCGCGTTATTAATTCACTTGGAGATCGGTGAGAGGGGCCATAGGCGACGTAAACCACTTCTAGCGGCCGAGGATCAGTACTATGACTATGGTTTCCAAGGGGGAATCTCATCAGTGAGCCGCAATTGTGAGGCTGGTACATGCAGTAAAGTGGTAGACTAACTGTAGAAGGCTTGGGAGTATTTGTAGAACAGCGATCCTGTTGCTTTGACGACACCGTTAAGCCAGGAGCCAGCTGCGGGTTCCCTATTCAACTGATTAGTTCGGACCTGCCCCACTATCCCGCAGGATGCTGGTGGCATTGAACTTTGAAACAGTGGATGATGATTTAGGGGCCAGATTTCTAATAATAATGCATATGACACGGGATCTTTGCTATAAAAAGATTCTGACTTTATACTCTATGCATTGGACGGAGCTTAAGAGTTTCCAAAAGCCCAAAATAGGAACGAGACGCGGCTGCCATTCAACACGTCGGCTTTGGCCTATTTCATTGCCAGACTCCATTCTATGGCTTCCTTCTTGATACCCAGAAGGGGTAACCATCCAGGAGATAATTATAGCTCCTGCACTTCCGGCAAGCGTTTCAGCACTGGTACCATTTAGTCTAGAGCTCAGACACGATTGCAATAAACTGCAAGTTGCTACCCCTTGCCTACTCATCTACGCTGATCAGAAGTTTTCTCTACACCTCTTCTTAACGGTCTGCGAGAGAGATTTCCGCTATTCGTCATGTACTTATCACTGTCACCATCTGCAAACTGCTAACAGCTTTATCACAGCCAAGAGGACCTTCGAGACCTTCAGTACCGTCTGCTATTGGTCGGCTTAATGTAGAGTCAGCATAAGTTTCCGTATCAGGCATTCAAGAGAGAGGAATTGCCTGATGCTAGGACACTATACCACAGGATGTTATGCAGATCAAGGATGTAATAGTTTCAAGTCGCGAAGATATACAGTACAACGCGTCCAGGAAACGTATATGGTTCACAAAGGTTTCATTTCTCTTCTCGATTTCGGAAGTTCAATTTTGTGGACGAGTGATTTGCGGTCGGCTCTGAGAAGCCTCTTTCAATGCCACCTCTTAAATATCATTTGCGTGTTATGACTCCATCCAAGGATAAATTCAAGGGGTCTGGAGTGAGGGGGAGAGCATTGTTCCTAGTCTAGAGTCTCGCGGTTTTACTCACTTCCAGACACCATAACCTGTACCTGATTGGCTGCTTCGGATTATGAGACTGGGATGCGCTCGTGGCTGTGAGGGAGGCTCGGCACGTGAATGGAAACGGTTTACCTTGCCAGCCAGGCGGCTATATTGTTCTTCTGAAGGATATAAAGCTCAAGAAATAAGTATAATGCGTTTTTCTGTCGCCGTAAGTCTCAACTCTCTCGATCTAACATATGTCGGCTGTCAATTAATGTTTAAGATCATTGTCATTGGTGTTCTCGTCGCCTGCTGCATGCCTGCTGCAGTCGAAAGCTTCCATATCCCAACACCCACCGTTTCTATTATTAGAGACGCGGGTTCTGCCTCCCAAAATACTGCAGCAACCATCACACCTTTTCAGTCCGCAGGATCGGACGGCTATTTCACTACTACAAAACACATCACCATTGAAGGTGTCACGAATGATCATGTTACAATTGCGGGGAAAACTATTGACATTGCTATTCCAACCTGCATCCAGACAATAACTCCTGACGCAAATGGCTATGTTCCACCGGGGACCTGTGGTGCCATATGGGATTACTATCCCAACTTCCCTGCTGCCCTTGTATTTGCCTGTATTTTTGGCATCCTCACAATGATACATGTTTGGCAAGCTATTGCGAATAGAAAGGTCAGAATAGTCAATCATTTTTCGCTCCAAACTTGACAGATTCTAATAGGCTATCACGCACAGAAATTTTGCTGGGTCATCATCATGGCGAGCATTTGGGAAACCATTGCCTTTAGTTTCCGCGCCATTAGCACTCGGTATCAGCAGAACACCGCAATCTACCTTATCTTCCAGATATTTATATTGCTGTCTCCTCTGTGTAAGATCGCCCCTCTATATGTTTCCACTCTTATGCTTTTATCATTCCTGACTTCTCTTCTCCTCAGGGGTCAATGCTTTCGATTACATGGTCCTCAGCCGCATGATATACTACTTTCTCAAGTCACATAGTCTACTTTCCGTGCCAGCCACTGCTATTGCAACTATATTTGTGACCCTTGACTTCGTTTCCTTCGTTATCCAGTTAGTCGGGGGTAGCATGGCCGGTCCCACGGCCTCCGCCGAAGATCAGCTTAAGGCGATTCACATCTACATGGGCGGTATTGGACTGCAGCAGTTCTTCATCTTTGTCTTCGCCGCTTTGTCGGCCGCGTTTCAAAGAGAGATGAAACGCCAAGAACACGTTAAGGGAGATGACTCATTAAAGATGCAAAACGGGTGGAAGAGACTACTCTACACACTATATGCCTCTCTGGGCCTAATAACCGTTAGTATAGGGCATGAAGAGGAGCTGAGTGAGTGATGAGCTAAGAAATGGGCCATATAGATCCGCATCACGTTCCGCCTTATCGAATTTTCTCGAGGCTCAGATGTCTCCAACCCTTTGCTCACGTCTGAGGCGTTTTTCTACTTTCTTGAAGCGCTTCCTATGTCGTTGACGATCTTATCATTCAACATCACACATCCTGGAACAATTCTCATTGGGCCTGACTCAGAAATGCCAAGCTTCTTCTCGACCTTGAAGGCCTGGCGGCATGGAAGAAGCGGCAAACAGCTACTGCAAGACAGCGATAGCCCGTCCTCGTATATCCGGGAGTAAAGGTAAAATGGGATTAATAGTTGATAATTTGGCCCTGTAGATAGTGTATGCGCAATGCAATCGCAAATTTTGCCTCTCTTGATCACTTTATGTAATAGAGCATATGCTGCTGGGAGTAGCGTTCCTATACCGGCGATTGTGAATACTGTTCATATTGCGACAATTTAAGTAGGAATTTAAGTCAACCTCTAAACCTGGATTCTGTGTTGGCAATGCTAATATAGTGGCTTTATATTATGAATTGTTTTATTTATTCTTAGGAACGAGTTACTGATATGCCGCTACATACAATAATGAAGCCGGCGCAAATCCTGAGACATACGACGCAACTTTCTTTTTATACTTGGCTTCTTACTACTTCATAGCTTAAGTGGATGGCTAAGTAAGTTTATTGTTACCTCTTCAAAATAGGATTTTCTTGCTTTGTAATGAGAGTGATGGTTGATTAATTTGAAACAAGCTCGCTGAATTAATTTTGGGCCTTGCTGCAGCTGGTTAGAGTTTACTGGCGTTGGTTGGTGATATTGAGCCTAAAGCGCGAAGGAGTGGATGGAGCTGCTATAAAACTAAACTACAACATTTGAGCAAATATTTGCCATCTACACCGTTGCTCCTTTGTATAAGTAAAAATTGCAAACCTGTAATGCTAATGCTACTCATTAAAAGTACATAAGTAAGCGAAAAAGTGCCTTAGGCGATTGACCTCTGCCTCGGGCTGGTACTCCATATGTGCCATCTCATAGTAAAAAATCGTTTTGTGAAAACCAGGTTAGCGCACCACCAAATGCAATGCCTTATTCCCCGCCTCATTTCGTTTTGCAGCAAATCAATAGCATTGAGACCTTGTTGGCCAGTCTGGCCAGCGACTCCATATCTAAGCAGCTTTTTTTTTTCCTTTTTTTTTTTTCTTTCTCATAATAAAAGCTAGACGTACATTTGCGGCCGCCACGTGCAGAATAGTATCGCCAGTATTCTGATTGATGGAGCCGTGTACCGGGAGGAAAGGACTTTTCTCCGGCCAATAAGTATTTTGGACTTTAATCCGGTTATCTCACTCGACGCATTAGTGGTAGACCCAGACCAGCCTAGCAGGCCGTTCAACCACCGTGTCGAGCAGAGTTACCGGGTCATAAATAGTCATTGCGCTTTGAAACTACTGAGTGGCGTTGCTCAGCAAGGCAATAGCTTGCTCAAAGGATCAGACATGTTTCTCGTCACGTAGTACTCTGAGCACTGCTTCCATTCCAATATCCAATCTATACTCCCTTATTTGTGGAAGGGGGTAAGTTTTAGGTTCTTGAAATGATTCTCAGCGGCCCCGTTGTCAGTCAAAGCGCGCTGTATCGGGGTGCTCATTGGTTCTCTCCGGTGACATAGAGCACCGACGAGCAAGGGCACGTTGCAGACAGTGTCAAGGTACTAGTTTACAACGCCTTGAGGGTTATGGATGGGACAATTTTTGAGCATCACTAATTCTTCATTAGTCTCCAGACACTTGCATGGTATGCGCATATCCTTACCGGCGGTATACAACTACAGCGATTTGAGGTTGCACAACAGCATTTCGGTAGCCACAAAATGCACCTCCAAGCTGTTTCCACTTTATTCATGGAGATTCTGGACAATTGCAAGGACAGTGATTAGAGCGTAGCGGATCCTATTGCAGACTACAATGCCGCTTTCCATTGTCTCGGCCCAGCCTCGCGGACGGTTCTTGAAGTAGCAATCCACATCCTCAGTGCTAAAAAAGCAGCCTTTCAATTCTCGACGAGTATTCTGCTTATGGACAATATTATTTCTGCAATAGTCTTATCCAAGCAACCTCATTTGTACGACTACCATCTCAGCCTTCTCGGGGTAATTCCCGCAGAAGATACGGCCTCGGCAGCCAGACTTTTCGAAGTTTCGGAGGTTCAATCTCTGCGTGTAAATTATGATGACGACATGGCAAAATATGTTTCGACTTCCTCGACTGCGGTAAGCAGAGTCATCGCCTACCTTCTGAGACACTAACCGCCACCCAGATTTGGTGTCATGTAGCTATTATCTACCTCTCAGTGGTGGTGATTTCTGAGTGGCATACTTCTAGCGTCGTGGTGCGCCACTCTGTGCAGTCGGTCGTCAGATTGTTGATTTGGGGTTTGCCATCGTCACGAGACCTCTTACGAAGCATGGTCTGGCTATTGTTCGTGGTAGGTTGCATCACGGACAGCACTCAAGAGTCATGTTTTCCAGTCTTAATGTCAGATGCAGAGTTGACAAGAAGCGTAACAGTTCAAAAGCACATTTAAATATGCAAAGTATTTTGAAGTTAAGAAATACTGGTAACAACACCTTGCAGGATTTCACTCGTGATTTAACGAATATTGAGAAATGTTTTATATTGTATATACAAATAATGTAAGATTTTAGAAACACTTTTCATTGACCGTAGCATATACCTACATTTAAGTATAAATCACATAGCATAAGGTCTAAAGAACAATATTCCACATACTTCTATTGCTACTTATGGTATCAATTGCCAATTTGTTTGGCCCAAAGATCATTGTATACCCCTTTCATCTCTTTCAACTCGTTATGAGTACCACTCTCTATGATTCTACCATTTTGAACAACAAGAATCTTATCTGCGCCAACTATAGTGGAAAGACGGTGAGCAATTATAAACGTAGTTCTTCCAACCTTTAAACTGTCCAGAGCTTGTTGAATAGTTCGCTCTGTGTTGGAATCCATAGAACTTGTGGCCTCATCAAAGACGATAATTGGAGGACCCTTTAAAAAGACTCTTGCAATAGCGAGCCGCTGGATCTCACCTCCAGACAACTTGATTCCATTTTCGCCAACCTTCGTATTATATCCGTTGCGAAAGCCAAGGATATTGTCATGTATAGAAGCAGCGCGACAAGCATCGAATATTTCATGGTCTGATGCTGATATTCGGGCGTAGCGGAGATTCTCCAGAATTGTCGCATTAAAGAGCATCGGGTCTTGGGGAACAACACCTATAATAGACCGGAGTGAGTTGAGGGTCATGCTCCGAATATCTCTGCCATCAATGTGAATATGGCCGGAGTCAACGTCATAAAAACGGAGAAGTAGTTTGATTATGGTGGATTTCCCCGCACCAGTCTCACCGACGAAAGCAACGGTTTGCCCTGGAGCAGCTGAGATCGTCAAGTTTTGAATCGTAGCCTTCGTGGGATGGTACGAGAAATTGACTTGTTCGAAATCAACGCGTCCCACAGCTTTTTGATAGTCCTGGGCATCCTCTTGATCGATTATACTCGGTTTGGTTTGCAGCAGAGCCATCAGACGTTCAGCATCAATTAGATCCGACATGATGAACCTGTACTCATGGAACAGCATCTTCAGCGGAAAGATCAAATGGTCCCAATATTGAATAAGAAAAACAAAATCGCCAGCGGTCGCTTTGCCCTGGTGTATTTCATAAAAAACAAGGCCAGCCAAGGTGGAAAATGTTGTAGGGATCATAGACTCGAGCAATGCTTGAGTATATGCTTCTTGCCTGCTCCATTTTGCGCTCGCTGCAAGTTGTGCCCCTACTGCACCTCCAAAACGGAGAGACTCAAATTGGAACATATTGAAGTAAGCTACATTTTGCCAACCTTGCACGGCTTGATGCATAACGCGAGATTCCTCTCTCTGGGCCCTGGCGGACTGACGACGATTATCGATGTTCCACTTTGAAGTTATAACTTGGAGGCACATAAAGACGACCGAGGCAATTGCCATGACCAATGGAACATAAATACCGAATTTCCAGTAGAGAAACCCAAAAGCAACAATGAGATCCAGTGTAGTTGGCAGGATTTCTAAGATCAGCGTTTCTAATATATTAGCGAGCGCTTCGCCCTGTTCTATAGCCTTCATGACTTCTGCTGAATCCCGCTCTGAGTGATAATCCAAAGAGAGGTTCATGATATGATTGAAAGAAGCATTGCTGATCTGCCGATAAGAAAACTGTTTAATTGGTATCTTGATCAGCGATTGGATGAGGCCGATGCCTGATTCTTCATTCAAAAGGCTGAGAACAAGCCAAATTAGTAGAGCTTTTATTGGCGATTGACCTTTGAGAAGTTGGTCAGCAACGAGGCCAAGCTGGCGCGGAACTAGAACATTGAGAATTCTGTTGCCGATCAAGCAAAGTAGGTTAAGAATGATACAAGCTTGTACAGTTCGATCCTTCTTCGGTATAATGTATGGGAAAAAAATTGAGAAGTCTTTCAAATATCCAATCCAACCACCAATCTCTTTCAGTCGGCTAGCACGGCGAATCTTAATGCTAGTAGTATCATCTACCTCGCTATCGGAGCAGTCACGCCAAATTGCTTCATCCTCTCGATCAAAGCTCTGTTCTCTATTGGTTTCGCATGTGTTATAAAGTCTGTCATGGTCTTGGCAGCCCATGTCCACCGACTGGGTGTACAGTAGCGGACTGACTTCTGCACTTCTGTCTTCCATGGATAAAGACCGAATTCTGCATCTATACCGCACTATCGTATCTGAGTACGAATGAGTATAGAAACTTCAAGATCTTCTACTTATAACGCAGGCAACCAAGTTGAACAGAATTACTATGAGCAAAACGATAAAGCTAGCCTACGAAGATATTAGATAGTTAGAATTATACGACTATATGCAGGATAAGTTACTTATCATACTTAGACCAATTCAGATTTCTTATGTATAATTTTCCTGACGTCTAGGACCGAAGAGCAAAGACGACACTAGAATTAGAGCGAGCTTTGTTTTATATTTTTTAACTTTCTTTTTTTTTTTTTTTTTTTTTTTCGTAGCTCGAGAAATCTAGCTCAATTAATACATATAAGCATTGGATCTCCAGAAATGAAATCATCGGTATGACTCATATTGAAAACCATGCGTAAGTGAAATACTGCGCCTACCTACATTTGAGCAATTTAATGTGGCGATGCACGCCCAGCGATCAGTTGCATGAAACTGGCTAGAAAATAGTGGATGTTGTTGCATTACCCCACTACAACAGCAACCATCCAGCTTGGAAGTAGTCTATAATACAATCGAGTTGAACGTGCTGCTGCAAATAAAAGGGATTGAAGTCACCTACTCCTCAAATTCCAATTCCCTTTAGAATTGAGTTAAAATACAATATCAAATAAAAAATATACATGTGTAAATATATATTTATATACTAACCCTATTTGTTGGAATAGAAATCCCATATAAGGATAGTAACCTCGTTCGGTAAGAGCGGGGCCCGTTTTTTATCCAACAGTTATAAGCCCGGGAGGTTATAACTCAACAGTCTAAGCCTGTAACTTCCGCTTATTATGGATTTTGCTACTATTCAAACCCCAGGTGAAGTTTTTCTTAAGTAAGCAGAACTATACGCACTACAATTAAGTAGTGTAGGCCGAAGAAGTACTATAAGCGCACTACAATAAGGTAGTAAAGGCTAGATATTTATACCTAAACCTAGACTCTAGCAAAAAGTACCCAGTTATAAAAGGTAACAACAGGTAGTTTATTATATATTCTTTATTATATGTTTTAATTCTAATAAACTAAGGTGTGTGTTAGAATAGAAATCCTATATAAAGATAGTAACCTCGTTTAGTAAAAGCGGGGCCCGTTTTTTATCCAACACTATTTAATAAAACGAGATACACTGGATATTCTCAGTGCTTGGTTTTAACTGGGACTTTGTGTATAAATATATTAGTTAAGTATAACTAAGGTTTTTAATTGTTATAAAACTGAATATTTATATAAAACTAAGCCTCACTTATAAACAGTTTTAAAAGGTTTCTTCCTACAATCAGCAGTTAATAAGGGGCGAGGCCGAGCGAGGCTGGAGATGCTGGGAACCAGTGCTTAATTGACAATATCGTTCTCTCCTTAATGCGACAAGATGGAATATCTTCTATCGGCGCCAAGATTATGGAAGCCTTATGCATGACGAGCGAAAATAATTGTTGGCAGTTCCGCTGATAATGGCGTTTACGCATCTTGGGAACTAAAGAGACTAGATAATCTCGATTGTTTCTGATGTTTGTATAGACAAGAAATTATCTTCCTGGTAATGTTCATAGACAGTCCTCAAACTGTATACGTTACAATACGCTAGTCTTAAGACAGGCAGCGTGCGTCAACCTTTGCGAACTACGCGGCTACTACTATAATGTCTATTCGGTCTTAGAAAAAAAAGCCAAAATCGTATGCGACAAATATTTACATTTTTCAATTACAGTATGCATGAAAATTAAAAATGTGATGTTTTACAAAGTTCAACCTCGGTTAAATCATGGATATTGCTTCCTGAAGATTGTTCTTGTAGTGGACCAATGCCGAAGTCGTGGATTAAACACGCTGTATAATAAGCCAGTTAAATTTACCTAATATAGGTAATATATTATAGTTCTATGCGGTAATGTCCTTGTTGGAAATAACGCGGCGAAGTTGGAAACACAAATATTGTTAAGTTGACTATACAGACACCTCGGAATAGACAGAAGTGGTGAAATGGAAAAGCTTAGAAGAAGGTAGACACTTGAACCCTGATTGTAACCTGTGTGCAATGTAAAGATTCCTCCAAGATATATATTCGGGAAAATAAACTATACTCGATGGCTTCCACTTTTATCAGGGTGATAGTGTCCGAAATCCTCATCTCGGCCGGGCCATAGAACCTTACTATGTACCAGAGCACGGATGTGTGAAAACGCCACCACGAACCACCCAAGAACAATCAAGATTGTCATTGCGCTTGCCACACCCTTGATTCCCTCGCTATCGAGTTCTTCTCCGATAAGACTCGTAGCAAGAGTAAAGGCCGTGTTGGGGAAAACGAGTGCCCACCAGGCCATGGAGAAGCGGATGCGGTGCTCAAGGATACCCATAGTGAGTGCAATGGCGCTAAATGAGAAAAACCAGAAGGCCACGGCCCATATCCATATGCCGATCCACAGCGCCATCACCTGCAAAATGTCCACTGCGGCAGGATTTCTGGCGAAATAGGCGTAGTCTGCCGGGATGGATCTAGAAAGACCAATCAGGCCCGTTGCTGTGAATCCCGGGGGGCCGACAGCGATGAACATGCCCGGTCGCATAGGCGGAGCTGGGAACCCCTCCTGCGTGAGCCGGTATAGGTACAGCGAGTACAGCACAAAAGCGACGCTGAAACCTAGGCCTAGATAAGTAACTCCTGCAACGAGAATGGGTAGCCGTTGCGAGGGTGGTTGCGAAGGCGCGATTGTGGATGCCAAAACTCCTGTCAACAACGTAGGGAAGATAGGAAAAGTCCAAAGGGGGCTCATAGACTTGATGGAGAGCTTGGCACCGTTGAACACCACAGTGTACTGAATTACGGCCGACAATAGAGCCAAGGCTGCGTAGATCCAGAAGCACACTCGAAGGGCTACAGGTAGCCAAGAGCCGCATGCTGGAATGCCGTAGATAGCTGAGTTAGCGAGGATAATAGCAATGCTCAGCAAAAACGCCGGAAAGAACAGACTTTCTGTCGGATGTACTAGGCTCGTTCTCAGTCCCCGAGGCGTCTTGACGAAGCGGTAGGTAATCGTAGCGATGGAAAGGACAAACATGACGACGGCCGTGATGAATGCGACCTTGCCAATAGTGTCGAGTCCCCTAAAACGGTGAGGAGTATTCTTAAAGAGAAGACCGAGAACCCCAGTGCTAATTGTGACCGCAAACCAAGCCCAGGTAAAATGTTTCATGCGCTCGCGAACTGGGCATATATACCCCGGAGTACAAAGGCGTTGTTCTGGCGCCCGAGACTGGCCCGTCTCCCAGTCATCCTTGCCATCTTTCTTTGGCTGAGGGTTCAAGGGTGAATCTAAAGGCGAGTTCGAGGGTGAGTTCGAGCACTGAGGGGGCATGGTGTCAAAGTTTATCCAGTCCTTCTAACTGTTGTGAAGGGCCGAAATGCCGCGGTTTGAGGATGCATAACCCATGTTGATCGATATCCATGAAAAAGACTGGGAGCAATCGTGGTTTTGACCTTCGAATTCAAAGAGCGCTCGGGAAGGGTAGAACCGTGCGTTGAATGATGCGTGTCGTTTAAGTTTACGCGCTAGTGGTGCAATAGCCACGGACTACTACTGTGCTAACCTGAGCTGAGCTCAAGTCAGCTGTCACAGCTAATGACGCCTGGGTTGAGAAGCTGCTTTAAAGGTTCTTCTGGTTAATGGTTTTGCTAAATTACTCGCATTTTTGCAATAGAAGATTATTTTCATAGTCAACAAATTACTCGAGAAAGTATCACAGCGAAACACGATCCATAGCTAGCATCTTAGCCTTGCATAAACCTATATATTGGACTGAGAGAGCTTGGGCCGGCACCTCGTATACTAATAAATCTGAGCTATGTATGAATAAAGCTTAAATTTAGCCAAAGATATACTGCAAACTCGTAGTAGAAGTTAGATTGGCAAGATTTGGGAGGAAAGCCCTTTGCCATTAACTTAAATATCCTTTACTTGGAGTGCAAGACACGTTACATACGGAAAAAATACTTGGAATCTCGTCGCTTTCATTTTGAATAATTGTATAATGCTCTTACGCAATAATAGACCATTTGCACTTTATCTTGGCAAATCCGATGGACCAGCCGTCTAGAATCAGGCGTAGCAAGCTCAGAGTATCTATAGTCTACCTTTTCACATTAACTAATCCTATATATCCCAACCCACCGAAGGGAAAGCGCCTCTCGAGGAGTTCGACTAGACACTAGCTAGCCATACAGCCAAATTTGCAATCAGCTCCGGCGGGTCCGTAGCCTTGACGGATAGGATCGCCTCCACTGTTATGTCATACCAGATAATGAAGCTAACGCTGTAAAGGATTATAGGGAAGACAGGCTGCAAAGCCTTGTCAAGCCACTAGGCTAGTCCCTCTATTAGAACTGCAGAACGAGGCAGAAAGTCCTCACACTCTGCCAGGCTGCACTTAATTACTAGGGAAATAGTCTAGGCTAATTAAGAATTTTATATATGTAGCGCTGCTTTATTCACTCTGAATCTAAACTATTAATAGTATTCTATTGAATATAGTCCAGTATACTATATACTATAATATTGCAGTATATTGGCTAACTTATAGCAAGTTAAGCATTAATAAACAGTGCTGTATTTTATATTTATATTAGTTAAAATATTTACTTACAGTTAATTACTTGCTGAACTATAGCGCATTATTTATTAATTTTAGCGGATTAGGTGCTATATTATACATACAGTAAAACGCAAATTGTTCTTAGCCCCTGTTAAGTTCTTATATTTAAGTCTAACTGCATTTAGTAGTAGAAAAACGCTGTTTTAATACCGCTATAATACCGCTATATTATAGCGCTTATGCTGCTATAATATAGTAATTGGCCCACTATATAGTACGCCACTAACTTACTATAAGACAGCATTAAAAACAAGCGCTATATTTTAGTGGTATAAGTGGTTTATTATAGCGCAGGTATTGCTATTATACTTGTAGTAAGCTATGCACTAAACTACAGCAAGTGCTATAGTGATCTAAAAGCAGCGCTATTCTTACTACTACATGCGGTTAGGGCTAAATCTAAGTACTTGACAGGGGCCAAGAACATTTTGCATCCCGCTTGGCTTATTTTTATTCTAAAAGCAGCGGCATGATTATTGCCGAATATAGCTAAGCGTAAACAAGGGGTTATACAGGGGCTAAGAACATTTTGCATTACACTGTAGCCTGGCAGGCAGGGTGTTGGGACTTTTTGCCTCACCCTGGAGGCTGTGCAGTAATCTAGACTCAAGCGCGCATATTGCTAAAATATAACAAGTTAAAACATTATCGAGAATTTCGCGGCAATTACGGAATAGAGCTCCTGCTTGCCCTTAGCTGATCTAAGAACTTACGTTGGAGTGGAGTAATACAAAGGCGGTGTATTAGTTGCAGCGAAGCAGTTTCGTATAAATACAACGCAAGCTGCTTTCACAGGCGCTACTTGATCCAACAACATCTCCCACCTGTTACAAAAAGTCTTTGCTGTTGTAGACTTCAATTCTTCAAGATTCATTACCTCTTTTTTTGCAATACGCCCTCCAACCTCTAGTGCGGTAACATGGAGCCAGCTAAGAACATCGACGATTTACAAAGCATCAACAATAAAACGCTTGGTACGAATGCAAATGCGTTTCCAATAGTAACGCTTCCAAATGGACAGAAAGTTCCGACAGGCACTGTAGGAGCGTTACTTGTGAATATTAAAACTTATGACGCAAGCGAAGAAACCCAGAGAAAGCAAATAGAGCCAGCACTACGAGCAGCCATACCCACATTACAACAGGTTGGCATGTTCGATCTCTTTAAACCTGAGGAGTGGATTAAAGGTGGAAGTCCTGGAAGGGCTTTTGTTGGAAAAGCAGCAATGGAAAGTGATGGCGAGACTGGGGCTTGAAGAAATTGTAGATATTTTTATCAAGTACAGGGGTAATTTTCTCCGTTGGCAAACTACCCTTGTACAAGTATAATTTCTACATCAATATGGACTGTTCCACCGGGTGCGTAAGGAAATTATTACTCGAGATTGTACTGAATTGATGACCTAAGTTAAAGCCGTGAAAACCTTCAAATTTATTCATTATGTCACGAAACTAAGTTCCATTCAAACATTGAAAAACAGACGTCGTTGGGTCTGGAGGACTGTTTCCCAACCCGTAATATGCAGTACTTCCTCATAGAGAAGCCTGCTCACTGCAGAGTTGAGTTCTCTCCAAAGCTGACTAGAATCAACTCTGAAGCTTGTATATTCTCATATAGCACGATTTCGTCTGTCTCGTTAGAAGGTTGGTACGATTGCCGCACAATCAAAGACATGCAAGGATACCGGCATTAATCTGGGGATAAAAATCAACATGGCGTATGACGGAGGTAGAAAAACTTCTAGATGCGAAGAATCTTATGCATGATCCGGAGCCTTTTTCGGTTGAAGCTGTCGAATATAACATGCTTAATATTTACCTAGTCTTATGACTTGCCGAAATCTTTGAGAATTATATGTCACAACAAGAAGCGAAGCATTATCAATCCTTTTCTAAGCAGTATAGACGATAGAATTAAAGAAAAGTCTGTTATCACCTGACAAGAGAAGTTGATTGCAGTCATCTCACTACACATAGTAGTAAAGGGGTGCGCCGAACGGTGTAACAAACCGACGGAGAGGAGCCTCGGACGTTCACCAGAGCATCATAACCCACACACCCCTAGGTTAATTCTGCTTGAGAAGATTAAGATAAGCCGTCCTTAAAGCTTGTAGGATTTTCACCTACATTTTTTTCACCCCAGCTAGAAGTCAGTGGGCCAGTCCTGATTACCTGGATTCCTCTGACTGATCCATGGAAGTTCGCTTTCAGTGGTCATTGGCTAGGCCAGGAGGTATGGTGGCTCAATGGCAAAGGGAGGTATGAGGTTGTAGAGAGAAGCGTGCGCGGGATAAAAAGCTTAATGCCCGAGGCTGTTGCTTTGGCCATGTATTGGCCATGTTGCGTATTGGATGGTCTTGTTGTTTTGAACCGGCCAGAGATTGGTCAATCGGAAGATTATTACGATGGACCCTTCATGGTGTACCAACCAACCTATCTTTTGTCACCAAACCTAATGCCGCTAGAATGAAGATATGCCTCTAGGAAGCAGTCGAAACTTCACTCGTACAACTAAGGGCTATCAAACCATTGGAACCTGATATTCAGAATAGAGTAAAGTAGTAGATCACAAGCAGATATGGATGTTGAAGAGCTGATGCCAAGTATATAAATTTATCCAGAGTATAAAGGCATCAATCTGTCCTTGATATAGACTTTATGAGGCTAGCTTATGGGAAAAGTAAGGAGACTTCTTGTTAATCCTTTTAAGAGGAAGGCTCCTCCATTGAACCTCATAACTCTTAGAATTTCTCTCCAACAAGACTCTCGCTTATCATCCACAGCTGCTCAGCAATTTCCACCCTCGTAGCGTATTCCTTAGGTTTACCGACTTGGCAATACTCAAGGTATGCTCCAGAATACTCTGTTCCCGATTATTATAAGCTTCATATCTAATCAAAGAATTATAGTAGGATTCACGCGTACCCCGAAGTTTCGTGTCTAGGACGGATAAAATCATCGTTGCTGCGCTTTGCTCGATAGTTCTCGGAGATATTTCAGTTGCGACTACGCCTATTTTATAATATTAATTTGAGCGCAAAATTTCCTCTTTTAGTTTATGCTACGTGATTTTCCCACATAGGATGGTGATTGGATTGGCGATACTCACCTCTCTGGGCCGCAAGGTTAAAGCCTGCCGCCATATCGGTAGAAGTGATGCCGGAATTCTTCTGCAGAGGAGTATCCTCGACGTCTATTACTATAAATAAGACCAGCTACTACTCAATGTCTTATTGTGTCATGGACTTACAGCCTGGATTGACAGAGAAGGCAGCGCAGCCGGATCCAATAAGCCGTTTTGCAAGCGCAACAGTAAAGGCAATATTGGCGCATTTGGATCTACCATAAGCCACCCATGGATTGTATGTTTTGCCGTCCTGCAATGTTTAGATTTAGTCTAATTACTGCAAGGAGTATTTTCATGATAGCACTTTAGAGACTTCTCACATTGAAATTATTATCTTCGAAGTCTGGGTCGGCAACCTGGTAAGCACCACTAGCGACATTGGTTACAACACCCTGTGCCTTCTTAATATCGGGCATGAGTAAATTCGTTAATAAGAAATGCTCAACGTGGTTAGATGCAAATTGCATCTCAATGCCATCCTTTGATGTATGATATTTTGCTGGAGCCATAATGCCAGCACTATTAATCAACCCATGGATTTCATCTGTGAGAGATTTGATTTCTTGTGCACCTTTATACACTGCTTGGTTGTCGGCTAAGTCAACGCGAATATACGAAATGTGGACTGATGAATATTCAACAGTGAGCTCATCAATAACCGGTTGGATCTTCGATTGCGATCGACCAACGAGTATAACACGCTTGGGAGAGTCGAGGATAAGACCGCGAGAAGCAGCAGCACTGAGGCTACCTGCGCTAGGACCACTAATAATATCTTCACATAGGTATGTTAAAACTATTGTGCGTTCAAGACTAATTTTAACGCTCAATGAACTTACAAGTCTTGCCTTTAGCTTGATCTTTGAATCGGTTCATCACATCATAGGACGTTGTGTCGTGGTAAAAAGGTGCGATTGAAGTCATAGCGGGCTTGAAATAATATTTTTCAAGTGTTATTTAAATCAATAATTAAATTTCAACGAAAGAAACGTTACATATTTTTCACAACGGCTTCTAAATATAGTCCTTTTATATTTTTTCACAAAGGAAATATTACTGCTAACCCATATAGCTCCATAAAGTACCCTCTCATTACCGGTTCTAAACCGACATCTGATCCATATAACCAGGGTGTAGGATCATCTTACCAATCACTTAGCACGCAGATATAACATAGCGTAAGGAATTTCGCTTTCAACACTGATTGGATGGCGATCTGCTGATAATAAATTTGCTTGGTATTCAGCAGGGTACCATAGTTAACTAGCCCTTACGCAACCTCTAACCTCATTTCTAGTAAATAGGATTGGATTGCCAATTATGTAACACATACATAAATTAACGTTATGGAATTTCGCTTTCGACGTTTGTTGGCTGATGTTGTAATACTATCCATAAACTTCTAGGTTTGGCACTTAGTACTTTTAGCAAGTCTGTTCTGCCAACAACCCCGCTTCTGCGTCTGTACACCTACTACACAGCTTTGCATCATTTTGTAATAGGGGCTAAGGAGTTAATAGGATTTGCCAATAACGCCCTTGATGTTAATAATTCTATAATTAGAAACCTAAATATTAAAAAAAAGAATTCTCTTGTTCCAAAAGTAGGCCCTCAGCCATGAGAATGTAATTAGAAAAATCTTTATAAGCCCCATCTGGAAAATAAAAAATGTCATCCAAATGAGGATGTAGGCGCGTGGCGCACTGCGGCGGGCTAGATATTGATGCGACGGGGCAACTTCCTTCTGGTAAGGCCAATCCGTTTTGTATGCCAGCACTCAAACCAAGAAACTCTTCCTCGTCCTTAAAGTGATAAAGATGCGCTGGGGTTAACCTAAATAAGTCGGACCAAAATAGCCCTTCATTGCTGCGAAGTTGATTTCCCGACGCACTTATGCACCCTAATGCAACCCGGGAAAGCCTTTTCAAAATAAGATCATACTGTTTTGCCTGTGGGCTGTGTCCCATGAAATGTTGCAACACCTCACTTGCTTTGTAAATTGCAAGTTCGCATTCTGTTGCATCGCCTAACCGGCCGAAGTAGGCGGCGCAAACGGTTAATGCCGACACAAATACCCATGCACTACTCGTACAACATTAGTAAGTTTGGTGCCTAAGTGTTTTGTGTAGTTTACGCATTATATTCGTCACTCACACAACAAGAGGCATATTATTGTAGAGTATCCCAGACAGATACAGCTCATGAAGAAGCCGGATTGCCTTGAGAGCAGTGTCATATGAGGTCATAGCACCAAATATAATACTGGTGTCAGCCTTCGAGGAATCTTCATGACTGGCACGCTGCTCGCAGCTTTGAGGCGCCCCTGGCGATTTATCATATTTAGCCCTGAGACAGGCGATGAGAAATGGTCTTGTCAGCAGCATCATACTGAAATAATAACTGCAGGCGACACTAGCATTCCTTATTATGAGCTGCCTAGTCTTGGGACATTTATGCTCTGGAAATGCGGAAGGATTGATACTGCGAAGTTCAATAGGCAGCTCTGTTCCCATTTCACGAAGCTGTCGAGAAAGATTTTGAAGCAACTGTAGCGGTGCTGAATGTTTTGTGTATATTTCTAGCACTGTTTGTTTTAGAATGGAAAAAGCTCGCGCCGATTCGTAAAGTCCAAGTTGCTGACATTTATCGGGGTGGCTCGGGTCAGGTCGCTGCGTGTCTCGCTCTTCTGATGAGTCTGTATCAGATGTCAATGGGGCGCGGCCCATCATTGCGCAAAAAAATAAATCGTGATAGCACAAAGTACGCCATATTCGCTTCCTAAGTTACCATGTATCTCAGTATCAATGCGGCGTATACTTCGCATGGGAGCGCATCCCTACCTTAACCGTTTATCCTCTTCACACTGAGAGAAAGCAGCTTCTGGTCGATGATATCCCAGAGATTTTGCTGCACTAATCGCAATACCCAGGTTCAAATACGCTCCATCGCGCCGACAACAGCCAAGCATATACAAACTTATCAACGTGAAAGCTTGGGCAGTTTCCATGGTAGGATACTCCGTCAGCTCTATAAGCGCGATTCGTCGACCATGATAGAAGAATGATTGTGATCGATGAGTGTCCTGTGCAGATTCGCTGCGCACCTGCGCCGCATATGCAAGCACAAGGTATAGTAGAGCGGCGCTACTGCTCGTGACTGAAATATTTCCACTAATCCAGCGACTAAGTAAGTCGTCAATTGTCGACCGGTCCATAATGTCAAGGATACCACATGTCTGTACCCAATTTTTTTTGTTAATACCAGTCAACCCTTTACGCTCAATTTTGTTCATGGAATGTAGGAGCTACGTGAAAAAAGGGAATTAGTACCGAAGTGAAGAATGCCCTCACCAGAGCTTCCAAGTCACTGAGATTAGCATTGCTATAAGCTAGAACGCTTTCGCTATCCGTCGATTCAACCTCTTCCAACACTGATAAAGAGGAGAGATCTTTCGCTGCATTGGCGAGCTCTTGTTCGCCTTGAATGAGCTCTTGTATATTTTGTAGGAAAGAGAGCGCTGCGCAGTCTCCAAGATACACTAAAACATTACAAGACATAGTTAGCAGTTGTACATATAGACCTTCTCCTTTTTCGCAGAAAAATACTGAAGAGCATTGTTGGTCACATACTTTCTCGTCCTTTCGTATCACGCATGGTGTTGGGAAGCTTTGGGATCACGATATATTTGCCCACTGGACTATTTCGCTCGTCATGGCCATGCCCGGGGGGCCGCCGGCTTTCCAAGTTGGTACGCCCAAAAGGTGAGTTTTCTGCCTCTACCACATCATTCTGGGTAGGCACAGGAATGGTCATATCTACATCCTTTGGCCATCGCCGCTGACGTCCGTATAGGCGTTTGTGAGATGAATAAGCACACGAGGTAGATCGCTCGCGCTTGATACACTGCCCACAGGGACAGAGGCCATCGCACTTTTTCTTGTCAGTCTGACAAAGGATGCAGGCTTTCGCAACTCGTCTTCGGCCTTCTGATACTTTTATAGGTGGCATTGCGATAACAGGACTGAGTGTTCAAGAGTTGAAAGAAAAAGCAAAAGAAACAATAATTTCGGTCACGTTGCAGTATTAAGCTAGAACTCTTGAATTGTTGAAATTGTTTATTAATACTATGTACAATGCTTATTTAATGCGGGGCTTTCCTCAGTAAGCCCAAGACCTGGACCTCTGACCCCCATATCTACATAGCTTCCGATTAAATAGCTATTGGCTGCGGATCTCCCGGCTTTACCAATTTGTACGATATCCGGCCGGCCGGTAGGAAAAAAAGTGCTACCAGAGCGCCTCCGCGGACCTCAGGATAATGATGAGTACCGGGCCCTGGAGACGTCCAGCCAGCGCCTTGCCACCCTGACATTCCCTTTAACTCGGCCGATGAATCTAATTGGACGACACAATTGATTTCTCCGTAAGGATGAAGGTGATATTGGCCCCGGTATTCTTTATCGCTTTCCATGTAAACGGTCGTAATACTGAAGAAGCGGTTCGACTCAGACGGAGTGCTAATTCTGGTACGGCGGTACTTTGAGCCATCTATCTCATCAGTTGCAACCCAACCCTCGTTATTTGCAAGAGCTTGTCGTATCAAGAAACAGAAATCGTCGTAGTATGGATTCCCAGGGCCATAGTCTCGGTTCAGCTTGGCTTCAAGGTCTTTGCCTGGTGTTCTATGAGAAGCTTGATATTCAGCTAAAATGCCCTTTTTAAAAGACGAATACTTACAAGTCTTCGACTTCAGTAAAGAATTCTCTAGCGCGATCAATGAGCTTCTGGTGATTAGGATGAATGGCGGGAGTTAAATCCATGTTGGAGAAAGTGAATGATTGACGCGACTGGTTAAAACTGATGGGAATTGCTTCAACAGGCATCCGGTTAGAATCTAGGGTGCTTTTATAAAAATTATCCTTCCTGCATATTTGATTCACTTGATTACGATGATATATTTACGTTTGTCTTTTGATTACACGTATCCTCTTTGATCTGTTTAGGATCACCAGATCTGGTTTTAGCGTGCCGGATACGTATCGGAAAGAAGAGGTTAAAAATGTAACATTAAGAACTTAGACTTAAGGCTCCTCTTTACAGCAGTCGGGGGGGTGGGGGGAAACCTACAAAGTAAATACATATTCTCAAGAGAATAGCCTATCAAGAGGACCAATATTATACTGCATATAGCAGCCGCTTTAATGGTAACGAGAGTACATGTGAGCCGACAAATTCAGAGCAGATCTTTTTTTTTTCCCGATAGACGAAACGTGTGGATCACCAATAGAATCAGATATGCTATTTCAAGACTATACAGACTGAATGCAAGGGATACCTGCAGCTCTATATATGAGCTTATCGGAGCTTACATTACCCTCCTTCAATATCTTTAATCCCTCCTCAACAGACCTTAGCCCGCGCGGCAAAATCTCGTATGGGTGCCCATTCATTTTGCCCTCAGCAATCCATCGACCTACAAGCTGGAATAAAGCAAACGCAAAATCTACGTCCTCCTTGTATACCCCACTGCTAATCGGGGTCACTTGACCGTGGGCTGTGCTGAAGAAAGTGATGCCAATAGAAATCCAAGGCGGAATGCAGCTGTAATCTACACGAGGCAGATATACAGACATACGAGCTCCTTCCGGCGCTAACACTTCTTATAGATGTCGAAAACTGTTGCTGTCATTGACGGTGTCAACAGAGTGAAGGCATCTTTTGCCTGCAAGAGCAGCTTTCAGATTATGAACGACGTTGCAATTCCGATAGTCAACGAAATCTGTAACCACGCCAAGAGACTCTATGCATGGCATTCCAGATCCACATACAACTATGGCTTTTTCGAAGCGTCCCATCTTTGCCAGTTTCAGTATAAAAACTCCAATGGAAGAGCCTTATCCGTAAATAATGAGGGAAGGCTGGATTTGTGAACTCTCCGGCAATGTTGAAAACGGTATTTTAAGACGTTGGTATAAGCCTATTGCCGCTGTGCATAAAGCAAATGGTATAGTACTAGCCTCGTACATGAGCAAGGCATCGCCGATATTTGAGTTGCTTGTTTGTAACCAACCTTCAAATGAGATAATTGGCGGCAATAAAAAATATGTATTCACAAGCGCAGTCGAATACTCCGCATAAGTGCTATTCTCTGTCTGCATAGGATGCGCTGCCGCAACTCGATCGCCTTTCCGAAACTCGTATATATTGCTTCATACGGTTTCGATAATTCCAGACATTTCATTCCCCTGGTTTATCTCAATATCGGAAATGAGGTGATCTGGGGCTTTCCAGTCGCGAGGGTTGCTGGCGCAGTATATGACGTTTGCAGGACTTCATCTGGCCCTGGCTCCGGGATGGGAACGTCAAAAATTTCGCATCGTAGAGGAACGCGCTTTAACTATGGCAAATTTCATAGTAAGAAAAGAGAGCAATCCTGGGATCATTCAAGCGACTCGTGGATACATGTATCAAAATTTCTGTAATTTATACCCAGTACTGAATCCTCGTGTTGGCCAAGTTAAGTCCCCAGGAATAAGTATACCGCAAGAAGGTGAAATGTGCCTAAGAACAACTCTTCTTCCACGGCATCCTAAAACAGGCCGATCTTCCCCATGAGCTACAGGATGTGGGGATGAAGCCAGATATTCTCTTCTGCAATATTCCAGAAGTGCCGTGTACAGACGTCGAAGGCGATTAATAGACGGTAAGAACTAATAGCTAGCTCCGACAATCACGCAACTTTTCCATGATTAGCAGCTGTCTCCACAGTTAACTCCGATTACCGTTGGCCCTTCGGATACGCAACGGATAGATTCTAGCTACCAGCCTGGAATTTCTGGCTCATTATTAATAGAAGATTTGCGGGGTCAATAACCAACCAAAGATGAGTGGACTGAAGAAATTCGTAATTTAAGATCTATTGACAAATATCCTTTTGTTCTATTTAGTCTGAGTATGCATTCGTTTAGTGGAATATACTGAAATATCTAGTAGACAATTCCAAATTATCTTCAAGTTGATAGGTGATCATTATATCTACTCTAAGGTGCATGGATTATTGTTATTTTACTGAGCCATATACCTTCTGAGTTTGTGCCTAATTTTTACAATTTACTTTTGCTGTCACATGTAACAGATACATGCATCTCTTATCTCTAATTAACTGTATTATATAATGGTTTGATACTAATATTTTTGCCGTTAGTTGGCAGAGGGTTCATGATCATCACTCAAAATGCACAAGTCAAGACAATATCACCATCTAAAGAGGGGAAACAGCTCCTGACAAGCAAGACTGGAGACGTCAACACAAGAATGATGCAGCTAGCGACAGCCTACGCAGATTCATCCACCATTCACGGCATTTATGGGAACTACTTGTATCCATTGTGGAATTCCTATGGAGACGGAAAATTATCTCAGACAGGCGACGCAATCAGATGAGTTTAATCATTCAATCAGTAGCTTGAGTGGAGTAGCTGACGGAGTTCTGGAAATACATCTTATACAGCAACAAGCAATATTTTTTTTAGACCCCTTATTACGTCCATTTCTTCCAGCATAATACCACCCCTACTTCGACAACTGATGCAGTTACTAATGCAAGTTTTACCAAGGCTCTTGTTATCAATGGCTTAAGTATTGCATCTCTGAGCTCCATATGATTGTCAAAATTTGGATATGGCACGCTGGGCTTCGAAACTTCAAGAAAGTCGCAAAGTTCATCCCATCCAAGGCCCTCCTCTAATTTAATAATTCGTAGTCTTTCCCCTGGTATCAATTTCTTGACCAAATTATTGTAGTTGGCATAGTTCTGACGTAGTATCTCCTCGTTCTCAGAATGGCCTTGCTTTGTCGTCCCACTAAACAAGTCATAAACTAGGCTGTTGAATCGCCAGTGATGCCATAGGCCGATGTCAAAATATCTCAGGATGGCCATTGGAGCTGATGCAAGATAATCGTTCATGCCACCCACTTGCTTGTTAAATGATCTGACCCATTTGTCAGGATCCCGCTCGGTCAAAAGAAACTTGACGTTTGGATCACTCAAATACGCGCTGAGGATTTGTGTAAGCATGTAACAGGGTACCTCGATGATTGAATCATAATCTTGAAACCATTTGTCAAATTCAGCTCGTCCATATGGTTTAAGACCAGAAAATCGGTTGTGTTCGGCTAGTAATGCCTCCTGGAAGAAGATCTTATGGCTGTGATTTTGATTTCGTACAAACTCTGCGGCATGATAGGGTTTATACCCAAGTATTTTAAATGCTCGATATAATCCAAGTGTTCCAGTTCTAATAGTCCAATGCTGAATGTGAGCATCTCTCTACATAATGAAGAAAGGGAGAAATCCGCACTTGCTGCAACTAAGGACAATCACTTTAACCTTGGGCTTTTCAGCCGGATTTGGAAACTCATCGATTTTCCGCGCTTGGAGCATATCGGTGTAGGACCCTGAGGAAGATAAACTTCGGCAGCAAAAGCTCCGTAGAAAGTAAAATTATTGGAATGAGAAGTATGGTGTATTATTCCTCTATAAAGCTCGGAATAGGCGTAAAGGGGCGACGTAGTAAGAAAGAGCTTCGTCTTCACAGAGCAAGGGCGGGTTGTAACAATATATGACTACAATTGTCATCAATTTTGTGCACAGGCGTCAAGGCACACCTATGGGACCCCTCCACGCAATTTAGGGCGCCCGCATCGATTTTCACGCGCTATTAAAATGAATGTTTTCAAGTCGGATATAACGGGATGCTAGCGATGGTGGCTGCTTACTGAGCACTGGGCGGTTGAATGCCAACAAGTCGCTGGGCAGCGAAACTCTAATTGTAACATCTCAAGCTAAAAAAAAATGTAATCCTCTGTACCCTACTTAACCATGATAAGTGCTTGTGAGAGAACAGATAAATATTACTCTAGAAAACATAACAGCAAGCATATAATTCTTACAAGTATGCACAGCATCGCTGGCAACTAAGATATGCCTGGCTTTGAACTTTATGTGCAACAGTTTTGGTATTTCAAGGCCCTGTTGAAAACCTTCGTGGGCTTATAGATGTACAATTGACTGAAGTAAGCGTGGTGGCTATTGTAGTGATATGAGATAAGCTGCAAGCCGACTTTGAGGAAATAGTCGCAGCTGACTTGAATATCAGGGAAGTCGAGGCAGGAGTGGAGCTTGTGATGATAATGATTAACCTCGATTCTAGGTAAGCGGAGAGAAGTGCAGCAGATTTACAATGCGAGATTTGGCTGCCTCAACAAGAGCACCGACTACGTGAGCCTTCCGGAAAGCTGGACTATTGCCCAGGTGAGAAGAGAAGGCACGATAAAATCGCACAACAGCAAGGAGAGTCTAAATACCATCCAACCACGTAACCCAATGGTAGCAAAAATTGATTACTACTTTCTATATTAAATACAGAGACAGCTTATCCGCTATCCAAGCAAGCGTCCCTGGTGTCCAAAAAAGAAAAACGGGGCGGGTATAGGGTAGCATATAGGCATACCGTGTATACCGTTGACCACTATAATATAGCGTTTATCCACTATAATATAGCACTTATTTGCTCTAATACAGTGCATTTGACTATATTGTGCCTTCCACAATGGATAGCATTTCAATACCAATAATATAATACTACTCCGAAGCAGGGCATGGCTATATTCCAGGCAATGGCTGTCCACCTGATTAATAATGCCAAGACCAAGTTCTATGCGGATCTATATATGGAGATAGTTCTTCTGGAACATAGACAAAAATCACTAATCATATTCGTAATTCCACGATTGGGCGTCAGTCAATAATTTAGGTGATGGAGATGACTTTTACAATCTCGTTGTGGACTAAAGGATGCCCTATGTTGGCGGCTCTTCCGAGTCCGGTTTTATCAACCCTAAAGTTGTCAAAGATATAAAGTTACAAGTAAATCCTCAGTCTTCAGAGGTCATGTTGGACACTCTTGAAGCAATGGATGTCTGATTTTACTACTCCGATTACGTAGACTTGGTTCATTCTGTACCAGCTCTCATTTTCCAGTCCGTTGTAGAACAAATGTCTGAGAGTGTTAAGATAGCCAATGGAATTACTGTCGAACAGTGTAAGGCACTCACCATAGCTTTACTTTGTGTTATTCTCCTTCTAATTCCCGTCGCCGGGGAGGTGTTGGGCTCTATTGATGGATTAGCAGAGATTGGCTTTATTGTAACAGCCGTTAGGATGCAGATAATATTTTTTTCAATGTATATTCTGTAGTAGTAGACCGTCGTAACACACCGTTATGCAGTATGTCGTCTATCCTCGCGTCACTTAATGTATTTGGTGTTGCCACGGGAGAGATACGCCAAAGCTACAAAGAGGGCGACACCGCCTCCTTAGGTGACAAACTCAAATGAGCCTCAGATATTATCGTTAACACGAACGGGAAATTCTATACATTTTACAATTTGAAATCAGAGATTTTAATACGTTTTAAAAAAAAAAAATACTTCATTGACTAACAATATAACTGTCGAAGGCAAAAAGTAAATAATATAATAGTAATTGATTATTATTAAAAGGTCTTAGTTATCTAGTTAAAAAGCCAGGAGGCAGGACCTCTTATATATATAAAATCTATATAATCCATATAGTTAAATTAAACTTAGCATTACCTTATTTAATACTCCTACTTAAGCTAATTATAGGTTAATAATTTAAATAAGCCTTTTATACCTTTTTATAACTTTCTTTTTATTATAGCCTTTAATAAGCAAAAGGTTTATAAAATAAAAATATAAATAAAGGTATAAAGTAAGTTATTTTAAAGTCCTAGGCTTTTACTTAAGCTAATAAATTATATATTTTAGTAGATTATAGCTTTTTAACTTTAATTATATTTTTAAATTTATAAAATACCTTAGCTAATAGTAGTTTAGTTATTTTATCTACTATTTTATTAGCTAAGGATATATATAATAAATTAATTTCTTTATTTTAAATTTTTTTTTAAATTTAATAATATTATATATTAATATACTTTATATAACTATAGAATTCTAGGTTTTTTATAAAGCTAATAGCTCTTTAATTATTTATAAAAATATTTATTAATTTAAATATAAAGTCTAAAGTAAGTATAATAATTATAAGCAGCTTTTTTAGCTAAATAACTTCTTTTACTACTTATATTTATTTTATATATTTAGCTTTATAAATTAAAAGTATTATTATTATTTACTTTTTTAAAAACTAGTTAATAACACTAGACTTTATATTAAAAATATAGCTATAAGTTAACTATCTGCTTAATTTATTATTTATATAATTTATATTTATATAGCTTTATAAAGAGTAAAGTTTTTTTTAAATATTAAGCTATAGTTTTATATAGCTTATAAATAATAAAGGATTTTTTTTATAATTTATATATAAAAAGGTTTTAAATTATTAATAAAGCAGCTGCAGAAAAAAACTAAAAAAGCAATATTTAGCTATATGTTTAGTATAACTTATATTAAAGATTTTAGTTATTTTATATAAGCTATTTTTTTTTTTTTATAATATCTAGGCTATTATTTATTTTTAATAAATTTAATTATATTAATATTTTAAATAAATTATATTTATTTATTTTATATTATAGTAATATTTTTTATATATAGCCCCTTTATAATAAGTTAATTTATTATTAAAATTAATCTTATTTAATTCAAAAACCTAAGTAATATTTATATAGCCCAAGGTTAATTATATAAAATTTTTAATTAAATGTTTTTTTAATTTCTTATATTTATAGCTTATTTAACTTAAAGAGCAGAAGATTATTTATATAGACTACAATAATTATATATATTTTTATAAAAACTCCTTTATTTATAAAAATTAAAATAATACTTAATTTTTTAAAAAACTTTATAAATATTTAATACTAGATTTATAGTATTTATTTTAATTTATAAAAAGCTTTATTTAAGCAGTAGACTTTTTTAAATTAATTATTAAAGCCTTTTAATTATTTAATATAAATCTTTTTATTAATTTTATTATATAAAAAAGCAGTCTTTATATTTATTTATTTAATCTTTAGATTATATACTGCTATAAATATAAAAAGTATTTTATAGTTTATTAATTTAATTACTATTATAAAGGTTTTATAATAGTTAATTTTTTTTTTAATTAAAGCCTTTAATTATATATTATACCTTATAATAAATAATAATGCCTTTAGTATTTTATTTAATTTTATATATTTATTTTTTTTAAAGTAGTTTTCTCTTTAATAGTAGATTAATTAATTTTTATATTTTATTTTCCTTTAAAAAGTAAATTTTATTTACTATAGCCTTTAGCTAATGTTTTTATTTATTTAATATAGTAGCTTTATAATATATATTTAGGTTTTTATTTTCTATATATAATATAGTAAGTTTTAGTTTTTAAAATGCTTTTATTACCTGTTACAACCCAACTCTTATGGTCGCAACTATGGGCCTACCGGGTAGGCATTGCTGGATTAACTTAGGCCTGGCGCATTAATTAGCAATAGCTCGATATAAATTATGTTTAATCTATCTTAACGCATACTTAAGATCGATGGGAATTAACATTAATCTATTATAATCCAAAGATACTAATTAAATATATAAGTTTAATTCTTATGCTTATTTAAATAATTTAAATAGCTAGTTATTAATATAGTTTTATACTTATAGATTAAAAAGCACTTTTAATCTCTACTGGTGACTATTATTGTAATATTATTGCCTATAGGTTTCCTAACCCATCTGCTAATATAAACCTAAAGAATTTATTTTAGGTTTATCCCTTGAGAATCTACCTTATATTAACTACCTAGTATATAATTTATTATATATTAATAACTCTTGTTTAAATAGTTACTAGACCTATAGGCAATAATGGAAATATAGCAGGCAATAGTTAGCAAGGAACTATTTCTATATATAAGGAAACTTAAGAATAACATCTACTACTTACTCTAAAGTAAACAGCAATTAATTTACTCCTTTTATAAATTAAAAAGCTGGAGGATTAATTAAAGAATAAAAAAAAAAAAAAAGGAGAAATCCTTAGGCTTAAGTAACCTAATAACTTTAATGGAGATACTTTAAAGATAAATAAATTCTTTGCTAAATTAAATATTTATTTTAGCTATTTCTTAACTAATTTAAGAGACAATGAGGACTAAGTCCTCTTTATAGCTAACTGCTTTATGGGAACTGCTGCTGAATAGTTTAGGCCTATTTTAATAAACTATAATACTATAAAGGAAGAATTTATTAAAATAAAGATTTAAATAAGCAAGATTTTTAGTAATTATAAAACCTTTAAAAATTAATTAAAAAAATCCTTTAGAACTATAAATGAAGAATAAAAAGCAGAAAGAGAACTTAGGTTTCTATAATAAAAAGGAGCCTTATTTAAGTATACTATTACCTTTTTATGCCTGCTTATTAAAGTAAACTAGACTAAGGAAATAAAGAAAGAAGTCTATTATAATAGCATTAAGTCTGAAGTTAAAGATAAGTTATTTAAGGAAAATTAAAGTAAAATTAAATTTATTGAATATACTTAAAAGGCTATTGATATTAATAACTATAACTTTAAGAGAAGTTAAAAATGTAAACTGGAGAAATATAGTTATTAATTAACCTTTTAATAGAAATCTTAATATTATGTAAACTAAGGCAAGAAATAAAAAGAATATATTGCAAAAGATAATGGAACTTAACTAGGATAAATAGACCTTGATATTATTAAGGCAATTAAGTTTAAAGGAAAATGCTATTTTTGTAGTAGACTAGGCTATAAGGAAATATACTGCTATTTTAAGAAGAAGCAGGAAGGAAATAAAAAAAGCCCTGAATGAAATAATAAGGCCGATAAAGTCTAAATAAACATTATTACTGAACTATTTTATAACAGCCTTAGTTAGACTGCCTGTTATAATAATGTATGCTTTATATATAGAAGTGATAAAGATGGATTAAGATACTACTTAAAGAAGCTAAGAAAAATAAAACCTTAGAAGAAAGTTAAAATTAATACTTTAACCTTCTATAAGCTATTTAATAATAAAAACTTAGATTTTAGTATAGAATTAATCTGCAAATACTGCAGATCCACTGATACTATTTATAAGTGTAATAGAAAATAAGCAGTAATTTAAAAGGAAAACTATAACTGCAATAACTGTTATTTATAAAACCCTGACTATAAATGCTAAGGATGCTTAGACTGTAGATCTATAGAAGGATATTAATATAGCTGTAAAGGCAAATGGCAATGAAATATAGAAGCCATGTATAAACTCTTTAAAGAAGAAGATAGATTAGCTAAGGAGTACCTTAAAGAACAGGAATGGGAACTCCTGAATGAAGAAACTAGCGAAGATAAAATTATCTATAATAAAACTGGAAGAATTTATAAGTGCAGCTTTTGTAAAATTTATAAAAAACACTAACAGTGGATTAATACCCTTCTGGACATATACCCCTTTATAAAATATAAAGTTATTGCCGAAGACTTATATAATAGCAATAACACTAATAATGACGAATGTCACTAATGCAGTTTTTAGGAATTATAATATAATGAAACTTGCCTAAAGTTTAATGGAAAAATATATAAATGCCTATGCTGTTACTTATAGAATATAAATTACTATTGTAAGAAACCATAGAGATTAAATAAATTAGTTTTATTTTATATATATTAATATAACCTCTATTACTCTTGGGACTTTAATTATAACTATATAGGATGCGACATCTGTAAATTAATAAATAAAGAATATAATTATATATATATTTTAGGAGCATGGGCAGATAAAGAAGAGAAATGAAAAGAAAGACAATAGTATTTTAAAGAATATTTACTATAGAAGATAAGTTTGAAATAAGTATAAGAATAAATAAAGGCTACTAAACTAGACCTTAAAGACGCCTATACCTGCGCCCTAATTTACAACATTCTTAATGCTCTTAATGAAGATTGTAGAAAGCATTACTGGAAGGAATGTAATAACATGTACTGCTAAATGCATATATTTAATAAATTAAAAGACTGGTATAGTAGATAACTAAAGCAAGTTAAAATAAAAGAATGTTTAATAATACACTCCTTAGACTGTACTATACTATATTGCAAGAAGTATAGTAAGGAAAAATATTAATTTTATTAAATAATTTAAAAGCTTTTATAAAGAGGCTACGATTTTAGTAATTACTTAAATAAAGGATAAAAAAACAAGACCTTAATTAAAAATTATTACTAAATAATTAAAGAATAAAATAATTAAATTAAATGCTAATAGTATAAGAAGTATTAATTTAAGATATAGTAAGAAAGCCCTCTGGATATAATTACTATTAACTTAATTAAAATATTTAAGAAGAAACTGGTAATTAATAAATACTTGAACTAGCAATTAGTTAAGATTTATGTAGATAGCGGTTTAGATTGCAACCTAATTGCTGACAGCCTGGTAGACTGGCTAGGAATACTATGCATTATTAAAAAGACCTTATTGGTTGTCTTTAGTATTATAAATATAAATATAGGAATAACTATTACCTATAAGACTGATTATCTTCCTATAACAGTTGCTAATTAAACTAAGGATATTAAGTTTAATATACTGGACCTAAGAGACTGCAATATTTTATTAGGATACCTATGGTTAGAAAAATATAACCCTATAATTAACTAAAAGACAAAAGAAATAACTTAAGAAGAAGATATCTCCCTGAAATTATAACTAAGCTAGGAAGGGGGTAAAGAAAGTAAAGATATACTTATAGACCTATAACCAAAACCTTCTGCGTAATTAAAGAAAAAAAAATAAAATAAGAAAGATAAGGCTAAAAAAACGGAAATACATAAGAAAATTAGATTTAACCTTAAAAAATTACCAGTACTATTATAATATAATAATTAACGGCAGAAAGTAAAAATTATATAAATTAATAAAATTATTGCTAAATATTATATAAAACTAATTGAACTTAATATAGTATTAGTAAAAGTAAAAGAATAAGCTAAAGATAATAAAAATAAACCTTTAGCTAAAATACTATAATAATATTAAAAGTATAAGAAATTATATTAGTAAATATTTAAGGAAGGACTACTACTTTATTTAAAATAGGATTATAAGATTGTTCTTAAAGATAGAACTTTACTAAAGCTTTATAAAATCTATAACCTAAATAAAACTAAGCTTAAAATGCTTAAGGAATGGCTATAAATGTAATTAAATAAAGGATATATTAAGGTGTTAAACTTTTTAGTAAAGTACTTTATTATTTTTATATTAAAGAAGAATAAAAAGCTTTATTTAGTTATTAACTATTAATAGCTTAATAAAATAACTATTAAAGATAGAATGCCTTTACTATTAATTATTAAAATTAAAGAAAGATTATAAAGCATAAATTGGTTTATAGCCCTGGATTTTACAGAAGCTTATAAACTTATAAAAATAAAGGAAGGATATAAATAGATAACTGCTTTTAAAATAAAATATAGACTATTTAAATACTTAGTTATGCTATAAGGACTTATAAATGCATTAGCATTATTTTAAAAGAGAATTAACTTTGTTTTTAAGGAATACTTAAATAACTTTATAGTAGCTTATATTAATAATATCTTAATCTTCTTAAGGACATTAGAAGAACATAAGGAATATATCTATAAGATGTTATAGAAATTATAAGACGCCAAGCTCTTTATTAACTTAGATAAATGCTAATTTTATATATAATAAGTTAAGTTTTTTAGATATATTATTATACCAGGGGAAGTTTAAATAAATCTAGATAAAGTTACTGCTATTTAAGATTAAGAACCCCCAGAAACTTATAAGGGATTATAAAGTTTTTTAGGACTTGCTAATTATTATTAAAGATTTATTTAAGGATATAGTAAAATTATAAAACTACTAACTGATGTTATTTAACTTAAAGAAAATAAGAAGGGCAAGAAAAAACAGAAAGATAGGAAACTATCTTGAACTAATGAAATAGAATTAGTATTTTAGGAACTTAAGGATGTTATTACCAGTAAATTAATATTTACTATATATAACTTAAGTAAGCCTGTTAAAATAGAAATAAATGCTTTTAACTTTGCTTTAAGAGGAACCTTAGGATAATAAGATAAAGATAGAAGACTTAAGCCAGTAGCTTTTTTCTTTAGAAAACTATATAGCCTAGAACTAAGATATTCTATCTATAATAAAGAATTCTTAGTAATTATTAAAGTATTTAAAGAATAGCAATACTACTGCCTAGGAAATAAATATAAAATTAAAGTTTACACTAACTATTAGAATATATTTTACTTTATAACTATATAATAACTCTCTATATAATAAATTTATTATTTTAAGTTTTTAATAGACTTTAATTATAAAATTATTTATTATAAAGGAATAGAGAATAGAAGAGCCGATGCTTTAAGTTAAAAAGAAGAACATTTTAAAGAAATTTTTAAATTTAAGGCATAAATTCTATATAAAAATAACTAAGGGAATTATAAGTAAATTAAGATTAATACTTTATTTATTGTAAAAGAATATAACCTTATTTTTAATAAAATTAAAGATTAAATTAAAAACTAGCAACTAGAACAGTTCCTTAAGGAAGTAACTATAATTAATAAACTCTTAAGATAGGGTAAATAAATTTAGATATTAAAGGAATTGTAAATAAAAGTAATTTAAAATATTTATTGTAGTATGATTATAGCAGTACATTAAGGTATATAAACTATTTATAATTATATATTATATTATTATTGCTTTAAAGGACTTAAATAAAAAGTTAAAGAAGTTATTAAAAAATGCAACATATGTAAGAAAACAAAGGACAAATAACATTGGCTATATAGGAAATTATAACCTATTCTAGTTTTTAAATAGAACTAGCATACTATTATATTTAACTATATTATTAATTTACCAGGGTTAAAGGAACCGTTAACTAATACAGTCTATAACAGTATCTTTATAGTAGTAGATAAACTCTTTAAGCAAGCTTACTTTTTATTATATAAGAAGTCCTATACTATAAAAGATTTAATATATCTTTATATGTAATATATTTTTATAGAATATAAACTATTAGTAGAAATTATATTAAATAAAGGAAATACCTTTGCTTTTAAGTTCTAGCAAGAATTTATAGCTAAACTTAGAATTTATTATAAACTAAATACTGTATATTATTTATAAATAGATAGCTAAATAAAAAGAATAAATTAGGTTATTAAGGTATACTTATAATGCTATATTAACCTTGTATAAGATAATTAAGTAAAAAAACTCCCTGCAGTATAAAATTAATATAACAGCTTTATTTTAGAATTTATAGGAGTTATATTATTCTATGCTAACTATAGATTTACACTAGAAGCCTATAGACTACCTTGCAATAGTCTAAATATAGAAAATACTTAAATTTTAGCTAAAGATATAATTTAATTACAGGAAGAACTTAAGGAATAACTTAAGTTTATTTAAGATTGCATAAAGTAATAAGCAGACTGAATAAGGATTAAAGGACTAACCCTTTAGGAGGGAGATATAGCCTACCTACTACAGCACTTATGCAATAAAAAGTTACTAAATATTAAAATAAATTAACTAAGTGATAAACTGGATTTTAAAAAACTTAAACTATTTAAAATTCTAAAGAAAATTAGAGAAGTTAACTATAAGTTAGACCTACTTAATAACATAAAGTTAAAAATAGCTGTTTTTTATGTTTTACTACTAGAAAAAGCACTAGTGGATAAAGAAACAGGCAAACTAGTTATAGATAAAATTATTGTTTAAGATGAAGAAGAAGAATATAAAATTAATAAAATAACTTATATATAAATAAATAAAGAAACAGGCAAATGAGAATACCTTATAAGATAGAAAGGGTATAACTTATCTAAAGACTTATAGGTTTCTGAAAAAGAACTTAAAAAAAACGCTTAGGCAATCCTGCAGGGATACTATTAATCTCTAAGGATGGAAATAGCGACAGGTCTAAATTAAATGCAGACTAATTAATGATGTTAATGGACTAGGACAGGCCGGCAGAATTAGGCGCTGCTAAAGCAGCTTAACAAGCGGCCTCTACAGCTTCCCTCTCCTTGCGCTCGATGCACTTTAATTCCTTTAAATCATTAATACCATAGGAAATAGCTTATGCTGCTTTCTCTTTCTAATCCTTACGCTGCTTATAAAGACAAGCAATCTTGGCTATTAAATACATTGCCTTCTCTTCAGTAGCCTTAACTTTATTATTTAACTAATCTTAACGACAGGAAATTTATAATAATTGCTAAGTAGTAAGAAAAGCCTTATAATAAGACTTATAATCTTTTATATATTTAAAACAGCAACTTAAATCTTTTACTAAGGTAAGGCACTAAGTATTTTTTTTTTTATATAAATAATAAAGCTTTATTTTAGTAAGATAAGAAAGAATAGATATAGTAAGTGCTATATTTTTGTTAACTTTCTTTTATTTCTGAGAATTAGGAATTTTTGATTTCTGAATATGGTAAAATATAATAAATACTGGAAGAAGAATATAGAGAAGGAAAATAATTTATTAGGAAGGATGTGGGTACTTATATACTAAATAACTAGGTCTTGAGGATAAGACTAATAGAGGGGGAGTATTGTATTATAACCTAACTTTTATAGTTATAACTATAGGCCTACTGGGTAGGCATTGCTGGATTAACTTAGGCCTGGTGCATTAATTAGCAATAGCTTAATATAAATCATGTTTGATCTATCTTAATGCATACTTAAGATTAATGGGAATTAATATTGATTTATTATAATCTAGAGATATTAACTGAATATATAAGTTTAATTTTTACGCTTATTTAGATAATTTAAATAGCTAGTTGTTAATATAGTTTTATACCTATAGATTGGAAAGTACTCTTAATCCCTACTGGTGATTATTATTGTAATATTATTGCTTATAGGTTTCTTAACCTATCTGCTAACATAAACCTGAAGAACTTATTCTAGGTTTGTCCCTTGGGAATCTACCCTATACTAACTACCTAGTGTACGGTTTGTTATATTACCTTTATAAGGGGTTATAATACTTTAGTTAAATTATTAAAATTATTTATAGTACTTAAAGCAGTTTTTATAGTAGCTTTTATAGTTATACTTAAGGTAACTTTTATAGTAACTTCTATAATAAAAAGTATATTACTTAATATATTTAATTTTTTTATTAAGCTTTTAAAAGGAGTTTAAGATTTATTTTTTATTTTTATTATAAATATATTTAAAAAAGTAACTTTTTTTACTTTTATAATAGTTTAATTTTCTTTTAGACTATATAATAATAATAGTAATATTATCTTTAGTTTAAGTTAAATTTTTATTATTCTTAAACCTCTTAAGTCTTTATTAAATATAATATTTAATAAAACTTTAATTATTTTATTTTAAATTACTATATAGTTTTTACTTTTTTAATAGCTTATAAATTAATATAGTATAGCTTATGCTTATATTTTTTTATTTTTTATTATAATCTATTCCCTTAAGTCTATAACTTTAAAATAAAAAAAATTAGGTTTTTTTTTATACTATTATTACAACCTGAAACCATAAGATATATACTCCAGATATACTACAGACCAATAAGCCAATTAGGGAAAGGATTATAGCTTTAAGAGTAAGCTATCCTAGATAAATTACTATTATAAGAGTAAGCTACTACAAAAGGATTACAATTGGGATTATAAGCCTTATAGAACAACTTACTATATAAAACCATTTATTATACTTATTAAATATAGCTTAAATAATTAATTATTAATATAGTATTTATATAATAACTAAATTAAACTCCTATTTAAAGTTATTAGCTATATAACTAAAACTGCTTATAAAATCCCTTATACCTCTCTGCTAATATAAACCTAATGTTAAAGGTTTATTCTTTAGGAATTAATTACCTTATATTAAATATAGAATTAAAACATTATATATTAATAACTTTTGTTTAAAAAGATACTTTAGATCTTTTAAGCAATTTAAACCACTATAATAACCTTAGGTAACTTTAATACCTCTACCTTTAATTTTATTAAAGATATAAATAAAGATATTAACCTTACTAGTAAACTTAACTAAAACAAGCTTACTACTAAATAACTTAAAAAACTTATTAAGAAACTATATAAAAAATAAAAAGCACTAGCCCTAAAAAAGAATATTAAAGTTACCTTTAAGCTTTAACCTCTACTAGTATATAATAATAAGCCTATTAAACTTTAATTATTTATTATATAACTTAAGGCTTATTTCTAAAACTTCCCTACTATCTTTAAAAAAAAAAAAAATAAAGTATCCTTTATAGTATTTTATTTTTTAAAACTCACCCTTAAATAATTTAAACTAATTTAAGACAATTATATAGAATATAACTTTACTGCTAAAGATATTACTAAAGTTATTTTTAAAAGTTTTAATAAATTTAAAAAAAAACTTAAAAAAGCCTTTAGGGATATTAAAGAAATTAAAATAGCTAAAAATAAACTTACTACTATTTACTAAAAAGGGAAATATTTAAACTATACTATAATATTTTAAGATCTAGCAATATACATTAATTAAGGAGAATTAGCACTTATTAAACAATTTTATAATAAACTTAAACTTAAAATTAAAAAAGAAGTCTATTAAATTAATTAAAAATAATATAATCTCTTATCCTTTATAAAAAAATATATAAAAGCAGATAATTTACTATAGGAATTAAAGATAAATCTCTTTAAATAAAAAAAGAAATATTATTTAAGATTTTAAATAAATTAAAGTAAAAAATAACAGGAATTAATTATTAAAGATAATAGTAGTATAGCTAGACCTATAGACCTTAATATAATATAAAAGAAAAAAAAGGAATTTAAATATTATAATTATAAAAAGCTAAACTATATAGCCAAAAACTATAAATCCCTAAAAAAGGAATAATTTATAATTCTTAAGCTAAAAGCAATATATATTATAAATAAAGGCAATAAAATTATTTATTTATTAAAATAATTAAAATCTTTTAAAAATAATAATAACTATAACTTTTATAAATTTATATTTAAACTCTTAAATATATCTAAAACATTAAATAAAGAAACTAATAATAAAATCCTTAATTAATAACCTATCCCTTAAGTTAATTTTATAAA